CTTAGTCTTGATGTTTTAGTTGTGTTTCTGATTGACTTGCAAATGTTAAGTGCCAGGCCAGCTTAGACAGAATGATTTTTTGATAAAGGAGATATCTACAAAACTAACCTGCATGATATATGATGAAACATAAGATTCAATCTCTACCTTGTGCTTTTGATAAAACATTTAAGAATCAAAGAAGTCGCCTTAAATATTTAAAGGGCTCATAAAGTAGGTGTGATGCGCTTTGCCGGGATTAAAATGTTTGGGCTGAACTGTAATGAGTTGGTCTGAGAATTCTTTATCCAAACTGGGAATTTCCAATGTAAACTCTCTCATTGAATTATCCTACTAATGCAGTCATTACCTCTTTTTATTATGATGGTTTAGAAATGGCTGATCTGGTACAACTGGCTCCTTGCACTAGGACGGCATATGTTGTCAAGTCACGTTACCCTTACCTGTTACAACTAAGGCCCTTTTCAAGTTCGATTTCTTTTCCAAGATGTAGAAAATGTTTCCCGCTATTTCGACGAGACTGTCTCTCTTAAAACCATCACATGTGCTTGCAAAAGGTAAATAAAAGGCTGCGATATCAGCATTCAGAACAGGATCGCGGCGCCAAGTTTAACTTCTTAGCGAGCTGCCACAAGAAGCCACGGTTCAGGAAGAAGGCAAAAAATCAATCTGACGTTTGATTTCCTTTTCCTTGTAGAAGGCTTTTTTAGAGTGGCAAGTGTGCTATTGAGATATCTTAAAGTGAAATTTTAAAATGTTTCTTGGCATGTTGTTGGTGATCATTTTAATTGGTTGGAGCGAAAGAGAATTGACTGCATATAGCTTTTCAGGCATGATTGGCATTAAATAGACATTGTATTAAATTTTTGTTTTGCAACTAGTACTGGCCTAAAGAGATTGAATGCTGGATTTTGACGATAATAGATAATTGTCTTACTTTTTGATAAATGTTTAGTTCTTCTAGTTTGCCAAGAAAGCCATCAATTCCAACTGATGCTGTTCTTTAGACATTTCAAAATCAAATGACCGACAAAAGAAATCCCGACGGCAGAAAAACGCGAGTTGTTGATCAAAAGATGTCAAAGGAATAACACTAACAATCATAATGAAAACAGTTAATTTTGAGCGACTATCATTCAGTTTAACCTACTATTAAAAAGTCTCTCTATTTCATAGATAATTTGTAACTGGCTAGCTTTGTTCACAACATAAAGCGACAGCAACAGTAGTGAAAGAAGGATCAAGCTATAAAGGATTTAAACTTTGAAATACGTAGCATGTGTTAGGAATGGATATGTTTGATGATGGCATAGTGTTTCATTGATGTTTGATAGACTGGGAGTGATGCATGTCGACGACGAAAGAGCTGCAGAAGCTACCAATAATTTAAAATCAATAGACGAAAAGATTCACAAACGAATCTAACTTGACCTGAAACTTTGAATCTGATATGAGAGTGGCAGATTTTATCATTTTTTTAGAATTTCAGATAAGTTTTGTTTCAAATCCTACGATAAAACGTAAAAACAGTTGTCCTTGTTTATGAGAAGCAAGTCAAGACGTAGTTTATGTTCATGTATCATAGAAGGTAAAAAAAAGCCTGATCAATTTATTGGTTTGAAGAAAGTAGCTTTAAAGCTCAGTGTTTAATGTTAAGTATCCTTGACCACAGTATATTTTGCAACCAGTACCAACGTATAGAAGTGTTTTTGAAGGAGACAAAATTCACAGTTTCTCTCTAGTTTCTTTCTTCAACTCTAGTTTCAAATGGAAAATGCTCATTTACATTATCCGTGAAAACAATATGTTGATAATGCAATCTGCCAACCAGTTCCATCATCATCATCATCATCACTAGTAACCATCGTCTTTGTCTTTGTCGATCTGGTTTTCGTCTTCGTTTTCGTCGTATTCCTCGTTGTCGCTTCAGTCTTCGTCGTTTTGACCATCGTCGCTTTTAATTGACTGTTGGTTTCATATTTAACAAACTCTCTTGTACCAGGCCATCTTTTGTTTTGACGGTCATTGTGATAAGATTTCACAATTCTAGAAAGAAAAATTAATAACTTTTCGTTGAAACGCAATCCCGCAACTGGCTAAATCATTTTGTGTTCTAATCGAATTTCCTGAGTGTAAATTGAAGATGCTTCTCGTGGCTCTCAACAAGAAATTCTATCCTCTTTGAGTGGATTGGTTCTGTTTATTAACTGATCCATACCGAATTAGCTTTGGAACATGGTATCGTTAATGTTAGGTAACGGCTGAACTTTAAGGCAAAGGAGCTGAACTTTAATTAAATAAAAGTTTTCGCTTGCTGTTTTCAACATTGAATGAAAGGCCCAGTTTTGAGAGATTAACAACTGCACGCCAATTGCATATTGATGAAATTCATTTAATATTGATGAAAACGATTTTGCTGAGATTTCAAGCCTTTAGCGATGTCTGTAAATCTGCAGAGTAGCAGTTTAATAGCAACGGACATGGTCTGTTGTTAACAGGTAGAAACTAAGCTTATCTCTACGTTTGGACTTACTGCATGCGTTAACTTCCAAACTTGTGAAAATCCTTTCCTTCTTAAAGCATTTTCGGTGTCAGTGAAAACCACGCCGAATAAACAGATCCGGTTTTGCATCTGAAAGGCAGGATGTTGTAACTACGTTGTGGTTTTTAGCGCATTTTACTGAGTAAAGAACATTATTTACTTCAAAGTCATTTGTTTACGTTTAGCAATTGCTGGCTTTCAAATGGTCTTTTGTGGGGTTACGTGGAATAAATCCAGGAGCATCTAAACAAACCTAGCACCTATTTTCATAAATACGGCCTAGTCCTTCAGCAAAATGCATCTCTTTGCTCCATAAACGACGTGCGAAGCCAAAATCAATCTAATGGAAATGGCTGGTTTCCCCAAAGACTCAGCGTACCTAATGACGTCGTGGAGAGGTTGCTGCGAAGGAGCGTTGCGGTCGAGGCTTTTTGGCTGCTGTTCTGTACCAAGGGCTACAGGCATGAACTCTTTTATAGTGAAGACGGCTATATAAGACAAGATGGCTGGAAAGTGGCTTGAAAACCACCATTCTCCCTTTGATGCACCAGCCTACAAAAAACTGCACCAACCCAGCATCTATTAAAGTATTTATGAAAATTAGAGATAGGCTGCAGTTCCCTCGGCCCACCTTAACCAGGCTTTTGTATTTGTTTCTCCTTAGCATCAGATGGTAGTTTCACGGACATTGAGAAGCAATTCTTATCGAGCAGTGGCCTCTACTTCATCTCGATGTGACTACACCTGGTGATTCCTACGCCTTGAAATGCAGCGAGCTCGCGACTCTCCTTACTCGAAGTGAAACTTTTGTCAGTTTTTCTCTTTACTCGAACCTCAGATTCTTGGATCTGTAGTCCGTGACATTAAAACCTCTGTCCAAATCTCCAACCTTGTGAGGCCCTATGACCATGTTTGGTTTATAAAGAATCCATTAAACCTAATTTCATCGTTAAACAGAGAGCCCAATAGCACATGTGTATCTTTATTTTTTTAATATTAACTTATGATAAGTTTCTTTACAATAATTGTCTAAATTCTTACTTTTATTCTCTTGAACAGTTGCCTTCTTTGATTTTTTTAACAGCGAAAATATGGATTAATGACGTTAAAGTTGAACATTCACATACATCTCTGTTAAAAGTTGTTTATGACTTTGTAGAAAGCAAACGCCAAGCATAGTGTAATCTCCATGAAATCTAACATCGGTGGGAGTGAAATTATCATAAGGACCCGTGTAGAGGGATGTATGTTACAAAAAGGTTATCTGTTGCAGAGAGATGCTTATAGTAGAGTTGTGTCCACTGTAAAGTCGTCATCATTGCAGAGAGATGTCTTTTGCAAAAATGTATTTGTTGCAGAGATATGTTGCTGACGTATTCCTACGTTATCAAACTTGTTATTGTGAAGCTCTTCTGTTACTGCTGTCATTTTTATGATCTCATCAACGTGCAGAGATCTCGGAGCCAGAGCAAGAGGCGCTGTTGTGTGACCGTTGCGTTCTGATGTGTTTTTGATTACTTTACTGTGAATTCGAAGGCAATATAGGGTGTATTGATGATGATTATTGAAGATAGGCCCTAGACGCACTGATTTCTGACATAAAACTCATCATCTTTGTCAGAGTGGAAAATCGAGAATACTTTTTCAAGTTTGACAAAGATAATCAGATTTCCGCTTGGAAATTCGAGCGCGCCGCAGTTCGTGTGTGAAGTGGTTGTTTGCTGTTAGGCTAATGTAAAACTAAGAACGATTTGACTTTGGGTATTTTGTGGCACCAGAAAAATGCGTTAATTGCTAATCATTTCCGTTTTCCAGAGCTCGTCCTGGTCTGGGGCAGGACGACGGAACCTTTGAGAAATTAGTGAATTTGGTTCAGTTGCAATTTGGGTGGGCGCATTGAAAAATCAGCATTTGTTTACTAACAGGCTTAATCCCTTTTCTCTATGAACAATAGAGATTAAGTGTGTCAGAAGTTCTTCCTGAAATCTTGTCCGGTGCGTCTAGGGCCAAAGACGATGATCTTTAACAGATTTTTGTTGTGTCTGTTGTAAAGAAATGGCTATTGCAGAGAAATGGCCATGGCAGATAAATGCCCGCTACACAATTTTAACTGCCGGAAAGATGCTTTGAGACAATTTTTTTATCTCCCGGGCAGACGCAGAGCCTTTCTTGAGACGTCTGTTTGCAATGGAGGTTTCACTGTTTTTTTCGTTAATTACCAATTCATAGTTTATTTACTTTACTTGGGTATAACATTCTAGGGGCAGCACCGAAGGAATTGCCGGGAATAAAGACCCTGAATATTCAACAAGATTTGTTATTGTTCGTAATTTTTTCTTGCTTCAAATTTTTTTAAAAACATACTGTGGCTTTTTTGGTTCCAGATTAGCATAAGATATTTGTTCGATATTTCAACTGTTTATTGAATCGAATTTTTTCTAGTTCGAGCAAAAGTAGTCCCAGATTAGGCCAACTTTCAATGAGTCGAACAGCCTTGTTAATCGAACAATTTTCGGTAATTCGAAAAAATTTAATAATTCAAACAGGTTATGTTTTCCCTTTTTTTTAATTATCTAGACAGTGAAGTTTTTCTTTATCTGAGTCAATTTTCCCACCAATACGACCAATTCATGCAACCACCACCAGTTCAGTTTGTTATTGAAGAGAATGAATCGGTTAATGTTAGCTATAGACGAACTCTCTTGGCAAACATCCCATGGTCTGTAGCTGGTGTTTGTGTGTGTCTGCTAGAAGTTTCATCAATGTCCGCATCTCGTCTGTAATTTTCTATTTGATTAGCTTTAATAGGTTGCTGGCAATTCAGTAGCCTTTTTATTGGTTAGCGTCTTGCTGAAGTTTGATTGCTTTCAGATTAGTTAGCGCCTGAAAATTTATCAGGCTTGTAAGAAACTCCTTGCTTCTCAAACATACATTTGAATTGGATTTTTAATGGGCCCGTCCCCCCCAAAAACCATTGGTTTTCAAAGGAAAAGTATAGCTACTCGGGGGGTTTCTTTATTAATTTCGTTTCCGTTTTATGTGATAACGCTTTTTGTGGTTTATCTTGTAGATTTTGCATTACCTGGTCTTTGTTTGAGGAATTAGCAGCATTGCAAAACCGTTTTCCAAATATCATTTATTTCTGTAAAGTTTTTTTAATTTTCATCTATTTTCTCAGAAATATCACTCCATATCTGAATTACTTTAAATTAGATATAAGTTGTAATCGAAGCGGTGCCTGCTGCACGCACGAAAAATATCGTTTGCCGCATGAAAGTTCATTTTAGCAGGTCGATTCATTGGTGAAATAAGAGAAACGTTAATGATCGAGATCTGCCAATGTAACTAAAGTCAGCAGTACTATCATGCCTTCATTTATTATGTAAGACACCTGTTCCTTTCCAATTGTTTAGTTCTGATTGTCATCTGACAGAAAAGACCGTGTTTACTACCTAATTGCTCGATCGTTGGCCGAAGAAAGAAACTTGCACACCGAGTCTGTTGAAGTTGAACAGAGAAGTTTGCTCGAGATTCTGAAAATCAGTATTCGTAGTTCTCATGTGAATATGCCGAATTTTGCCACAGTGGCAGGATTAAATAAGAAAAACCACAGAACAACGCATGGAACTAGATGAGTTATGTCTTAAGCAAGGCTAGCTAGGGAAAGGTAGATGCTGGCATACGCGTTCGCACATAATATTAGTGCATATTTTCACAAATGAACAGTCTTTCTAGCGATGGGTGACGAATCCGATAGGCTGGTTATAAACGTTGGTGGAGTTATCTTCGAAACGTATATCAGCACTTTACAGAATATACCTGATACGCGATTGGCGTGGCTAACTGAAGGCCTTGATCCAGATCCGAAAAATCGCAAAGAAATATTTTTCGATCGACATTCAGGGGTATTTGTTCATATTTTGAATTATTACCGTACGGGCAAGCTGCACACGCCGACTGATATATGCGGTCCTCTTTTCGAAGAAGAGCTCAATTTCTGGGGAATAGATGAAAAGCAAATGGAGCCGTGCTGCTGGGAAAGTTTCACGAAGCATCGCGAGGCCGAAGTAAATCTTAAGAGCTTCGAAGGACCTGGCTTTGAAGATCTTCGGAATGCTAAACAAAGAAAACTTTCCTCGTTTAGCATCCGGGATGGGCTGAGCTGTAGAGAGCGCATGGACCAGATCTGGAGCATCGTGGATCGGCCTCATTCTAGCAATATCGCCAAGGTAAATCCTTTTTTAAAGTTTCCCTTTTCTACCCCTACCTTACAAAGTATTTATTACCTTTGTAGATTTTCTTGCACATCACTGCATCCAAATTTTGCAAAAAAGTTTATTAGTGCTGATATATTTGTATCAATTTATTTTTGTTGCTCTTGTTAAGTTAGTTCAACTTGTTTAGCCATTTCACCCGATTGGGAAGTTTTCTCTATATTTCCTGTTGCTGGCAATTTTCCAGTGGCTCTTATATTTGGGAATTGCAGAACTTTTGAGGCCTGGCTCAGATTCTTTGTTTTCTTAAAACATGACTTACGTGATATTGAGAATGTGCTAAAAGTGTGCAAATGAGGAAATTATGTGACACAATTTAACCTGTTTATCAATACCTGCTTATAACGACAAACAACTTGTAACTGATAACGAATGCCGTGAAATTTGTTATTGTATTTCGAAACATACACGCCTAAAACTGTTACCATGGGGAAGCTCAAGGTGTTTTACTTTGGAATGAATTGCGCCATCAGCTATAGCTTCTTGGCACCATATATTGCTTTTACCACATTATCTTTTATAAATTAGCTGCTTAATCATGCTGGTAGCCTCATGCAGGCTCCGTTATACCAAACATATTTGTTGTTCTGTTTTCATTCGCCTATCTGTGAAAGGTAGCGAAAAAATTCACGATCAATCATACTGTAAACAAAATTGGATGGCTCTCGCGGAGATATAGCTGGGCGCTCGTATTCTACTCAAATTGTCAATGCGGTTTGATGGTCGAAGCAAATTGCTACTTCTGCTCATTTTCTGCTGTTGCCTTTAAATTTTGCGAAAAAGATACTTCCAGATTCTTTTTTACAAACGAAAAGTTACAGTCTGCTAAAGAAATTTTTAAAATATGTGTCTACTTTGTGTCTATATTTAACACTTTGACGCTTTTGTTTTGTTTATTATGCTGTCTTGGTGTGTGGTAAATTGCCACATCTGCGAACCTATTTTGCCAACTTAGCTGCGTTTCTTTCTATCCTCGATTCTAACCTTTGTTGTCACACAAGGCTCTTACCTGCCGCCTTTCATTTAACAATTATTTCTGAATGATATGAATGCCTTATGAATAGAAACCTTGCAATGGTATGATGCGATCACGCCCAGGAAGTGTTTTTCAAATACTAGTAAAATGATAACTTAAAAATGATTTTTACAGTCCCTCGTGTCATAAAACCTTCAAGATGCTTCAAAAGATGGACATTCTTATTGATAAAATTTTACTGATGCAGGTCTCTGCGTAAGTGTACTTTAGCCATGGATTCCAAGCTGGAAACACGCTAGATCTTCGTTGGTATCTCGCTGAATGTCTCAGAATAACCCTTTTATTTACCGACATACTTGTTTTATGTGTATTTTTTGTTTGCCCGCGTTGTTATGTAATTGGCTCCCATTTATTCTGCCTTATCTCTATGCAAACATTTTTCAATGCTGAGCAAATATTGCCGTATCGGTGTGTGAATGAAAAAAAGACCAGCTTGTTGATTTTTTCTTCCGCACAAAAGTTCGTCTTCGCCTTTCCATACCTGCTCTCGTCTATTATTAATACTTCTCCGTGCATTCCTCTACCGAAATTTTGTCTCGAATACCTCTAACCAGCTTTTCATTTGTCTATAAACTCATCTTTAACTTTTTCGAAGCAATTATTTATTTTGCTTTAGTGTGATTTAGATGATATACATTCGTAATTATAATCTTATTCCATAAGTCGTGTATGGCCTTTAATTATTGAAAGAAATCTTGTTTATGTTAATTTTCCTGAAAACTCAGCATTGGACTTCTCTTGTGGAAGGGAAGCTACGAACTGGTTTACTAAAGCTACAGTGTTTTGGTAGCTGAACTTTCTATTCCAGTTTGGCGTTTCGAGATGGTGTAAATATTCTACCAACCTAAAATGAATGTCTGCAACCCACAAATACAATTCAGCGAGCTTTCAAAGCACAAAACTCAATGTATCGTGGTGCTAACCTATTAGGAATTAAAGGCTCTTGTTGCTGTTGATTGTTCTCTGATGTTTCGTGCTGATCTTGTCCTTGTTTTCGCTACAAATATCAATTAAACTTTAAGCTTAAGTCTGTCGGCTTGAAATCTAGCATATTGTTTTCTTTGGTGGTATTTTATTCTAGAGGCTTCTAAGAATATTTATTTTTTTTTTAAATTGAATTGTTTAGCCTTTTGAAAGGTTTTCAAAATGAAACGATTCACAGAATACGTATAAGATGCTCCTCATTGACATATTCATTTCGGGTCTCTTTGGTCATCTTTACGTAGATGATCTGACAGTGGGGAAGACAATGCATGTCATTTCCTTCGCGTTCTTTCAACCCATATGCAAAGTCGCTTCAGCATTTTGTTTTTAAGTTCGACTGTTGTCTGATAGAGCTTATTTTCAATATACTTAAAAGAAATTCGGACTCTTTTGATATTTGCCATATGCTACATTCCCGGGCAAAAATAGTTGAGACTTTTCAAGGAAAGTTGATTTACCTTTGGAAAATAACTTTCCCCCTCCCCCAATTAAATGTTGAATGCATGATTTTTTAGAAAAAAATGAAGGAACTACAAATCCAGCATTGCTTCGGCGGGAATGGGGAGATTCAAATTTCCATGAGCAAAGAAGAGTAGAAAATTGCAAAAATTGCATTTTTTCTCAACAATTTTGTCTGGTATTGTAGCCAATTGTTTAAAATTACATTTGAGAATGATGAATTTCATATCTTTGTAACCTCTCTAAGCCAACTTATCTAACATCATGACCTAAGAGACTAACTTCATAGTTGAGGATATCATTATTTCATCATTTGCGTTTATTAAGATCTTGCTGTTGCTACTATCACTTCTCACAATGAATTCTGCTCTGGTCACGTGGACCAAGAAACCCTTTCTAAGTCAATTCCAGCAAGTAGAAAAAACGAAGTTTGTCTCAGTGACCAAGAAGCATTATATTGTCCGCCTATACCAGAGACCGAGAGAGGATTCGATGAAATTATGCGGACATATCTTCGAAAGGTGTTCGAGGTGCTTGTTATACACCTTGCCATATGGTTGTGGTTTAAGACATTATGCTGTCTCTTAAAGTAAGCAGTTTCTGCAAGCTTTCACGCAAAGGACACTTCAGGCCTTTTCCAGATTAATTAATAAATCAAAGATCTAATTTACAAATCAGACTTGTGCATTGTTTACTTGCCACTCGAATACTGCTTCTCCCATCGTATTAATATCATTGATCCTATTTGAGGTGTTGTTCTTCCAAAGCAGTCCTATTAGTTCATAGTTTATAAAACCTCCATCTGGCTTTCTTATTAGCGCCTATTCAATCGCTTGAACAAACAATCTACTGAGAAAACAAAGACTTGTCTGTGTTTGCGAGGTTGATTCTCATAATTATCCTTGCTGTTGAATGAAAACATTAAAATCCAAGGAGTACACAGCTTTACTCATCCAATTATGAATCCTATATTCCGACCCATTCACGAGACTTTGTAGTCGTTGTATACATTGTTCCTCGGCGTGGTGCTAAGATTTGTCACCGGCTGATGCCTGCCTTAAACTTAGGCCTATTGAAAAAAGGCCTTTTGCTTAATGCAGCACATGTTCTTGCTGATTATTCCGGCATATATGTCAATGGTTTTGATAAACAGAAACTTGTTCAAAGTTACAAACACTGAAATAAACCTATAAAGCAAGAGCACTGAAATCATTCATTTTAATTCAGAACTCATAAAATTTTTTTAGGAGTTAGATATGGCGACAAATGAATCAGCCTCCTTGCAATAAGGAACAAGAAGATTTTTCTTTCTCGTCATCGTTTCTCGAGACGTGTATTGAAATTTCTTGTTGCGAGCGTGTTTCTTTAAAACCAGTTTCTTCATGCTTTTCCTCACCAAACCAATCATTTCTGGTGGTAAAAAATTTTGAGATTCAAAGAAACCGTATTTACTACACACTGAAAAGCCGCTATTGTCTGAATTTTGCACACAGTATCAACTTCTTTTTAGTCTGAAAAGGTCTTACTTTGTTAACGTCATTTTTTACAATCATCGCCAAAACCTAATTTTATGGCCTTGTTGAGCAACCTGTGGGCTATTTAGTTTTTTCTTGAGTCTAGAGAAATCCTTGAAAATCTCCTTACTACCACAAATCACAGTTGCTGTTAATTCTTCCCGTGTTCGTTTTAAACGCGGTGAACCTGCGGTAAAACTGCGGTGGCAACCGCGCTGCTCATAATTCGCTAATGGTTGGCAACTTATGCTTAAACGCCAGCAAACTCGCTGCTGTATGAAATTATGACAGCAAGGAATACTAATGTACTCATGACGGTGCAAGGATTCATATTACAGTTGACTCTAAAAGAATTCACGACTTCATAACTGCAAGTTTGTACGCAAGTTGCTTTGCCTGCAATTTGCAAGGCTGTGGAAGGACAAGCCTCTATAGCCATTAATGTTGTCTTCTTTTCACACAACTCCAGACACTCATAGTTGCTCAAGCGATGTCTAGCCGGATTCAACTTTCTATATTATTCTGTATAGACGTATTATTACGTCATTTTGTTTGTTTGTCATCTTTCGATAAATTAGAATAATCGTCCAAGTCCGTGTGAAGAAACCCGTTTGTCCGATGTACCTGCTCTTTGCAGGAATTCTTTGCCATGCATATTTCAATATGTTTTCGCAGTTGTGTGGTTTTCCGGAACACTGCTGGCTAATCTGAATTTTCCAGGCTCTACTTACCGGCTGCCTACACATGTTCATTTGCCTTGCTAAATTTTTAATGAGATACATTGCTTACAAAATCAACAATGCCTTTCTTATGTAATTCAACTCGCTTTTTTATAATTAAACCCAAAACCATACCTCTGTATGTTTATAGCTGAACAATTGTAAACATTCTACTAAACTGGACGAGTCTCTGTTGCATTAAGCTTTCTTCAACAAATGATATCCAGAAATTCCAATGTTATCGTCGACTTTTCAAAAGAATTTTTTGCTTGTTTACCTATTGGATGCTGCAGTCAAATTCAGCATTAATGTTGTTTATGATATACCGCTACCGCGTCTTCCATATTCAGAATATCTCGTGCACTTTTTCTCAATGATTTCAGTGATCTGATCGGTGCATATACTTGAAAATTGTAGCTGAAAAACATGTTTGGGCCAGAATTGATGAGCTTAGTAAAAATGAAATTTTTCAGCTTAATCGACCTTTAGCTTCTTTCATAGACGGAAATCTATAGATGCAAAAGCCTTAGAAAGCTGCCAGGAGGGGCTGAGCCTTTTCTCTCAAAGTTCGAAGGGGGTGTTTGAGCTTAGCCCAGCATAGATTCCGAATCTTTGATTGGCTGAGCGACCAACATTCTCCACACTCCATTAGCCAATCAGAATTCAAGAATATGACAACAAACGTGCCTCGCAGCTAAATTAAGGCCTATTTTGGACGTTTTCATCACTACCCACAAAAAAATCAACGTGTAAAATGAGCTGAAAGATAACCTAAATTTTTTTTTTAAATTGAATCTTTAGTAAATTTATTAAAAAACTGCCGTTGTTGCCGTTTTTCCTACGTAGTTGGCGTAGATGTATACCTTATCTGAGCAAAAACCTTGTACTTTAGTCCAACTGGATAAGAGCTATCTTCTTGGAACATATTTGAAACCATGATATGCTATAGAAAGACCCTCTTACTATAAATGTCAAATTATTCACTTATTTCCAAGCTTCGTACCTTGACGATCTCTTAAAGTATGTGCGTCACAAGTGTCAAACTCGTATTCTTGCCACAGCTACTTATTTCCGGTAGCTGCATGATTAAGAACCCATGCAATTTTCCACATCACAATTTCGTTGTTAGGCTGCTTGTTCCATCTGTTGTTTGAAACGAAATATGTTCGCGGAGGCTTGGTCAGGAATTTCATATAAGACTCTCATGTAAGACTCTTCATGTAAGAGCTGTTTTAAAATAATGCTTTCGAAATTGATGAATAAAGAAAGATGATATTTATTTAACAATAGCCCGTTTACACGGTGCCGGATCATTTTGAGACCGTCTTACTGAAAGGATCAAAAGTTGTACTCCTAACCGGATCGATTGCCCAGTACTGATTGCCCAGTACTTATGTATATGCAAGACCTATCCGTATAACTTTTCCTCCGGAGCTAATGTTGTCCGGCATCGTGTTAACGCAGCGTGCAACAGCTTTTTTGCATCATCGTTCGTTTTTTATCAGTTTTCGTGTTGTTATAACCATGCTTGTTTTTTACTATTCTCTTTTCCTTTTTAGTATACGTCAATCTTGTCATGTTTCATGATCGTCTTGTCTGTCACAGTCTACTGCCTAAACACGTTGCCAGAACTGAAAGACTTGTCTTCTTGGATAAACACGCGATCAACAATAGACATATTTTGCATGTGCTGGTTTACTCTGGAATTTGCAATTCGCGTCATGGTATGCCCTGACCGGAAGGCTTTCGCGCAGTCTGTGAGTAACTGGATCGATTTCCTGTCTGTTATTCCTTCCTATCTGAAGCTGTTTTCAATCCAAGACACGTGGCTAATCAATCTGGTTATTATTCGATTGCTTAGATTATTTCGATTCTTCAAGCTTTCCTACGGATTGCAAGTATTGCTGCATACATTGAAAGCAAGTTTTTATGAGTTGGTCCTGCTTTTACTCATACTGTCAATCCCAATCGTGATATTCTCTAGTCTAGTCCACACCGTTGAGACGAACATGAACGGTTCAGAGAAATTTATTTCTATTCCAGCGACATTTTGGTGGTGCTTGATTACAATGACATCAGTAGGATATGGTGACATGGTTCCAGAGACATGGGCTGGAAAGATAGTTGGGGGAATTTGTGCCATCTGTGGAGTACTGATTGTAGCTTTGCCAATATCAGTCATAGGTAGCAACTTCTCCTTGTATTACGCGCATGTCCGTGCAAGACTGAAGCTGCCTTCGAAAGATCGTAAACTACTTGCTGGCAACATTCGGGGCCTTTTGAAGCAGCCACTCAGCCTCAGTTCCAGAGAGAGAGACCGGAGAGGTTTGAAGCGAAATAATATGCCAACGATAAGACGAAAAGGCTCGTCAAAAATAAGCTATAAGAATGAAACTGAAATCCAGGTCAGTCGTAGTGAATCATCTGGAGATGAAAGTATAGGGGAAACCTCTATGAATGCAGTAAATTCTAGCGAAGAGTGTCTCGACTGGGATTTTTCGGCAGATTCAAAGATGACTTTCCGCCAGGCGTCTTCTGGACAGCAAAGAAGCAACCAAAGAGGGAACCGAAGGGAGGCTGTGACGGCATTACTTCCAGGATCAGACAGTGATGGGCCTGTACCATATGAAGTAAAAAAGCATAAAGTTTGCCTTGGGAAAGCGAAGGGTGTTGGGAATGCACTGCTGCATGTTCCAGAACATGACAATATTGTCGCGACAAATGAGCAAAGCTCGCTTGAAGATAATTACCGAAATTTAGTGTCCTCTTTAGAATCGGATAAATCCTCAGTGAATGATGATTGTGACCTATTTATCAAAGAAAATGAAACCTGTTTAGTCGATAATACCGGAAGTGATCCAGCCTCGAGACGATGTTCTTCAACACGAGGCTCTAGCCGGAGAGCTTCAATGAAGTTGATGGACCTCAACGTGCTTCCAGACAAATGCGAAAACAAAATACTATCAAATGACAGAAGGCGCAAGGAAACGATTACTTCTATTGACGAGCCATTCTCGCATCAACACAAAAAGAAAAAAATTAAAAGTAAAAGACCGAGCAAATTGCCCGATGCCAAAATCAAAAATTCAGTCCCTTCATTTGGACGAAGACGGCGAGATGGTATTTTCACATTAGAAAATATGGATAAAAAGACTTTCAATGGATATTTGACGGACTCAAGTGAAAGAGATGGTAGTCCGGTTGAACCACCTGGGCTAAATTGCTCTCCAGCAAGCCCTGGGTTTGAAAATCTTCAAAATTCGGATATGGCTGTGCTGTTGAGTGTGCCGAATTCTCCGAACCTTTCGTCTAACGAGAAAATCCCTGGAGAACTCATATCAAAACTGAACTCTCTTGCACTTTCTCAAAAAAGTGTTGACGGGACTATCAGCAAAGACGAGGCTGGTTTTGGTCTGAAATGTAAAGAGAAGCGAAAACTCTCAGGTCAGTCTCACATTGTTATTAAACACCTCCCACGAAATTTGAATAGAACAGGAAGAAACTTACATAAAACAAGGAAAATTTCCAGAAGTGAGTCAAATTTACGAACGTACTATCGAGTGTTCAATGACGTTCAGGAGCCAGAAAGACTGCCTTGTATACGCCATTACGCGAGCCATAGTGACGTCAGGTTGCTAGAATCTGGTGTCTAGCTCAGGCTTTTCTATTCATAGATTTTGAATCATATTATTGCAATTTGTAGGTATGGGTTGTATCATATATCTTATCTGTAAAAAGATCAACTTTTTGTAGTTCTTTGACGTTAAAACGAAATATTTCTAGAAATATTCATCTAAGTTTGCTTAAGCTATAATTCTTTAATTCTTTAAATTACTCATGGTGAGCAATTCTTTAATATGGCAAATAATTATATGAAAATCAACGCAAGTGATGATATTTGAACCAGACATATCTTGTCGTCTTTTTCTCTGACATTAAGTAATGAAAATGTATTGGGCTAAACACGCAAACAACAATCAATGCCGTCGCCTAGGAGCGAGTATTTTGCTACTGACGTAATATGCCTTCTTTGCAGTGGTGTAGTCAGTTTTCGGCATCAACAAGGAGGTCTCAGCCCCCTGAGCCCCCTAGCTTTACATCCCTGCTTCTTTGATACCATCATTAATTTATGGTGACTCAGCTTCCGAAAGTATAAAAGAGTTGAAAATTTGATGGACAAAAGACTAAAGCATTTAGAGCTGTATCGCCGAAGATTTTCAAAATTTGGTTTAGTCCTTGTATTTCCAATCAAGTTAAAGGCTTTATTCCTCATCGCAGAAAAGTTAGAGTTTAACATATTCTCGTTTTCTTGTCCTTTAATTAGGCCATCTGCCTAAAGACTAGTATTTGAGGAGAAAAGCATACAATAAACATAGACTTAAACTTCTGAGGATCAGTTTTTTCTAAAGCACATTTGAGAGCACATTCGTCAGCAATCTTGAATGCATACGTCATTACCATGCGTTCACAATGTATCATTAATAGTGAGGCGACGTTACTAACAAAATGACTAGCGATTCTCCAACTGATCTCTTACAAGATCTCTTTAGACAATTGCGCCTATGCAATGCGCTACTTTTGATTAAAGTTGTGTTATCGAAGTTGTGTTAGCTGACTAACTTACTCTAAAATTCGTAATAGGCTTATGGGTCACGTTTAAATTGTCCCAACAGCAGAATATCGGTGCATCTGGAAATGAGTGTATATGGTGTTGCATTCACTGCCAAACAGTAATGCTTTGATTCATTATCCTGTTTAATATAAACCCAACTGAATTCCCCAAAACATGCTCCAGGTAACAGGCTTTCATTTCGGTCTATGTTGGCAATTAATGTGTTGGAATCATTTCTCTTCGTTGTGCTTTGGGCATTCCTTAAACGTGTCTTGCCGTTAGACAATTCAGCTTAAGTTTTACATTGTCAAGATACCAAGTAAACAGGAATGTTGAACATAAATAGAATGATATAGCAACCAATTAATAGGACTAGATAGTTAAGGATTTTAACTGATAAATAGAGGCTGAATTTAACTCTCGCAATTTATAATTAATATTACTGATGGAGTCTCATGCGTTTAGCGTCTTCAAAATCTTGATTGAATACAACTCGATATTCGATGAAACTGGAAAGCTTGAAAGTCAGGGGCGGATCCAGCAAAAAACCTGACTAAGTTCCAGGCCAAGGCTAGGAACTTTCAGATAATGCATCTATAATTGTGCATAAGACAACCATATTATTCATATTTATACATTTTGGTACCATTCAGGGGGAGGGGTAGGTACTATCCACTCAATAAATCTAGACTCTAGATTTCTTTCCGACAAAAAACAGTGCCTCTGTGAAAATTTTTGCAACCCCCTCCATTTCTCAATACCCTTTTGTTTGTCTTGGATGCCACAGCAAAGTTTTTCCCTTTTTGTTTTGCTTGAAATTTGTTGCTTTGCCTCTGTAGACACCAGCCTATTCGTCAAAATATGGTGTTCCGTCTGAGCATAGGTGCTCCGTGACATCAAAGACTGCAATTTAAAGAAAAAGTAGTTGATAATCCTGGAAAATTAGCGATATTTCCTGGTTTTATCTCAAACGGTTAATAATCTGCTAGAATGCTGCGAGGGTCGTGAAAATAAGACATCTGCAGTCGCCATTTCCAATTCAATGTTTTGCAGTTCCACAACAGATCAGAAACAATAGTTGGCAATCAACTTCTGGCTATTGTACAGCTCTCTTCAAATATGGTATCATTTTCGAGTTCCAGATGCTGTTTCGACTGAGTTCCATCCGTGTTCCAAACAAAAATTTCATCGTTTCAATTCATTCACTTCCGAGGCACAAAACGTTTATTTCCAAGTTCTAGGATTGACTGCTGTTGTCCTCCACAGCGTCTGGAAAATCGTTTCCAAATCACGACCGACAGAGAAGGAAGGAAAAGGGAGAACAGATTACATCAAACTGGTAATTTTAAACTTTTGAAGAGACTATGATAAAACATAGAATTTTTAGGTTACTTGTTTCAGGCAACACTATTTTAAGCTATATGTTGGAAAACTGACTGAGTTCTGTGCACCATGGAACTCACTCTGGATCCGCCTCTGAAAGTGTATGAATTTTTTGGCTAGGTTCAAAACGACTGCATAGCAAGAGTAAGCTAAATTTGTATAGATAAGGAGAATATATTGAAAACAATGCTATCATTGCGGAGGAACCAAAATTAAGAGGTGATAGAAAAAAAGAACGAATTCATTTCGGTCCGTAGCTACCTTTCTTGAAAACCTTATTACAGAGTTTATCTTCTTCTTCTACTTCTTCCTCTTCCTCTTTTGTCTTTCTATTTTGTTCCACTTCTTTTGTCTTCTTTTCTTCCTCTTCTTCTCTTTTCTTTCTTTCCTTCCTCTGCTATTTTTTCGCCTTTTCTCTATTGTTTTCTCCTTTTTCATTTGTTTTTCTTCCTTTTTCTTCTTCTTCCTTGTCTTTTTCTTCTTTTCCTTCCTTTTTGTCTTAGATTTTTTTCAGTCAGGGCAAAAATAACTTTCTTTTTTTCTGGTCGCATCAAAATATGTTTGTTTCAGTGATTAGATCATCCAGCAACGTGCATTCAGAGCATTCTGGGCTCTGCCTTGATCTACCCCTACTTAGCACATTGATTAGAAAGTGCTAAATAGGGGTAGATCATATTTTCTAAGAAAAGTTAACCTGGTAGAAAGAACTGAAACGAGGCAAAAAGGGCGCGGTCTCGCTGGCAACAACCATTACCCTTCCACTCTGCAGTAGCTGGCGCCCCCACTGCCACAAGTTTCCTTCCGGTATGTATAACAGTTGCGGAGATATTTTTAGAAAAACCTTTTTCAATAACCATGAGTTACCCCATGATCCCCACGGCCCCATATCCCAGATTTGTATTCGGCTGGGTGACACCCTATGAAAAGGAAATATTCGAATGGGTTTCGTCGTTTACGAGTTTTTCTTTTTTGGATGTTTGAAATACTGCCGCTGATCACGACTCAATAAACTTGAGTGTATTTTGTACTTATTTTATACTGAAGTAAGATCAAGAGCAAGAAGATGTGAAAATATGAAAATCGAAATTAAATTATGATTTCCTCCTGGTAAGCACCATTCAAGGCAGGTCATATTTTTCTGGTTTGCTAAAAAGAAAGTTGGATCTAGCGAAAGCAGTTCGGCAAGGTGATGCAGAAATCTCCTGATAAATGTTCGGAAAATGCTTTTATTTGGTCAATAAACCGTATCATTTTGATCTCTTGCGAGTACTAGAAACGATAAAAACTTTGAAAAGAGCTCTATCATCTTCGGCACATTTAGCAGCAAAATTTCGATCAGCGATTATTTCTATGAGCACGAAATAAGAGTCACAATCTCCGGTTTTCTGGCTAAAGTGTAGGCAGATAAGGGCATGTAACGGCTAAAGATTGTTCTGCCGTTACATGTCGTGACCTGGCAGTAATTCTTTAACTCAGTAGCTGACCCAAATAAAAAGCAGTTTCCCAAATTTATCCAACATTTGAAAAATGCTGTCTCCTTGAGTCAACAATCTTATTCAACCCTATAATCTATTTGAAAATGTTTACGTGGTTTTCTTTGAATGAAATTACAAAGCAGATGAATGGGTCGAGCATTTTTTCTTGGACATGGTTTTCTTATGAGTTCATTTTGAAATGCACCTTTAAGATTGAGCAAGCCCTTTACTAAAACAGCATCGCCCGCTATTGTGCTGTTCGTATGTACTTTGTTACCCAAACAATGGGATCACTTCTTGACCTGCCAGACTAAAGCACAGAAAAGCCTTGCTTTATTGCTTGTTTCACAAATATCTTTAATATAAGTAATGAGTATCGTCAAAATTAGCTTTCATTTATTGAAACAGTAGATAAAAATGTCCCTGGAAAGAATTTCCAAATAACGTGAATATATGCAGCCAATTAGTTCTAATAGATGTAAATTTAGTATAAACGATAAGATCAAATTAAAAAAAGTGTTAACGATGAGATCAATTCTAGAAAACCAATAGATTTTACTAATTATTAAATGATAACTCAACAGTCACGCCTACCTCTCCTATCAATACAAAATAAGTAAATTCAATATAGGACAGAAATATGATATATTCTATCTGAAGACGATGTTGTAATAAAGAAGCAGTTTTTCTAGATATCTGCCGCTACGTATTCTCGTAGATCTCTTCTTCATGTATGCAATGCATTGCCATTGTTTAGAAAATCGCTTTCAGCAATGACGTCACGATTTGAAATACTCTCCTGAGACCTCTTTCTTTTGAATCCGTGCACGGCACGATATTTTACGCGATGGAATATCATCCTGAACGGGCTTTTCAAATCTCCTAGCGTACCGTAGATTACTGGATTCAATGCCATTTGAAGAATTAATAAAAGGTTGGATGCTTTAAACAAAGATTTTTGCAAACCCAATTTCATTCTGGTTAGGTTTCCAAAGGAGTGCCAGAAGAAGAATATATGTTGAGGAGATGAGCAAATTGTATAGACGCCAACAAGAGTGATTGTCATTCGCATGATTTTCTTGTGATAGCCTTTGTCTCTCAGCCGGTATTGTTTCAACACCTTGAACATGTGCAGACTCAAAGATATCGTTATACACATCGGAATCAACACCTGTACAAAAAATATAGTCGTCCAGTAAACCCTTTCACTTTGTAAAGTCTCCCATCGCTCATAGCAATAATACACGCCACTCCCGGGCGGAAATTGATGAGCAACAACAACAAACATGAGCGGCATACTCAACACTATGGCAACTAACCATATAACGGGAACAGATATCTTCACGATAGACGCTGTGTCACTTCTCCAGCGCAGAGGCTTCGTTACGCCTCGATGCCTGTCTATTGTTATGGCAACTAAGGTGTAGATAGAGGCAACAAGCGAGGTTGGTATAACACAGTAATTAAAACGGCAAAAGAGCTCTCCCATAGTCCATGTCATGTTATTCTCGTTTTTGATGACCTCTACAGGAACGTAAAATAGAATGACTAGCAAGTCAGCCAGAGCCATGTTAAGAGTATACCAATGCACGGCTTTGCGGAGGTGTCTATTTCTTATTATGACGTAGCATGTTATTAGATTTCCCATTAGACCAATGACAGCAACAACAACATAAACAACTAGAAATATCGACTTCGACAACTCGCTTTCCACTTCAACCGTTATAATGGATGCGTTGTTGGTCCCTAGCGTTGCTGCAGTGACCACAGTCGTCAAAAGTGTTCGCGTCGTGCTTCGCGTCGGTTGAAGTGAATGGTTCTGCAACATTTTGCCTGGAATGAAGAAAGAATGGTTGAAATTTTGCGGAATATTTTGGAAATTGTATGTCAATCTTGATACGATTTTTTACGTTTTGTTAAACTTCAGCTGCGCTTTCCAAAGTCCTATAAAAAAAACAGGAACATTACAGTTCAGTTCTGTTGTTATTCTATTCACATCAACTCCCAATAAATACAAGCTGAACCTTTGCACATCCTCCGTGACTTTATTTGGTTCTTAAGCACACCTTTTGGTACCCTCGGTACCAGACTCACTATATATGATATAAAATAGAGAGCCAGACTCCATTTTATTCTATATATAGTGAGTCTGGTATCAAGGGTAATCATTTGGTTACTGTCAACTGTAAAAGGACTTCAAAATGTAACTTAGCAGTTGAAGTGTAAAATAAGTGCATCTACTTGAAAACGTGAGATAGTTTAGAAATATCTTTCAAATTTGATTAATTTGAATTAAATAATATTCCGTTTCGTCGGAAGGAAATTCACATTGGGGAGGGGGGCTGCCCATTGTGTTGCTCCCCATTCAGTACACTGTACTATACATTCAGTATATCAAGGAAATATACTAAAATTTGACAATTATTGCCCCCCTCCCCCCTTCCGACAGCCCTGATATAACATCATAGTGCTCATCCTTTAAACGTGTACTCAGCATGTATGAGATTGGCAATGCTTTTCTGGAGTTCGGAGATTTCTGAGAGTTATATCCCAAGCCTTGACCATCTCTACGATTTCTAGTTTCCAGGTTTCAAATTTCAAAGACAGTTTGAAAACAAGGCTAAAAAGTAATTAAACGTTTTTTCTTTCACATGGTTATCCACGTATCCAGCCCTTTCGAATATTTTTGTTGTTTAGATAGCATAAATGACTACAAGCCGATCGCAGACCGACCAAGTCTCGCGCATTTTGCGCAAGTCTCGCGTCTAGAAGATGCAGGAAATAATAAAACAGACAATAAAAACAATAGAGCTAATTAGGGAGAACAATAAATCTCACGTACTTGGGAACATAAACTTGCCAGCTACGCCAATGAATCTACGATTCCTACCTTGTACCTTCTCTGCTACCCGCCTATTCCTGTGAAAATCTGCCGTAAAGACATGTCTTCTGGATACTTCCTTGAAAACCTAATGGGTTTGATGCTTACTGCTATAATCGCCAGATTTATCTTACAGAGACTTACCAAAAAATTCATTGAAGATTGATATTAAAGATCGAGTAAAAGTGTGATTTAATTTCAGTACTGCATTCACGTCATTGCTTAAAATTATGTTTGTTATCCATTTTGGTTTGTTTGCTCAAACCGTAAATATTTACAAAAATTCTATATTTGCTGGTTATTAGAAATAATTGAGAATTATTAAAGTCGTATTAACAATATATGATAAAGAAAAACATGTTCAATCACCTATTACTGCAGCTAATTAACTTAAATAAATCTAATACAATCCGATCTGCAATGAAAAGTTTATCCTCTCATAAGACTTCTGTAAAAAACTCTCTGTGAAAAGCACAGGTATTTTGATAATCCTTGCTAAAATGGTTTCTTTCTATGTTCTGTTGCCTGGCCTAAATGAAATACCTTCTAATCCATAAAGAGATCACATCAAGCCAACTCGTATTTAGATTTTCCTTTTGTCGGCTGTTTGTTGTTTATAGATCCATGAATTCTAATCAATCCGCTGTTCCAGTCTCGGTTATTTCATTGAATACAACTCTGTGATTTCACAGTATTATGTACATATTTTATTCAATACCGGTCACACATAGATGCTTGCATTTCATGGCAAACTCGTCCTTTATTTTTGTTAATCGAAATCTTAGGTTCATTCTTTTAGAGAGACCTTAATCCTGTTTGGACGCCCAGCACGCTGCGAGAGATAGGTACATTTAAGAAGAACGCAGCTTCGTGGTCTTAAAACGATTAACGATTCCGTTTTTCAAATACACAAGACAAATGAATGGGAAATATAACTGCTGTGTTATGAGAGAGGCAAAAACTGGAATGGTTGAATTAGTCATTCAAACAATATGTTGCAGATAACAGTACAGTTTAAGTAATGAAAAAAATACAACCTAACGTAATTGATTTATACCAACGAAACACCTTGGATGGCCTAGGGAATCCAATCCTCTAAAAATCAACTATGTTGAAAATTCTGCAAAATTGCTCTTTTCTCAAGGCCTTATTTCAAGAGTAGCATTTGTGAAAAGCTAGTTTGCAATGGTGTTGGCTTCATACAGAATAACAGGAGGGCTAAACAAAACCTTTGTACAAGACCAGTTTAATAACCTTGAGGTTTCTGAAAAGGGAAAGCTTTTAGAAAAAAATATTACCTACTTGATAGTTTTTAGGTTACGATTTTTTTCTTGTCGCGAAATTGAACATAGAGGTTACGCATGTTTGTTATAGGAGATGTTCATAGCAGAAACTGTGAAAAATGAAGCAGTCATTTATGTCAATGAAAATTAGCAATCATTCCTTTATTCGGACCATAACTTCTAACGAAAAGATATGAAGCGTTCATATTTTTGAACAGTCCGGTACGATTCAAAGCGTTCGTGAAAACTCTGAATGTTCCCCCTTTTGCAAGATGTTATCGATATGTTTATTAGGAATATTCCTTGAGACAGGCCTTTGATTTTATTTGTTTTATGGCAGTCGAAACGCATTGTAAACACAACTGGATGTTTTAAATCAATTGACTACTCGGCATTTGATGTCAGAAAGTTCACGCAAAAAGCAGATGTTTAGCGTTTTTTAAAGGGTTTTGCGCGACCCGACATGCTTAGCGGTAGATATCTTTTTGTCACTTGTTGTGCTAAGCAAGTGACTTCAGATTAGAAATATCAAAGTTTCTTTCGCTCAGTCTAAAGGGAATTTTTTATTCGCAATTAGTTTACTCTCCTTTGAAGGCAATTCGCTTTCATGTGGTGCGGGCTGAAGGAGGCAGATTTCAGCTGTAAATAATTTGGACATTTTGAAGAAAAGATGCTGCCATTTTCTTAATATATACAATAATGTCATCAAATTTGGCTGAGCTTTAGGTAGATATATGCTCTACAGAATGAATGCTTGTTTTTGGCAGAAAACCCCGTTGTTTCCATGGAAACGAGAGGAAGCTGGGGGCACTAGATTTACTCTAGGTACATTTTGGTTTATTTATTTTCTTTAAAAATATTCCGATAACTGCCTAAATCAACTTAAAAACAAAATACGAAAAGAAACTTTGGAACAATATATCTGAATTGGCTTTTATGTGATTATGTCACAGAAAAGCAAATAATGTTTATTTGAACTGTGATCGTGTGTACCACTTACCAATTTAATGTCTTTCCCATTCACATCTTTTATCGCAGAACGAAGCCCGTCTGAACTTACACGCAATTTCAAAAGAGCGAGATCCTCGTCTGTACCGTTTTGTAGAAAATTAATGTCACGACAAATGAAAGCATTTTATCAGTGGGGTGTCATTAAATGAAACAAAGTCTTTTCGAATGCGCAGTCGAGCAAACTGCACATTCATCCTGGGATATGGGGATACGATTCATTGATTATTAGGCAGAACAAAAAGTAAGTCTTTTTATAGCTCTTGATAAAAAGTAAGGGGAAATTGCTTAGGATCCGTAACCAAATAAGCGATTTCACAGTTTTTGCCGCCATTATGAATTGGCAAAAATGGCGGACACGCAGCAAACGAGCAAATTACCGCAGAATTTCCAGTCAATTTTGTAGCTAGAATTGCTGATAAAATTAGGCAGTAATCAGCTAAATTAGAATTTAAATGTTCCTTTTTTACAATAAGCAACTCACAAACAGCATTCCTTGTTGTTTTCCTTGTGATTTCACTGCTGACTTTGACCAGGCTGAAATCAGTCCCCTTTGACCTCTCGTACAAAAACTTCCGCTTTTCGATTCAAACCTTGGTGAAACTCGTTATTTCTAGCCTGTTTACAACCATCTTGAGTTGGACTCTCTTCAGAAATTCATTTGACGTCAATAAAACCTGTAAAAGACATCAAAACATCGTGACCACTTCTATGATCGTGACGCATGTTATTGACGGAGGATTCCCCTGTATAGCATGAGAGGCATATCTGCTGGGATGCCATACAGGGGAATCCTCCATTACATTACATGCGTCACGATCATAGAATTGGTCACGATGTTTTGATGTCTCGTACAGGTTTTATTGACGTCAAGTGAATTTATGAAGAGAGTCCAACTCAAGATGGTTGTAAACAGGCTAGAAATAACGAGTTTCACCAAGGTTTGAATCGAAAAGCGGAAGTTTTTGTACGAGAGGTCAAAGGGGACTGATTTCAGCCTGGTCAAAGTCAGCAGTGAAATCACAAGGAAAACAACAAGGAACGCTGTTTGTGAGTTGCTTATTGTAAAAAAGGAACATTTAAATTCTAATTTAGCTGATTGCTGCCTAATTTTATCAGCAATTCTAGCTACAAAATTGACTGGAAATTCTGCGGTAATTTGCTCGTTTGCTGCGTGTCCGCCATTTTTGCCAATTCATAATGGCGGCAAAAACTGTGAAATCGCTTATTGCCGGGACTTTATTTTGACTCTTGTTTCGACATCAGAACATATAAAGGATCGAAATGAAATCGGGGGTCCCTCTTGATTATAGCAGGAACACCTCCGGAGAGGTGCAAATAGATGGCTGCGGCTCAACGAGCTTCAAATGCGCATTTGGAGGCAATTTTTACAAATAGAGGGGCAAATCATATCATCAACGTTGTAATTGATGTAAAGGATCCAATTTTGTAAATCAAGAATTTAAAAGTCCGGTGCAAATGGCGTTATAGCGACTAAAGTTCAACTTCTTTATTTTGACTCCTTAAGATATCGCGCTTCCATCGTTGAGGAAAGGAAAGTAAATTAAGCGTCTAGAACAAAAAAAGTCTTTGGAGTTTACATGTTTGGCCTTCACGGTCGCAGAACAAAGCAAAAGATATGATGGTGACAAATGCAATCTTTGGGAGGGAGCTTGCAGCAAAGGAAAGAGAAGTTTTCACCCTACAGGTTGGGAAAATTTGAAGGTGTAAGCGAGCGTAAAGGTAAGCAGATAGCTCATAAATTTTGCGAAAAATTTTCTTATTCAAGACGCGAAAAAATTTATATTGATTAAGAAACTTTTATGTTATTGAACAAGAAAAATATTACAAGTGACCCAAAATAACTCTCTCAATCGAATCATACTAACTTTAAAGTCTATTTTTGAAATTTTGACGAAAACGCGGGAAAAATTGACGAAAACGCACCCTCGAAATTTTTTCGCCGTTTTCAAATTTTATTAGATCCCAGTCTTACCGCGTGAGTGTATACGCCATTTTCATCGCATAAAATTAGTAATAATGGTCAATTGTCTTTGGACAATTATGATTGAAATTACTTTGGGCTATTGCTGAAAATTTTTCACTTTTATGAAATCAATTTTGATTCCAGAGGACAAAGATACATTTATTTATTTCGAGGGTGAATATGAAAGCCTTCGTGCCGTTGTAATAATTACATTGGCGATCACCGCGAATCTAAGGCTGAACAGTGAAGGCATCTTTGACGGGATTATGAACCATTCCTAGATTTAAGGTAAGTATATAATTGATTTTATCTAAATGTTGAATTTCTAAAGCGTTTTGGGTGGGGAGAGGTAAAAACGTAATTTGCCTGAATCTCGACACGAAATTTATCGTTCATTTGCGAGGTGTTTTTTTATATTATTCTTTGCGACCGAACAGTGGCGCCAATATAGGTTAAATAGCAACGCATGATGATGAACTGGACAAAAAATAAAGTGGAAAATCGCTTTGTAGAGGCGTGCAATGTTTTTTGTAGACAATGTGGTAAAAACACGCTGAAATGGCGAAAATGGGCCTAATTCTAGCTGCGAAGCGATTTTGTTGTGAAAATCCTGTGTGCTGATTGGCTTAGAATATGGTAGCGAACAGAGCTCTCAGCCAATCAAAGATTTGACCGCTATGCTGTTTAGGCTATTGTTCCAGCTATTGTTCTCGTTAACCAATCCAAAACGAGACAGATTGCCTTTAACAAGAAAATGTTTTGTAGCCATCTTTCCAGATCGCAAAAAACTGCTTTGCCTGTTGCAGAACCCGAGCCCAAAATCGTGTTAAATTTCAATTGACTTGCTCTTCAGTCCGGACCACTCCATATGCACAAGTATATGGGGTAAACTCACGAAATTGACTAGGATTTGCCAAGATTTGTTCAAGTTTTTTCTCCTGCAGTTGAAATCTTCGTTTTTTACAAATAAAAAAACGCCGAATAATTCGAAATTCGAAGGAAAAAAGTTATCGAAAATTCATTCGTTATCAAAGTTATTGAAAAACAAAAATTCGACTATGGAAAATTCGAATGATCGAAAGTTCGAATATCGAGAGCTCGAAGTACCGAAACATCGAACTATTTAAAAGTCTCGAAATTTCGAAAGCTCAATTCATCAAACGCTCGAATTACCAAAAATGAAATGCTATGAAGTAAATTGTTTGTTGTTCTTCTAATTTGATCTTTATGCTTAAGGCTAATGAGTATCGGGTATTGACTTAAGCATTCTGTGCGCTTTTGGAGTTAATTAGTTTGATTAAATCGAAGGAAGAGATCCTTTCGAACTATGTTTTAATGGTTGGAATTCGGGTTTGCCTTCTGGTTTGCTTTTTTCTATTGGAATTTTCGTTTTTCTGTCGAAACATATGGAGAATGATTTCAAACGAAGATAAGAAAGTGGATGTCGTCTGTAAGGAGATAAGAACTTTAAGCTTGGGTCTTGAATCATGCATTGCTGATTTAATAAAGCTTTCGATCTTTCGATACTATAAGTGATGGTAACCTGTTAAAAAGATACAGAAATATGCATTTCTTGGTAGTGAACATTTCTAATTTTACATTTTATTTTCAGGCAAGATGGCAGTTAGGTAAGTTCGACAGTACTTTGCCATTAAAAGAATATTCATACTTTGATGTTCCACGGGAATGTTGTCTTGGACTCTTTTTTTTATTTTTTCTATCAAAGGCCAATTTGTCTAAAAAGCCTGCCAGATAGCAATGCAAGCTGCAGACATCAGTATATTTATTTCCACAAGGAGTGTCGAAGATCTGAACACGATGCCCAACAAAGAATTTACTTCGTTAAGGATATGGCCCCAGAGCAATAAGTTCTTTAAAATCCCAGATTGTCTCGGAGACACAGGAGATTATTTTTGGATCTCGCTCTATCTAACCTATAAAACTAGTGCAATCCCTTTCTTATGACTTTGATGGTTACGAAGTGGTGTTTGATAACGTCAACCACCTAGGGAATTCATATTGCTCAACCATTAGCTAAAAACGGATGAAACCATTTCTTAATGATCTAAAAATTGCTGTCCCACAGGATTTTTTAAATGTGCCAAGAGACTAGTTCTTAAGGATACTTTTGTAAATGTATCGTGAAATTGCTTAGTCGCATCTCCATTACTGTTGTCCTGCCTGGTTGGCATTCAGAATGGGGACTAATCGCAAAAGCTACACTCTCTTAAAGCTGGAGTTGATCAATGCTATCTTTTTTTATTTTTTCTTGTTATCTTAAGGCTCGGTTTTCTTATGAAAAATGTGTGTGTAATGTAAAAAATCAAGTAACGTTCCTGAAACAATAGTAATCAGTAAGAAAGCGTAATTAATGAGACCTTTCAAACGACAGGTAGTGATGCCACGAGTTCACCTAAGGGATATACCCAGTCCACGATGTTTTGAATCATTAGATTAGGCAAACCAACTCCTAATCAAAATTCTTCTAAAGACTGTGTAAGCAAATTCCAACACAGCGTTCAATCATATTCGCAGTGCTGCAGTGCATGTGAACCAGTTGCGTGCAAGTTTTTGTGATCTCAGTTATGGGCAATAATTACTTTTTTTGCAAAGCACATGTTTCCCCAAAATTTGCAATGTTTGCACTGCCGTTCGAATGTGTGCAAATATGGGAAGTTCGATTGCATTTGAAGAAGTCTGCTTGACGTTTGCAGTTTGTTAACCCAATTATCAATGTTGCAAATGATAGACCACGGATGGAACGCCCTGTAGTACGCAGCCCCTAAAAGACTGGCGAAACGTTCCAGCCCCTAGTTGCTAATAGAGATACTCTACGAAGAACAACTCGTCATGTTTCACCATAAGCACCATTGCTTCTAGTTTAAACAAGGCATCAGAACATTATACTCAGCTAAATGCACCACTTTTTCCTGATTTTTTTATCAAGATATGATTTAGCGAATTTTCTACGAAGTTGAACAGTTTTTGATGGTAGACACAGAGCCTTTCATCCCCTTCATGAAAACATTTTCATTAGCATGCTTTCTATTGACATAAAGTCAGAGAATTAATTGTTTAAAAAACTATATGGAATCTTTAGTAGTTCTAAACGAACCAACCTCGTTACAGAAGCATGGTATATTTCTTGAACAGTATAGTTGCTTTATTCTAGTAAAACTGGATTTCTTGAGTTTCAAGGAAGCATGATGCCAATCCGTTGTATTCAAATGCTTTGGCGCAACACTGCCACTCTTTGCAGATGCTCTAAAATGCCAACAAGGTATTGGCATAGCGGAAATCCATAGATAAGCTCTGTAAGGCCTTTATTTAAAATGTCGCCGATTTGTTTGTTCGAGAATCAGCGTTACAATTGTCATTCTTTGCAGAGAGTTTTGTCTAATCCTTATGTCAAATGCATGCATATTTGGTGCATATGCGTATGGGTTCTGAAGGGCATTCACTATGATCATAATCACCATCATATTCGTGGCCATTATCATAATAATCAGCATGATTATGTTTATCACCACCTCTGCCGTCGTTATAAACATTATCATCATCACTTTTATCCCCATAATAATGACGGCCGCCATAAAAATTACCATTACCCACCATTCAGAACCACAACTTGTCATGGTAGTACTATTGACCTTAGTAATTTCATCTTTGCATTTTTTGCTGTTATTTTATCCCGATACATCCATTTTATCCCAGTACTTAGTGCTAATCCAAGATTCTTTTAAAAAAATGTGCACTTAAACCTCAAGATCCTAGGGCAATTCGCCAACCTGGCCTACTCTCAGCGTCCCTTAGTGTCATCATCTTTGCTGGCCACGAGGGCACCTAAGGTATCTTATTTCTTAACGACCTCTTCTCAGTCAATGTCGATCCTTGTTCTTTACTTGCTACCTCCTGCTAGTAGTGCTTGTTATAGTCTACCTCCAGCTTTGATTGAGCCTCCGAACCCATCTAGTTCCTCCCACATAATAAATTCTGAGTGCAATATTCATCGGGAGTAAAAGGAAAGTCAGAAATAGACGTATATAATTGTGCAGGGGAGGGGGGGGGGGGGAAACACTCACTCATGAGCAGAGGCAGTCTGATATCATCATAATTGCAGGGTGGCAAGCAAGCCAAAGGGCCCGATTCAGAGTGTGGCAGATAAACTCTTTTGAGCTACACATACTAATTAAAGAAATACCTAAAATGCGCTCAATCCAACTCAGTTATTGATGGGTAGATATATTGAAGAGCAGCAATGCTTGCACTTCATTTTTAGAAAACATTTTGCACGTTTTGTACTTTATTTAAATCAAACATTTGCAATAAAAACAGAACAATAGTCCTATTTGTAACTCCAAAAAATTCTAATAAGAGTTAAGAATAATAATTCCGATGTAACACTTCTAGTGATATTGTCAAGCAAACCAAATATATGCGAAATTCTAAAATTGTGTCAACTTTTCACTGTCTAGTTTAGTATCTTGACTAAAGTTCGAGAGTTTGCAATCTAGAAACTTATTCACACTAAACCATAATTGACAGAACTCAAATTAATACCGATTCTTTAATCTTTAACAAAGTTCATAACTCTAGACACGTTGTTAATTAAACAATTAGCAATCAGACAAACTTCAGTATTACTTTCAACATGCACCTTTCAGAAGACTTTCAGAGACAAGAAGAAATAAAGAGAAGCCAGAGAGACTTTGTCGTTTGTTTTCTACTTTAAGGGAAGAAACTTTCTTGGGAAGAAAGTTTCATGGAATAAACTTTTGCATGAAGAAACTTTCGTGTTTTTTGCGTTTTTGGCCTAAAATCGCGAATTTTTGATCCGCGAAACTACTAAATTTGTTAAAGTTAATTTCGCAAAATATCCAGAAAACTTTGACGACGAAGGGTTTTTTATTGTTTTTGCTGTTTTGTTTGTATTAAGTGGAATGAAATAGAAGAAAACTTCAGTTGAATAGCAATGATTTTTGAGCGAAATTCATGTTAATCACTAAAACAAGAAAAGGTCTTTTTCGCTTCTTTCGCATAAAGTCGATTCCAAAATTTGGCGCTTTTTTCCGTTTGAGAAACTTTTTTCCTGCAAAACTCTCTTCTCTTGCAGAAAGGATACGACCCTCGAGGACGTTTATTCACGTAAGGGAGGTCATTATCAGCTAGAAATATAACAATGACGACTTCAGACCTGTACCCAGAACCTTAGTTTTAGTTGAAAGTTTGAGACGCCTTAGTGCAACTGTGGAAGGACCTTTGATAAAAGCTACAACTTCAATGAAATTCTACACTGAGTGGTTGGCGTGGCGCGGCGCCAACTCACTTTTCGAGGCTCAATCTCGTTTTCAACTCGAGGTTTTTGAATCTCTGATCTGGACTCTGTCTTGCACTTTGAAGTTCCAGGCCAGGCAAGCGGAGTAAGTGATTCATATAATCCAAATTGTACCTTAAATTACATAGTTTCTTGCAGGACAAAACTATTCTTGAAAATTCTTGTGCTAAATTTTTTTTACTTTAAAAAAATATTGGAAATTGATTCGTCCGTTTTGGAGATATCGCCGAGTCAATTTTGCCACCCACCTCTAGTTTTCGCGATTATTTACGTATGCATATACTACATTTAACGTTCAAAAAGTATTGGGACACTTTCAATAAAAGAACTACGGTGTTGCGTCAGATTCACTTTTGCAACGGAATCTTTTTCAGATATGAGCAGTCTTTTTTAAACTAATCTAGGCCTATCGACTATGTATCCCAGTTAAGTTTCAAAAACAGTTTAATGAATCAATGAAATCTTTACAATTTTATGAAATCATTGAATTTACTCTAGATACTTTTGAAACTGCATAACACTAAAGGGAAAGCCACAGTACTTGTTGATGATGGTTAATTCTTGCTTTGAGAGAACATTTTCTTCTTATTAAGCTGGAAAATTTGTATATATTTTGATTTTATATATATATATATAATCTTGGTGTAGAATTATGCATATCAAGTTTGCAATTCATCATGTTTTGCTGATCAAGCATATTTGATTGATAAAAATTTTCACCTCAGATTGCTGAAAGATGAGTACATATGAAGATTATGCCGATGTGTCATCTTATTATGACAATGGGAGACAAGCAGCTGGAGTGGAAATGTTTTCTACAACAATTCAAGGGTACTTGAAGAAACCAATGCAAGAGGTTTGGTTTATTTTGTTCTTTTTTGAGAGAATTGACAGTTTTGACAGTATTGACAGAATTGACAGTGTAGCACATTTCATCTCAAGGTTACTCATTCAGAATAAATTGGAAAACCCTAAAGCATTTAGATTAACCCTAAAGATAAAAATTCAGCAGTTTTTAACTCTGCAAATTTCATATACAACTCAAAAACACAGCATGTTGAAAACAACCAGCATGATATGCAATCTGTTGTCATTTAATCTTTCTCTATCAATGCTTTATGTAAGATTAGCTTTAATAGACAAGATGTCTGGCTAAAATGCAAAAGAATGCTGTTTTAGTTAACAGATGAGATGGTTATTCATGAAATAAGCTGAGAATTCAATTGTATTTTTTGTTAATCAGCAACTTTTTTTAACATGCATAAGTAATATGTCATAGAATGTAAATTGATAGAGGCATCCTTTACTTGACAGAGAGGGTGAACAATAAATTATAAATCCCAGAAGGCTAAAAGCTAACTTTTAATCAAGAACTGTTGCAATTTGGACTAGTCCTGTAAACCATTGTAGGGGAGCTTGTTTTTATAATCTTACTTTTTAAATAATGAGATATTGTTTTAACTTTCTTTCAGATACATCTTTTAGATGCTGGCTGTGGCACTGGCAACTATTCTAAAGGGTTTTTAGACAATGGCATTGGCAAAGTTTCTGCTCTAGATGCATCTCAAGGTATGTTATCAAAGGCAAAGGATAAGCTGACGCCATACTCAAAAGATTCAAGGGTTGGTGATATAATTCAGGGACAGCTACCTCAAATTGCATTTAATGATGCCTGTTTTGATGCTGTGACTTTTATACAGGTTCTTCAACATTTAGACAAACCTTACGAAGGGTTTACTGACACAAAATCATCGATTCTAGAAGCATTTAGGGTGCTAAAACCTGGTGGTGTGCTGTTGATTAACACAAGCACCCATGATCAGTTACGTTATGGAGAATGGTACAGAAATTTACTTCCTCATTCAGTAGAGAATCAGTGTGACAGGTTTATTCCTGTGACAGAGCTACTTGCATTCTTAAAAGAACAGGGCTTTGAAAAGGCAGCAGTTATTGTTTGCCCTTGGGAGAGTATCCTGACAGATGAACAGTACTTTAACATGGATGGACCGTTTGATGAATCATGGAGGAGAATTAATTCAGTTTGGAAGATTGCAGAAAATGGTGGAGAATTAGCAACAGCACTGAAAACATTGAAGGAAAAGAAAGATTTTGGTATATTTGATGACTGGTTTGAGCAAGTGGAGGAAAAACGGAAAAATTTGGGACTGACAACAACTATCTTTGTACAGAAGCCGCAAAGTGGCAAACAGTGATGGATAAGGGTTAATTATGTCATGAAACATTAGCTATTAATGCTGTAATCTTTATGCATACATCAATTCAAACTTTTCTACTACAAACCTTTCCTCTACCTTATATTATTTTAATTATCATAACATTCGTTAAAATTTTGCATCAAGAAAAAATTTAATTAACTTTGATTTTAGATTGCTTTAATTTTTTTATAATAAAGTATTTTCTTCTTAATATTTTTTTGAATATGATTTTGATGATAGTAATAATATCTTGTGACACTAAATTGTTTTTCGTCTTAATATTGTTCAATAGCTCTTTAGTAATAATTAGCTTTTTGGGAAAAGTATACAGGGATGCACTGATAATGAAAGAGGAACTTGGAGTTCCAGAACCTCTCAACCTTTCAAAACATTAAGCTCAATATTTGTCCAAAAATGCAAAACAATTGTTCGAGTGGGCACGAGATTTAAGAATCTTTAATGAAAATGACTATTATCATGCGAAGCGTTGCATTCTCGAATTATACAAGAGTTTATTAATTTACGTTAAATGACAATTTTTTTGGCACTGTACAAAAGAATCTGTAAAAGGACAGGATTTGGAACGTTAGCAAATTCAAATCAGTGCAGTGCCGGAATGATAAAAGCTAGGAGGTCACGTCTTTCTTCTTCAAAAGAATGGCCTAACAATATGAGGAGCTCCCTGTCCTGGAGACCGTAGTTGATCGTAACTGAATTTGTGGAAATTTAGTTTGCTCAACCCTACCCTAAGTTAGGTTAATGAAGAAAGCCCTTGTTGATCATAGATGCCGAAAAGAGAGTTAGGAAATGACCTAATAATCGACAGCAATCTAATCTTGAATATATTAATGGAAGGCGGATCTCTGATTTTAGGGTCGAGTTTACTCCATTCATGAATCCATTAATGCAAGCTGTTGGGAAAAAGCTTGACTCGTATTTTGCAGTTATTGCGTGTAAACGGGTATGTGCCCAAAGACATCCTCCATTTATGTGCCCATAATTTTATACGATTCAGGTCATGGTTCATTTTATCAGCTGTCGGTTAAGGATTGTTTACAGTGATAAAAAGGGAAGTGTCATCAGCATATAATTTAGCAGTACATTTCAGGCCTTCAGTCGAATCATTGATATATATACATATATAAGGACAGTAAAGGTCCCAAGATTAAGCCTTATGGGACGCCTGCAGAAATATTACACCAACTAGAAAGCTTCATGTTCAGATCTGTTCTCTGCTTACGATTTTAAGGAAAACCGCGGAGAAGGGTAAGCAGTTTTCCAGAAACATCGCATATACGTAACTTATAAAGAAGGCCTTTGTGCCATACCCGATCGAACACTTTAGAGATGTCAAGGTATACAGAGCGAACATCAAGAGTTGGATTATAGTCGAGCACAGAGTGGATACAGTGAGTAACAGAGACTAACTGATGTATCGTCGAGTCACCCGGACGAAACCTGACTGGTTTGAGTTCAAGAAATTTTCAGCGGGCAAATGAGAATACAAGGAATCAAAAATAAATTCCTCTAGGATTTTCCCAAAGATCGGAAGAAAGGAAATTGGTCGATAATTTTCTTTCGAGTTCTTTTCATTTTTTGTGCAAACAGGAACAATGTTTGCACACTTCAAAGTTTTATAGAAAATACCCTTAAAAGCAAAAACGATAAATAAACGAACGCAAAACGAACGCAAAACAAAACGAAGATCAATTTCAACGGCAAAACAAGTGCACTGGCACAATTTTTTATCATTGGCACAGATATATCATCCCATTCATGAGCGTTGTTAGGGTTTAGCGATCGAATTATTCTGAATATTTTGTCGTCAGTTATAGCAATGTTTGTAGTTGAGTGCCGTGTACCGGTGGATCACGTGAAATGGCACTTCCTGTGTCTAAAGTAGAGCATTGAAGGATGAATAATCATTGAATATCCGAGCCTTAGATTTAAGGACTTTATTGATTAGATTTTGCAAGAGTCCTTCCGATCTTGGAGCAATTTTTCTGCTTAGCATCTTCAACAATTTTAAAACTTAGAGAGATCATGTTTTGGGTTTATTCATACATGACTGCAGGCCGTCCATTTCTATCAAAAGATTTGTAGGCACGATTCTTTTTCCGAAGAAATGCCTTGATACCCTTGGTCACCCATGAGGCTTGAAATGGCTTTATCGTTTTGATTTCGTTGGGTATGAAATTAGAGCACGCGTTGAGAACGACTTCTGTCAGCAGCTGTACTTGTTGGTTGGGGCGCTTAATCGATTAAAGAGATTCTTACCATTGATACCTTTGAGTATAAGAGGATGGAGCAAGATTATTGATCGACAACCTTGCATATACAATTTGATGATGGCACTGTACGTGGAATGATGGATGAACACCTGAATCCGTGAAAATGTTTGGTTGGTCATTGAAAATTAGATCTATGCAGACTTGGACTCACCAGTCATATGTGTTGGTGCATTAATCAGTTGATAAATACCAAGGTCGGACGTTAAATTAAAGGCTCGTTTCGTTTTTCTTCTTCGTTTTCATTCTCATCTTTCCACCACTGCGGGGAGCGACAGTTGAAGTCCTTTGATATAAGTACAGCATAAGGAATTCTGACAGCCATTTTGGAAAACATATATTCGAAATTATTCATAAAACTTTCAAATTCTTCTTGAGCCCGACTAGGACTCCTATAGACGATAGCAAAAAAGTATTTTCTCCTGTTCTTTTGGATTTCACAAACAACAGATTCGGGAAGCGTGACAAGGTCAGAGCGTTTTTTCTGAGCGTTTGAAGTGTCTCTCTGACATTTCAAAGCCCAACATCACCTCTTTTGATATCTAATGGATGATTCTGTTTGATCTTTTTTCTTTGTCTTGATTTAACGTGTATATGTATCTTTTATATGTACCTTTTCTTTCATTGATAATTTACCGTTGCTATTTATCAGAAAGTTGTAAGTGGCATTTGTAGTGAGGACTCGGTGACCCTGCGTCTTTCCCCTGTACAAATGCCATAGTTTCATGCATGAACCTTGTTGTTTTTAAACTTTTGATTGATATTTAAAAAAATCTACTCGGTTGAAGAATATCCATTCAGTGCCAGCTTATCCTCATCAATGCTCAACCACGTAGCTGTAGATTATGGCTAGGGTGCGTAAACTCGAGCAAGAACCATACCTGAGGAGGACAGGCTTTAAAACAAGAGAGCAGATATATAACAAACACATATATTTGGACTAAGTCGAGCTCACGGAATTATAATTATACCAGCTTTTCAAAACATCATTTGGAAAAGGTGTAGCAAGAGGGGGCAAGTTCTTGTCAAAATTTTCATTTGGGGGGCACAGCCCCCGTGCCCCCTGCAGCTACGTGGCTGTCAATGCTACTTTCAAGGTGAGTTTCCACCACCACACCTATCAAATCATAATCATATACAGAATTGTATGCCTCTTTGAGCGACACTCGAAGTAAATCGTATGCTGTTATGCTGTTTAAATTCCAGCAACAAAAGTCTAGGGTTTACGGGCCTGGATTTAGTTACATGTCGTCGCTTCGTAAAATCAATCCTGGATCACCCATGGTACGTAGATCAAGTGAAATACCTCATAAACAGCATACCATTGAGCAGTGGCGGACTGGCAACCGTTTGACCAACCGGGAAAAGTAGCCAAAAGGGCGCCAATAGGTGCTGAAGTTGCATAACTTTGGGTCTTATAAAACTGGCTCGGAAAAACTTTGCTTTACCTGAGAATCAGTTTGTTGCAAACACTGTCATAGGAAACGAAACGGGGAGTCGGGGCTGGCCCTCGGAAATTTTTTAAATCACTCTATTTAGAATGTCAGAACATGCCCCATTTCGAAATCAAAGTTTTTTATTCACAATTGGCATTGGCATGAAGAAGATTCTTAGTCAAATTGACTGTATTTGAAACGTCTACACGGCTGATAAAATTGGTAGGTATCAAATGATGTATTGCCCTCAATTTTAGGTATCAAATGATGACAGCGGCGGTTTTAAGGTGTGTCCAGGCGGGCCATAGCCCCAGGCCCCACGATTATGGTAGCCAAAAGGGGCCCTACATCTAAGAAAAAAGAAACAAATTGTATGTCTTTGGCCCCGAGCCCCACAGTCCCTAAAACTGCTGCTGAATGATGATATCAAATGATAGATTTCGAAAGTTGGACCAAAGCCCAAAGCCATTTTTCACCTAGCGAGACACATTTATCCAAGATTTTACAAAGAAAGCAACTGCTCTTGCCTAGGAGACGGGATTCTTTTCTATTAAACTCGATCTCGAAATCTTTAAAAATTTGACAAAATACATGACGTGGGTTTCCCAAACAGTGTGCTAGTTAGCTAGTGAAAACCCCTACTACCCCCTTTCGTCTGCAATAAATTTTCTAAACTGTTCATGGAAACGTACTTTAGACAGGAGGTCAATTTATGATTGTAATCAGTTTAATTTTATAGTTGCCTTTTGAAGGTTTTCAAGTTTTCGAAAAAGTAACTTGGGGGCAAAGGGCCCACCGGGAAATTTCCCGGTGTCCCGGTGGGCCAGTCTGCTTCTGCCATTGAGTAGACCATAGTTGATAACCATAGACCTTTTATCAACTATGAGTAGACTAAGACAACACAGCTCAGCGATCGGTATCTTAGTGAAGAACACGATAAGAAGCAGAAGAAATCATTTCAAGAATATAAAAAAGTGTTTGCAGGAACATCCTAGTGTACGAATATATCAACGAGAAAAGCAAAAGTAAAATTAACTGAGGGTAGTTTGAATGAACAAATTTCCCCTAACAACACTGAGTCCCTGTTACGTTTTGAGCAAATTTGTAGGGGCCTACATAATAAAAAAATGTTCTGAGACTGACATACCAAAGTTATATCTAAATATTTACTTTTTTGAATCTTTTTGAATCAAACTTTGATAATCGCATCTAAACTTTGATAAGGTCGATTTCTACACCCATTGCCCCTGCGAAGGAGAATGTGCTGGAGAACGAGAGCGAGATAAATATTAGCGGTTCTTTTGCAGCCTACTACGAGCATTCCTAGCTTCGAAAACACATGAATTAAAATAAACATCGTTGAAGTGCAATTCTCCAAGATGTAGAGAATCTACAAAAAACAGACCTGGTAAAAACCAATTTTGATTATTATGAAGCAATTTCAGAACTGTAAGTATCTGCAAACTGTCATTAAATGAGCAAGGCATATCTAAAACCATGATTGGGCCTAAGCAACGAGGCCCTTACAACTGGGCGTCTACGCATTCGAGCAGAATTATGTTAACATGTTATTGTATCATTTTGTAAGTGGAAAATCTTCAGAATAAACTTTACAGCATATTACAGCTGATTACATGATTTATCGTTATTATTATTCATCAGTGTTGATTATAATAGATAGGCCAACTTGTCCTATATTCCATGCACTTCGCAGAGCGCCAATCAATTTGACAGATTGTTTTGAAAATTTTCCAATATTCAGTTCTATGTTATCACGTTTAAAGATCTTTCTTGCTTTCACACGCTTAGATTAATTGCAAAATACAGCTGGGCTCTCTCCAACCATCACATACAGGAGCTTGTAGAAATGGAAATCTTTTTATATGAGAACACTAGAATCACAGCCAAGTGTAGTATTACTGTCAAGTTAAATTTAAATGAATTTTGTGTTATATTTACTTAATGATTGCTCTCAGCCATAAAAGGGATGTGAATAAAAGAAATGGTCCCATTTAAATATGTACCAAATCAATTGAAATAAATTTATAAAATCAGAAGTTTAAACCTTGATTTTTCAATGTGTAGAGCAGGAGCATGTACAGTTTTGTCTCTACGTGGCATCTAGTCCTTATTGACAGAATGGCAAAGAAGTCATTTTTGTTTGAACTTTGATATAGATACTGAACATAGACTTTAAAAGTTGGCTGTTGAATGCTTGCTTGAATACCAGATTGATATTCTTCAAATCAACTTATCATCAGAACTTGCATAGTAACCTTGTTATGCTTGCCTCATAGAAAAATTCTTATAACCAATACAAAATGACATACATGCTATCAATGCTTTCCAATGATGCAACTGTAAGAAACAAATCATTTAGGCATAAAGTTTTTCTCATGTCACTACTATGAATATTTAGCAACAGAACTGAACCAGTATCTTTTTTCTTCAAAGAACAAAGAAAAGGTGTGTGTTTCATGCACTCAGTCTATAAAGCAACATGGAGCCCAGTGATGAGAACATATCATCTTTATTGGCAATGGGGTTTCAAGACATTGGCCAAATTCAAAGAGCACTCAGGTTAGCAGATAATGACCTTAGTGAAGCAGTCTCAATTTTAACAGGGGAGGACAACAGGGAAGGCTTCCATAGCAATGATCCAGGGGGAGATATTGAGATGAAGGATGCACAATACAGACAAGGGGAAAAAGAATCAATGCCAGGGCTCGTTGAAATGGACCAAAGTGTAAAGCATAAACAGTCACCTCCTTCTTATGATGAGGCTGTTAGCACCACCCAGGATGACTTAGATGCAAATACAGAAAGTATGGACATTCCACTTGACTCAATTCCAGATGAATTCCCAACAACAAATCTGTACGAGCTTGAAGAAAGGATATTCACAGAAAACTGGTCAATTCCTTACAGGAAAAATGAATCATTAGGAAAGTGTTTATTAGGTGCAATTAAAGTTACACAAAGAGGTATTTTGATTATATATATTTTATTTATTCATTGTTCCACTTTAAAGAGAGCATTCACAAGCAAATCATGTTTCACTTCTCTGCATATTTGCAGACTGCATACTGACACTTGGTATTCATGTTGCATGTTTCTTTAATGTGGAGTTCAGAGTCAACCAGTTTTTGGCATTGGAGCATCCTATGATATTGTCTCTCCATCTTTGTTTGACTGCTCCTTCGATGCATTTCCATTGATCATATTCCATTCATCAAACAGTTTACTTTGAATGTAAAGACTATTAAAATTTAGAGACACAAAGATTCTGTTAAAGACAAATATGACTTTGTCTGCCAAGCATATTTGAATAAATTTTGATATTTTCTTTTGGTGTAAGCTTCTTCATCAGGGGATGGTAAGCCAACGTGACCTCCAAATACTGCATAATAGATTTTAAAGTTATCAATTTGAGAACCTAGAAAGGGTTTCAGGTTGTTGCATACAGCAGTTTAAAACCTAAACTAAAAATCATGGTGAATAATGAAAATGAGCCATTTTAAGGTATATTGAACTTAAGATCTTAATTTTTCAACTCAATGGCCAGCTCACCTGTAAACCTATCTTTTGCAATGAATTTAAATTTAACAAATCTGTTAAAAGCTCTATCTACATATGTGAGGATTGCTTAGTGATTAAGGTTGTGGACTACAGATACATCGGTTTTTAACTCTTTGTAACAACCAACTTTCACTTACAGTAAAGAGCTTGCCAGACCTCTGCTTTCCCAGGTGTAGGAATCACCAGGTGCTGCCACATCAAATGGAAGTACCATGCCACTGCATGATGAGCATAGCCTCTCAGTATCCTACAAATCCCCTTCCTAAGCTATGTTGTAACAGATAAAAATGCAAATTATACATACAAAAAACAGTTGATTGCTTTTCTTTAAATAATCAGAAAATGACAAAGGAATATATTTAAAATGTTTTCAATGAACAGGCTTATCCAATAAATTTGTCTTTGATAAAATATAAATGTGTTTTAATATACAAGTTCTTGAAAAAACTTTAAATTTATTTTGCCTGTTATGCCATAACCCTATGAGAATTCCCAAAATAGATTGTCTTGTGCACTCTGAGGCATCATCATCTAATGAATTCATCTTTTATTAACAGTCACAATGCTATCAAATTTATTGGGTTGTTCTTGTAGTTTCATTTGCTCCTTATCTTTCTGTTGCAGGGGAAGCAGAAAAAGATGCTAACTGCAAAAGATTTATGGATAGAGCACTTCCTGAATGTTTTCAAAAGGTAATGATATAAATATACTTATTGATGATATTTAAAAGACAATCATTTTTGATGATGTTTACCTAAAATTTTTGCAATACAATATGCAATGTTGCTAAATTCAGTACTAGTTCCATTATGGTGCATTCTTTTTACATAAGCTCACAAAAGCTTCTTGCCACTTTTTAAACCTTATAAAATTTTACAATTATTACAGAAGATTTCAGATGCATTGGATAAATGTTTGTCTCATCTGTAATGCCCTGCAAAAAATTTATAAATAAGAGAACTGCTCAGTTTTTTGGCTATAGAAAGTAGTTATGATCAATATCAACAGTGCTTAGTACTCGAATAAAAGTTACTGAAAGTTGCATTTTCAGAATGAACCCTATTTATAATAGGTTCATTGTATGTTATTTTCATTTTCATAGGGCTTGGTGAGGTTTTTAGAAATTCACCATCATCACTAAGTCATTTGTCACCAAATGATAGACATGAGTTATGCTTTCTTGTCCACGGTTTTGAAATTTTTATTGCAAATTCATATTAACATATCATCTGTTTTTTTAGCTTCTAACTTCAGATGCTGTTAGAAGATGGAACTCAGAAACTCTTGAAGGAGTTTATAATATGTTAAGACTGTTCATTGATCTTGCTGCTGCTAGGCTCCATTTTGAACCAGTCCCAGTGAAATTATTGTCAGTTTTGTCACAGGTATTTTCTGTTGTTCATGCAATATATATATATTCTTGTTTTGAATATCAATCATATTTCTGAGATAACTGCTGCTGTGAAAATGTAATGAGGAATGTTCTGTTGCTTTTAAAAGCCAGTTTACACATAGAGACTTGATGCATTTTCTGAATTGTCAGTGATGCTTAAGACAAAAATTTAGCTCTAGTTTTATCTCAACAGGCCTTCTCATATGAAATTTCTTGATGGGGTAGATATAATTAATTAACTGATAATAAAGTTATACTAGATAGTATAAGCCATCATAAATAATCATGTTAATTATATTCTCCTGTTTAATGGTTGCAAAAAGTGGTTTGCTCCAATGGATTATTTTGTGATTTTCATTAATGATCCCAGTTTGAATAGCATTCATAATATTAGTTAGTGCATAGATTCAGACAGTGCCTCATTTTGCAGCTATTTCATCTGATATATTTATGGAGATAACCTTTATTTTCATTTTATACTTTATTATGGAAGTTTTAAGGATTGAGACATTATTTTCTCTTGTGCTGATGATATTGCCTTTGTTATCTCAAGAAACTAGAAATTGTATAAGGCATTAGAAGAAACAAAGTGGGACTGTCAACTTAAAGTTTTTTTTGTCATTTTCTTATCCAGTTATGTTGTTTAATAGGCCTTTGATCCAGACAGTGAATACCACTTCAAGAATCGAGGCAAAAGATGGGATAGAGCCTATTTTGAAGATATTTATGGTTTTCAGAAGTGTCCAGCTGTGAGTCCAACTTTTAGTGTTGGCAGGGTGTGTATGTTTTTCCATTTAAGCTTGAATGTGTTTTTCTACCTTTTCTTTAATTGCTTTCATTTGTCTTCAACTTTCTGTGAATATTGTGCAACAATATTAAGCAGTGTCTTACATGAACTCCATCTATCTATCTATCTTAATTACCTGCAGACAACAAAGCATGTTATATACACAATGCCAGTTCCATAAAAAATGTGTGTACATCTTTGCCATTATGGCAGGGAACACTTTATGACAGACTGGTAAAACAGTAATTTTCATTAACTTGCTTTATTCTTTAATCTCTTTTCATTTCCTTCTTAGCTTTTTCTTCATCGCTCATTGTTAAATCATGTCTTATTTTATAAAAGCAAGTTTTTTGAAAAATGCTAATATCATGATACTTAATGACCTGTGGCATTTTCTTTACAGGATCCATTTGGCTGGCTTGTGAACCTAATTAATAGAGTATGTTGCTTGTTGTTTATATTATTGCCAAAAATGTATAGAAAAGCCACAAAGCAGCTTTTGATTAAGATTCTTTCAAATCATTTCATTCACTCTGAAATTTATGCAATTCTCTGTGATTTTGATTAACCATATCTTTTAGCTTTTGAATATATCTTCAAATTAATTACTCATTTTCATACTGAGTAACATTGATAGAACTGATTAACGAAGGTAGCTTTATTATGTCTGTAATTCGTTACCTTTCATTGGTATATCTACAGAATTTTAATGAATTATTATGGATATAGTGTAAACATTTTAATACATCAGGTAGACTTATGTTGTTTAATCTGGCCTGGCCATTTTAGGAGAGCCATAGCTCTTACTCCCCTGCAGGCTCTCCTAAAATGCTGGAGGGGAGCTGCAGATTGCTCTCCTAAATTGCTCTAATAGCACATGGCTCGCCTTGGAAAGAAATCAATTTTGCCTTTGTTTCTTTACTTTTTTATCTACAAGTAGCTCACCTGGAAATTACTAGGAGAGCTGTTTACGGCTTCCCTGTTAAAAGTCTTATGGTCAGACCTGTTTGATGTTCTAGAGAATTTTCATCTATCTTTTGCTTTTAGTTTGGTCTGAAAAATGGTCTGGATGCGATTTGTGACCGTATTGAAAAATCCGAATGCCTAACAGCTCCAGTAAGTGTATTTTAATGCGACGATCCAATTTAATAAAGTAAGACTTTACCCAGATAACTCGGACTGTCACTAAGTTGGACTGATTTTCAATTCCCATTCGACATTCCTAACTTATTCAAGTCAAGTATTGTACCTGAGATAAGTTAGTTCCTTATGTGCATTTTCCGAAAGCCTTTGAGTGCAGTATGAATACCCGGTTGGGAAAACAGAAAGGAAGTATCTGCTGTATGCACAAGGCTAGACGATGTTTTGTTTTTAACATTTTTGCCAACACAGTGTTGTTTTAGATAGAGAAGACCTTTTCTAGGATGTTTTACTGCCTGTTGTTTGATTTACATCCACAGAATCCGGTCTGATGGTCCTTTTTGATTTTTTGAATTACTTTAAAAGTGATAGGACATGCTGATCGTTAGAAAAGATGGCTTCACTTCTTTTCTTGCAACTAGTTTAGGTCTGCTGGTAGTCACTGGAACTGTTTGATTTGAAGTGATTCTAGATTCAGGTGCATTGATGGGGAATTTCTGTATTAACTGAATCTGCAAATATATATGTCATTTTTTATTCGCTTTAAACATGAAGGGAGCAGAGACTTGTTGCCAAATGCATATTCTTGCTACTGAGCAAATATTTTTGGTATGTAAGATATAATAATCAATTTTTTAGCGGTAAAGAACTTAAAAATGGCTTTGAGCAAACATTTCACAACATACTACTAAAGTTTAATAGTATGTAATAATTAATGCTATCTAATTCCAAAATTAGTTATATATATATGCCATTTTCATATTTTTATATAAACTATATCGTTATTGTTCTCTTGTTTTTGTTACAGATTTTAGCATCGCTTTTGCAGCCTCTTGGAGTTTGTGCTGCCTACCTAAACCCGGAAGTTGCAGGGGTAAACTCAGTCTCTTTTTACAATGTTTGCTGTAATCGGCTTCTTGGTAATGCTACCCACCTGGTTTAAAATGCTGTCTATTGGACAGGTTCTTCACTGCAACCCCCCCCCTCCCCTGACCTCTGCATGTCAAAGAGGTTGATTCAAAATTAGCAAAATGCTTTTTGAAATGCTAAAATATGCAAGAGCTATAAGAGCCTGTATTACTGCCAGTATCAAAGGAGTTTTCTCATTGTTCTCCGTTATTATAGGGGCTTGTCCTGTCTATCTTGAGAGACAGTTAGAGATTTTCTTCCTCAAACTCTTTGCCACTTTCACGATGTCCTTTCCATCCGGTTTTTTATGCTAGGATTATGCTAACTACAGTCAGCATTTACAAGCACACATTATGTATAGAGGTTCTGCAAGTCAAAGAGGTCGTAGACTTTGGGAGACCATTAAGTATCATTCTGAAGAGCTTGTTTAAGGAAAGTTTTGTTGTTGGCGTGGGGAATGTTCTTAATATGTATTACCAGCCAGGAACGGAGTGTTTGTAGCATCTAATAGTTGCGGAAGTATGTTTCTAAATGAAATACCCTTATGCTTTTAAAGTCTTGCTGATATTGTCTTAATAGTTATTAGATTTTGTCTAGATTCTCAATTTCGTTTAGCCATTTGATTTTGGCAGCAGAAGATAACTGGGGTGGTTGTGCAAGGTGGCACCCAATTGAATTATTAGCTCAGGGCCTAATGCTACCTCAGGGCCTAATGCTACCTCAGGGCCTAATGCTACCTCAGGGCCTAATGCTACCTCAGGGCCTAATGCTACCTCATGGCCTAATGCTACCTCAGGGCCTAATGCTACCTCAGGGCCTAATGCTACTTCAGGGCCTAATGCTACCTCAGGGCCTAATGCTATCTCAGGGCCTAATGCTACCTCAGGGCCTAATGCTACCTCAGGGCCTAATGCTACCTCAGTGCCTAACCATGCCAACAGAATACTACAAACTGTCCTTACAATAACACATGAACGTTCTATTTACAGCTAGAGCAAACATTTATTTGCCATCTGTTTTTACTGGATTGTACATTACGTATTGTATAAAAGCTAGCTCTGGTGAAGTACAACCTACCCATAGCGGGGAAACTCTAATAAACATCCATTTTGGAACAATTTAGAACAATGGTCAGGGTAGGTTAAAAAGTAATGTAATCACCTTTTTATGGTTCACAAGATTCTTGGATAATCTAAGACTACCCTTTCCCTTGGCCATCTCATAAGATTGCAGACATTGAAACTAGCGGACATTGTGAAGATAAGGATAGGGCTCTTCGTACACATTAGATTAAATGATGTTGTATCTAAAATGACGTCCGATTCTTTGTAATCAACCTTAAATTCTCCTCAGTACATTCCATTTTAAAGAAGGTGTTATCGTATAACAACTAAGTCAAGGCAATACAAAGTTCCAATTCTTATAGCTTCTTTCCGTTTGGGCTTATATATTCCTGATGTTTACTGGTCTTTACTAGACGAGAGATTCACTCTATTGCTATCCCAATGAAGATGGGTTTTAAATAATGCAGAGAGTTCCAGCTACGTCGTGTACACAGTTAGTTCAGATAATGGCAATTTGACTTCTCTTTTTAGTACAAATTGGGCAGCGCTGCTGATAAAGCTGTTATGTACGTCAAAGACCTAAAAGATTCAGACATCAAGGAGAAGGTACTAAACACAACCTCATTATGTTTTGGATTTCCTTACTTTTAAACAGTTTTTGGATTAAAAAGAACTTGCTTCTCCCTCATAGCCTCTTCTGTTTAATGTTAGCTGGCTTGTCCGTTTATTTTTTTGCAGGAGATTGGTAAAGTCTTTGATTTATTAAGGACGCTAAAGCTGCTTTGTCAAGTTTTATGGAAAGACAAGTTATCATATTTGGATGAGCTGCATTTGGGAACACTGCTCAATATGCTGAAAAGTGCCCATTACAATGCACGGATGAATTCTTTGAAGGAGGTATGTGAATCAGTTATTATCAGAGTCTTTCGTTCCCTTCCTCGATTATTGAGGATGTTGCTTGAATCGATTCATTTAGGACAAGCATTTCATTTTAGAACTTTCCCATAGAGAACATTTCGTATGTTTTTGTCTTGCATTTATTTTACACTATTATATATTAACAATTTTTTGCCGGTACAAAGTTTGAAGATGGCTTTGAGATTTCCGTGAGACTTTCAATCCACAATTGGGTTTATATTTTCTTCCTTGATTTTCTAACCCGTATTTTGACATTTTATACTCTGAAAAGTGTCAAGCAAAAAGCTTAAGTCATGTTGTAAAATGTTAGTTTTTTCAAACTATTTTGTTTGTTGTTTAAAGTTTTGATCGTTTCTTTCAGATTTGCAAATTGATTAAGGAATCAGAAAAAATTCATTTGAATCGAACTGCAATTGCCCAGGATGCCTTGATTCATTGGTTGTTGGAAAACAAAGTTCTGTCTATTGCATTTCAAAGTACGTTAATTTTCTTATTTTTACTTGGTTGTGTTCATCAGAATTAAAATAAAAATCTTCTTGCCCCTTTTTATTTTGCACCTATGTTTCAAAAGAGGGTTTGGTTGTCAGAACTGTTCGTAACTTTCGAATTCTAGGTAGCCTGCACCAGCATCAGTACTGCGAGAAGCTGAAGAAAGTCGTCGAGTTTGTTGGGGCTAGGTTATCTAACGACGAGTTAACAACTATTTGGACAATGCAGGTACTGTTCGTTGTTTTACAGATTATCATCAAATGTAGAAGTAAAGACTAGTCTCGTGGCACAGACGTTTTTAATGGTCTTACTGCTCGATAACACCTCTGTGGCCTTTTGCCTCAAACTAATTTTATACTGCTTCTTTTCTTTTGATTTTACCATCTTTAGGAATATACAAAAGGTACTCTCGACGCAAATTTGAAAGTTTATTACCCCCTGAAGGTCTTTTATATGGGGTATTGCAAGATTCGTTTTATGGTATTTCCAAAATATAGTTTATAAGTAATGTATGGTTCAAAAAATGTATCTACTAAACTTTGAAGTTCTCTAAGAACAGGCCGTTGTTTCATGAATGTTGTTGATTTGTAGGTAGTTTTTAGGGCACTAAGAAGCTACGCCTTACAAGCCGTGTGCCGATCTTTCCTCTCGGCGTGACTACACCTCGCGATACTCGAACCCTAACCCTAAGATCAGTAAACGGCTACGTCTTTGATTCTAAGAATTGAACCATCGTCGCACCTTGTTCACCAGTCGAGAAATATTCTGTTCCGGCAGAAATGGTTATCGCTAATGAATGACCTTTGAATTTAGATCAACTTCTGTTTAACATATATTTCCATTGCAGTCAGGAAAACACAACACCGTTGTTGACAATATCCACACTATTATTGCCAGTGCAGCGCAAAGTTTCACTTCCGATCAGCTGGAACACTTGATTAGTTTGCTACAGCAGGTTAGGGCCTTATCATCATGATTTTATGACGTCACTACTGCCTACTAAGTATAACGTCACCCCAAACTGCATCTTATCACTGCCTGACTCCCCTTTGTTTTTCTTTGCTTACCAATGTTGTTGTATATATGTATAAATTTCAAGAAACTGTTTTTTTTCTTATATTAAATGGCGCCGGTTTGTTGATAATAGGCTCCAGATCCCTTATAAGTCACATTGGCTTAAATCAAGGAATGGGTATCCAATCAATTTAAAACCATCACCCGTAATAAAAATGGCATATGTCCTTGTTGAATGTAAGATTAGTTACATTTTCGTTTGGCCTACATGATTTGTATCTTGGTCATTGCCTTAGGTGTGGCCTAACTTTTTTCATAGATTATTCGTCAGATTGTCGACTGCAAACTGAAATTTCTCCTGCGAAAAACTGTGTTTGTCAGGATTCTGTATGAAAGTAATGTTAATGTTTGCATTTTACTAGAGTTGGAATTCTGAGGATGAAAAGGCAAGGGAAAAGCTGCTTATGTTGATTGGAAGAATAGGCAGAGAGGTGAACGACAGTAGAGCTGTTGCCAAGGTGAGTTTTTAAATTCGGCTGTTGTTGTTTTGATTGATGCGTAAATAGACAGTTGAAGTACGAAGCTTTTTCAAAGATCAGTCATTGTTCATGGACTATTTATTTTTATGTTTTTGAATATGCTATTTTTTGTTAGGAATGTACCGGATATCCGGTAGGCTGGATAATCCGGCGCCGGATCGCTGATCTTTTGAAAATCCGGTTGCGGCCGGATTTGTTTTCGAAATCCGGCCAGTTGCCGGATTTTCCAGAACTTTAATCATAACTAAGAAAATTTGGAAAACCAAGTCAGACTCCCTTCATACAGTGATTAAAAATGGATTTTCCAGAACTAAACAATATCGACGATAAAACAAGCGCCTTGAAAACAGATTTGAAATGAAAGTGCTCGTCATCACGAAACAGGAAGACTGGATGATATAATTCACAGATTTGGTCCAGGGTTGCCAGATCGGCTTTTTAGGCCAAATTTTTCATTTTTGGTTTTTAGGTTTAGATTGCCTGGAAAAATTGTTTTTTGCTTACTACTTGAATTTGACCTTGTTTGCCTTTTCAGCAGACGTCCAAAATTAATAAGTAATTACTACATTCATAGAATAATTAGTAGTTAACTACAAAGTGTTAACCAAATTTCAAATTTTATCACCTAACCTAAATATTATCTTGATATTAGCAAAGGGTTTTGGAAAAAAGTAAGATTCTTATCAAAGTTAAGAAATTATCTAACAGGCACAAGCGTAGAAATATAACCAGTGTTTGCTCGATGGATTCTTGAGAGAGTTTTTGATTTGGCCTTTTTATGAGCATTTTGGCCTAAATTGCTCACCAGTCTAGGCTTCGTTTCTAAATTCAATCTGGCAACCCTGAATAGGTCTCTTTGATCTTCTCGCTATACATTTTTTCGCAAAGTGGCTCAAAACTTTTTATTACTAAAAATTCTATAAATGGTCAGATTATCCGGTAGAATCCGGCCGGATATTCCACGAAGAAATCCGGTAAATCCGGTTCCGGCCGGATTCTGAAAATCCTGATCCGGTACACCCCTATTTTTTGTTAATTTTTCATGACAGGATGGTTGCTGCTATTAGATTTAGTGAAAGTTTTGCTAATGCTAGCAAGATTTTACTGATGAATTGTTTACTTTGAGTTTTGTTATTTTGTAGCTAAATGGTAACTGTTTTGAGAATTGAAACAATAGATGGGCTGTTTTGTTAACAGTTCAGGCTCCTACATTTATCTATGTATTCATTTTTTTGATGTCCTAAATGGGCGTGAGACTCAGAGTCACAACTTGGAAACGTCCAGTTCTTTGCACCAAAGCGGCTGTGTATTCACAATATGATTTGTTGTGAATTCATGGAAAAATTTAAGGAATAAGAGTGCCAAAGAGCAAATCTTTATTCAGGGTAATTATAGCTCAAACAGATTGGTTAATCGATTGTCTACAAGCTTATATCTCAAATACATATATCCCTAGCTGTCAGTATATTTATCGTTTAGGCCCATTCATCCATAGCGAGTTCAAGTTCTCTATATGCTGCTTTAATGCATCATGTATATAATTCGATTCACCTTATCTTTTTTCAGCTATTGGAAGTGGTCTGGGGTTTGTCTCATGTCGATTCTCTGCCAACACACTTGATCAATCAGGCTGTTCAATCCCATCTCGATATCCTCACGCTGTCCCAGTATGTCACAGACCAAGTGAGAAATCTTTATATTGAAAAATGTATTCAAGATATAAGAGATGGCAGATGGGTAGTACCAGCTATCAGGCATTTGCAAAGCAACTTAGAAGCCATGCTGAAGAAACCTTACTCCAAAAGCCACAAAGTAAGTTCCGTTTCTATTATCGCTTACTAACTTGTTAAACGAAGTACTTGGTTGCAGATTACGTATAACTTTACTAAGAATCAGGAATGCATAGTCGAAATGCCGTGTCACTTGCAGGCTCATTAAACAAAGGAAATTTTCTAAGATGTGGTAATGGAAAAGGAGGTATTCGGTGGCACCGATATTTGTGCCGCCCACAACACACGGATATCGGGAAACGTTAACTGTAAGAAATGCAACAAAAAGTCGTGAAAAATTCTTTGAGTTATGATATTTATGACTTTAGAACATTAAGACTTTTAGTAAACAAGATTCTATAAATCATTGACACTAGTATTTCTATTGTATTTTTTGACGTTTTATGCTGACACTCAGCGAAAAACTAAAACAATCCCTTATTATTTATATTATTGATACCGCACGCTACAGTTTGATAATGTCTGGTGCATGCTTACTCATACTATCTGAGGTTTCAGTAAAGTTGTTTGGAACTTGTTTCGGCCTTTGAAAATCGCTATAAGCTTATTCGTTCCGGTTCTTGCTGAAATGAGCTGAAAACAGTAAAAGTAGAGCGATTCATGTACAATATAGAATAGGATACTTTCTACTTTGCTTAATACCTTGTTTTTTCTCGGATCAGTGAATGGCTTATTTACATTTTTGACAGAGCTTGCAGCGTGTCGCAGTTACATTGATTATTTTTTAATAAAAGTGTTCTCAGTTGAAACCGAGCACCCTAGGATACAACATGGACTCCAGATGCATCATGTCTGCGTTTTTCAATATTTTGCCTTGTTGATAGCCCATCTAATTTAACTTTTAATCAGAAAAGCTGAAAATTATCTTGTAAATTTGGCTTAATATAGCCGTTTTACAGTTTTAATTCCTTGTTTGTTGCTTGAAGGGATTGCTTCTGCTTTAGATTTTACTGAACGTTTAGAGAGCATAAGACTGTTATATTTTGAAATTTCTCATCGAATCCCCCAAAGCATGTTTTTCACAACATAATCCTGTATAAACATCATTTCTATTGTTTTATTTTATAGATGTGTTCAAGTGTTCAATAATTTTGAGCTTTTTTCGCCAATGAGGTCCATTCTATATTAATTTATTCGTAAATTGAATCTTTCTCCCGTTGCACTTGAAAACAACATTTCTTAGTTTCCATCACAAGTCAAATAGTAAAAATCACAAAATGCCTCGCGCTTGATCATACATACCTTAGCCTACGCGTAGATTCCACCTTCGAAATGAAAATATTGTAGTAAAATCCTTATGTAGAATCTTCGTTTGGAAGGGGGTAAGGGGTCTACGCGTAGGCTATACTCATCTAGACGATTTGTAGGATTATGATGATCTAACTTGTATCCTTTAGGCCCCTCAGGCATTTACTCTATTTTCTGTCCACTTCGATTCCAAATATAAAAAAATAACAATGAGCTTTCATTATTCGTTCAATGTTTCAATCTTAGTTTCTGATTAACTCCGAGCATGATCATCTAAAAATCTTTTCAATTGCTAAATCTAAACAATATTGTGTATGAAATTTTACTGACAATGATTTCTACATTCATTCAAATTGGACGACTTTCAATTGTATGCTGTCCAATTGGTTTGCAAAACGTCAAACAATAGGCACGTGGTGAGAATAGTTGTCTTCTAGTCCGATCAGAGTTGACTGATGATAATAGTTGTAAATCTGTAATACTGAAGTAAATCAGTTGTAAATCTGTTTCAATTGTAAATACTGAAGAAAATAATAAAGCCCTGTACTTGCAAATACCCGATGAAATCGTTCAATGTTTTCTTAATATTTGAATCCAAACCAACTTCTTTTCCTTCACACATTTTCATATACAGCTAAGAAATGATGCATGCAATTTCGACCGACGTAAAACCTATTGATATATCAATTAGTATCAGCAACTATTACTATCGCCTGGCGATATTATAATTCTCATGAAGGGGATAAAGCGTTATTCTAGACGTCTCCTAATATTGCATAGTTTTAATAAACATTTTTAGGCCCGTAACTAAGATTTCCTAATGTGGGTGAGGAGGAAGGGATGGGGGGATGAGGTTGTCTCTTGAATGGTGAACCGAAAGAGCCCTTGCTATTATAGACAGGGTCGTTAGAATCGTCGTTAGAATAACGGGTGTTTGGGTCAAAAAGGGGTAATGCCCCGTCTCTCAGGCTTTGACTTATTATAAGATTCATTCATAAGATTGTTTGTAGTTAGGGGTTTAACTCATGGATAATCAGTAGTACAAAGTTATATCGCGGTCATCCAATAATGTTTTATATAGTGCGGTTTCAATAGGATTCGTAGGAAGCCTTCCATCTTTTCTTGCCATATGAACCACTGATCCCATTTTCCTTTCAGTCGATGCTTCAAGATCTGCAAAAGCAAACTGACGTCATCAAGCTGGTTACCCTAAGCCTTATACGGTCTCATCAACAGGCTGTGGAGAGCCCGGGTCAGCTGGACGGGGATACTATCATTGGTAATCAGTATGCTTATGGAGAGACAGTTGTGACGCATCTGCGGTTCATTGCCTATCTCCTTCAAGACGGTGCCTTGTATCTCTCGTTCACAAGAGTCAAGGATATCTGGGACTGCCTTATGCTTGATGAAAATAACTGCAAAGGGGACTACGAGGTGATTCTTTACTTGACATTGTTTTGTTAATGTATTGTATCAAATGCATAATTCAGTATCTCGCGGCTGTTGAACGAAGGACTCTAACAGTTACACGGAGTGACTTGGCTCTAATGAGCATCATTTGAAAATTCATTGTGCTCTGCTGTGACATACGTCATAAAGAGTATGCTTTTGAGCCCACGTCCCTTCTTCTTGGCGGTGCACTGAAGTTGTCTATGGAATTGTCTATTCGTTCATTTAAACAGTTGAGATCTTTGGTATTCTTAATGAAGTTTCCGTATTTTCCAAGCAGTTAGCACTTCGAGGCATCTATACACAACCCCTTTGAAGATATGTTTCATTATTCCCTTATTATCGTCAATCAGACGCTTCTTTAGAGACTTTAGTCAAACTTTATTTTTAGAGTTTTCCAGATGTAACTTTTGCATGCTATTTATACTGATTTGACCCAACGTTCTATTATCTCGCAGACTGCGTTTGAGTGGTTCACAGACGGTGTAACTGATTTAGAACATGAAACTCAAGCCAACCTTTTTACAACCAGAATGCTCAAAGTTGATGTCTTTAAGATCTCAGCAAAAGGTAAGCTGACCTCTTTTAATTCATTTGTTACTCAATTGCCTATTCTAGTAGTAGCTAGTGCCCCTTGAGTACCTCTTTGTTTAGGGTATTGCCACCTTCCCAACACGGCCATTTGCATTTCACAAAAGTGTTGCATGGCACAAGGGTGGAGGGTAGCGCGAGATGTAACGCTGTGCCGGATGGATGGCAATTCATTCCGAACCTGCATCCTTTTGATCAGTTGACAATTCTCTTTCCTATTACAGCCTATTTATCGATCTTTTAATCTTCAAAAGTTCGGTATTTTGCTTGGCCACCTTGAAAAGTCAAGGGAAAAGAAAGTCCTGCATGCAATTTGCGCTTTTTGGAAAAATTCTGTAAGAGAGGGCACTTTAAGGGTGGCCAATTTCTCCGTGGTACCCATTTGCGAGCGTTGTTTTACTAGCGTTTTCTTTGGGTACTCATTTGCTGTAGGATGGAGTGCCAAGCCTTCTATGAACCCGTAACCTTCTGCACTGCAGTCAAGTGCAGTAATTAGTACGTGGACATAAACTGGCAGACTTCAGAGAACTGACGCTACAGTGTGTTTATTTTATGTTGACATAGTTCTCTGATAGTGAACTAGAAAGCTGGTGGCCCATTTCACAGTATCCCCATAAAATTTGCTCGTTTTCCATCACATTTCTTCATTTGATATCATTTTTAGGAGCAAATTGCCCTTGTCTTTGCCCACATCTATCTCCATATTAATATCCAACATTTTTTTACCTGTAGAGTTTTATCGTAATGCAAGTACCTTCTTCAATATTTTTCATTTTTACTTGTAACATGTAAAAAAGCAGACACTTCTTATTCCAAGGAAAATTCTACCAACTCGAATGCGTCGCATCGTAGATGATGATTAATCCTGATATTTCGTTGCCAACCTTAGTATTAATTTACTTAATGTGTATTGGTAATCCGCATTTGAAACTTTTCGAAAATTTCCTTATAGTTTTTCACATGGAACACTTCTATAAACCGTTACGTTATATAAATCAGACATTAGTTTTTCCCTGTCTCTGATTTCAGAATATTGACACGTGCTTCAATTTATAAATGCATTTTCTTAGAGAAAACCATTCTGATTTGTTTATTGTCATTGTTTCACTTTTTGTGGACAGGGTTCAAATGTTTTCGTGTTTATTTCGAAAATGTCAATACTTACGAGCATAAAATCAAGCGAACTGGACAAACTCTTCTGGTCGAAAAGCAGGACCTCACAGGAATCAACTACTTATGGCAACTGTTGTTAGCAACACCCGATGATGACATTGCGGAGGAGTCTATGCAATATTTGATCCAACTCAGCTACACTTCACTGTCACCTCGTCTTAAAAAGGTAATTCCTTTACTATGTACTGTAAGATATAAGCTGCCAAGACAGTTTTTTATTCCAAGGAACAATATGCAAACCAACTATTACAACCACTGTACCACTGAGAGTGAAATGTTTATATTAACCCAATGGCCATGACATTTAACAAGATTCTATAAAATCGATTTTTAATAAAACCCATTTTAATCGGAGTTTAGTATCTCATTCCAGGCCAGAAAACAAGCATTCCTTATTGTATTCAGAAAAGAAACAAAATAAACAGTCCGTGCTATTTCAAATTTTGCGGTGCCAAAGACTTATTTAAGAATTGGAAGGAATTTCTGAATCTTAGGCCTGCCCATGAAAATCTTTGTATTTTCATGGTTTATTATTGGTTTACTTTCTGCAATTTAATCTGTGACAGAATTGTGATAGGGAAGGTTTTTAAGTCGATTGAAAATTTAATGATATTTGCATTTTGTTATATTTGCCGGAGCAACTCACAATAGTTTCAGCCTTCACACAACACAAATTAGTATTTGCACTTTCCCAAGGGCCGAAGCTCTTCTTTGTAAGTAGAGCCACATCATCTTGATATTTAAGTAAAATTTGCCTTTTCTCAGCAATTTACATCCTTTATTTAATTGTAAAAGCTCTTTGCATATGTTAATCATTTTACTGAATGATATCTGGTATCCACGTTTTATACTGATGTTACTTTGAATGATTTCTGTCAATTTTAGGCTGATGCTGTGTGTATACATAGACGGTTCATTGCTGAATGCAACAAAAGACTTGAGGTGCGTTCTCGTTATCAGTTTTCATTAAATTGTCTCTTTTTCCAGCACTGCTATATTTAGGTTAACGTTTAATGACCTACTGCACGGTTTTTTCAACGACTTAGACACACGGCTTTTGTAGCCAACATATAGCTTTTAATTACCAATCATGAAATGGTCCTCGTAGATTGAGACATGCTTACTCCGAGTAAGACCTTATAGAAAAGATTGAGGTAAGTTATAATAAGATCAATCAATGCTTGGGGAGTAAAGGATTATTTTTGTTTAAGATCATTTTGTATATGAAATCAATGAAGTTACATTAATAACCATTGGCAATCAATGTTTACCTTTTATTATATTGTAAAATCTTTTAACAAAATACTAGTTTTATAGAAGTGTTTTAACCAATAAACACGAGGGTTTGGTTTGCTTCCTTGTTTTGATATTTGATAACGTAGTAAGCTTAAGCAGTCCAGGTGACCCATTTCTTTAAGGAGGCCCAGTTTTTTAAGGCGGCCTATTCTTTTAGGCGGCCCATTTCTTTTAGGCGGCCCATTTCTTTAAGGTGGCCCATTTATTTAAGGCGGCCCATTTCTTTTAGACGGCCCATTTCTTTTAGGCGACCCATTTCTATAAGGTGGCTCATTTCTTTAAGGCGGCCCATTTCTTCAAGGCGGCCCATTCTTTAAGGCGGCCCATTTCTTTTAGGCGGCCCATTTCTTTAAGGCGGTCCATTAGTCAATAAGGGACACGTTTTTATAAAAACATCAGATTGGAATATGCTAGTTAAATTCAACGCAGCTAAACCCTTTGGAACGAAATCTAAAGCGAAGCAAGATAAACAATTTGAAATAATAAACAAATAAATACAAATAGCAGAGGCAGATCATTGTAATTTGTTAGATCTAATTTCATTTCTGCTTCATATTAACAGTCGCTGTTGGCTCAGTTAGGAATCTGTAGCGGCGGCGTTGTGCAGGAGCAGAAGCAAGCCCAGAAGCAAAGAAAGACATCAGTGAAGTCGATGGGAAGGTTAGTCTTGTCACTGGTGAAGTTGACGGCCCATTATGCGTTCAACTATCATTTTTTTTAGGGCCAAAAGGAAAAGTGATGAGGATTGGTCTGATGAGGTTATGATGGAAGCATTAAGTTGTACTTATGCTCTGGCATGCCGTCTTTTGCAATACATATTTTACATTCATTTGTCAGAAAGAATACGATAAGTTATGTTTTGGTTGAAAACTCATTTCCTTCATTGCCTAAAATATGGATGTTAAGTATGAATCAAGGATCTTAAAAAAATTAAAAGACTTAAAGCACGGCAATTTGCATGTAGGTATAATGTGGCTTTATTTGTTGGACTAGGGGATGTTTTTTGAAATCATAAAAGGATTTAAACGATTTTGTCTTGCCTTTTATCTTTTTTGTCATATAATACAAATCTTTTTTTATTTTAGGGAAAACATTCTTCTTGGTGTTAAACGGCTGTTATTGCTCGCATACTACTACATCACCACAGTTGAGGTATGGAAATATCCGCCCTAGATTTGCTCAAATTTCTCGTTTCTTTTCCTTCTACCGTAAACTTTTCTATTGAGGACAAGAACTCCAAACGTTTGTGCAGTCTTTATTAGCTACAATTCATTTTTATAACCCAGAGATATAATTCTCTTTAACCCAGACTTTTTACCGGACATATTTTATTTTAAGTTTTATTAGTATTTCGTAGATCTTAAAGTATACGTCGAGTAATGTGGAAGGAAGTCCCATGTAATATATTTCATTTAACGCAAATGTGTATTGCGGCAGTAAAATTATATTTGCCTCTGTTCCTTAACATCTAGCGTAAAGATTGAAGAAATGTTCAATCCAGGAAAACCTTTATACTTCTTTTTTAACCTTGATCACTTTAAATTTCGCATCATTTTTATGTTTACAGCTTAATATTGTTTTAGCTTTCATAAACGCCTCTTCAAATGAAAAAAACCTTATGTATTAAAACTTATGTACATCATCATCCTGAATAAAAAGATCCCCTTCTTATTTCCACAAGCTCGGACACTGATAGCGTTGCCTCAACGATCTACAACGTTCCGCTGCAAAAATCGTTAGGAACAATACATAGAGCTGCACAGTTTTGCTATGCACACCTGTATTTATACCCAACTTTGTTTTCTTTCAGGAGAATTTTCCGATGCCTCGCAGGTTTCCCGCACATGGAACGTGCTACCGCGGTTTCCCGGTTACATTGAACATCAACCATGAAGCAACCAAGACAGAAATTGAGTTACAGGTATCATCATTCGCAAACCAAACTACTACAACCACCGTACCACTGAAATGTTGAATATGACGATGGCTATGACATTGAACTAATTTCTGTAAAGTGTATACATGCGTAGCTAAGTGCTGCCGTCAAGTGGCCGAGCGCACAAAAAGGTTGAGACCGTATCAACTTTCTGGCGCTCACCGCGGACACAAAATCGAGACCACTTAATTTTGACTACGCATGCTCAGAATTGGGCGCTATCCTCGCGCGCACAAAAAATGTCAAATGGAAATCGGCCTTGAAATCGCTTTCCTATAAAGCCCATTTTAATCAGTATAGTATAGTATCTCAATCGAGATTATTGTAAAATGCGTACGAGATTTCCACCAAAATAAAAGGATTTCTAGAGAATAGTAGAATTCCTGCCAAAAGTATACGAGATTTCCGTGGACTGATTAACCCCTTGTGTAGGTTTCGATTATTTTCTTTATCGTTTTGATTAAATGTGGTACCGCCCTTTCGTTGCTTGGAACTCGTTGTTTGTCTCTTGTCAGTCCCAGATGTTTCAAATTTTGAGAATTTAGCAACCACCTCCTGGCTTTGCAACTCAGAATATTTTAAGAATTCGTTTCATTTAACTCTCATGTTTTATTTAACTATTTGATCAATTATTTCATTCTATCATAAAGTTCGTATCATAAAATACTCCCATTTATTCATGTGGAAAATTCAATTATTTATTCCTACAAACATATTTCAGAGCAATTGTTGAGTCGTCTTAACGACAATGTATTTCTTTTGCTTTGATGAAATTTTCATTGCAACATTTGTATAAAATTTATTGGCAGCGTATTTTATTTCTCAGTCTCATAGTAACGAAACATTGTCATCTCTGCGGAGGAGAATCGCAAAGCATCTGTTGACGTCACCCGAAAGTGTCATTTTATCACTCGCAGATAAAGCTGTAAGTATCATTAAGATTTTTACATGCAATAATTTCAAAGTTAACCGAATTTATTCAGATCACAAAATTCATTAATATATTAAACAAAATATAATTTTTATAAATTTTTTCGTAAAAGAAATAAGCTTGAATTCAGTGTTACTTATTATGACAATATTTTGATAAAAAGGCAAAGAGCCAATTTCTATCGGGATCACGATATTGAGATAAAATGTCTTTGCCATTTATCATTATTTTTGCCTTTTGAGCGATCTTATATTATCTTTCAGAGGTATTTTTTGTAACTTTGGTCTGCCGTTTGTATCGGAATTTTCTCAGAAAAACTTCAAATAGAAATAGGTTTTATGTTCTTGTTTGTTTTAGCTTCACCTTAATTGCACGAAAATGTCACGAATGTTGCTTGTATTCCTATCCCTTGGAAGGGGTGAATCTTTTCTTTCTCAGCGAAAGTGATTGCTCGAATATAATAGTATGCAGTGTCTTGTGTGTTAGTTGGGAAATTGAGGGTGGCATCCTGATACGGTTAACTTGTAAATATCTAGTATTCTTATTTTATCCAGTACTGTAAGACATACTAGAATTCCGCAATGGTGGATTTGATTTGATTGGAGTATACTGTATTGAATTCTTAGTTGACCAACAATAAAGACCAAAAGCTGCTTCACCAGCTGAACCTGCAAAGTGGCCAGACCATCTCTGTCAAAACCATCAGTACAGTAAACGGTGCGTCGGGAAGTAGCGCTTCATCAGCCCCTGAAGATGAGGTAGGGCCCAGGTTTTACATTGAATGCTACTTTAAAAGCGATACAAACGCCTACAGTTAGCATTCAAAGCGATACAAACGCCTACAGTTAACATTTAAAGCAAGGCAAACGCCTACAGTTAACATTTAAAGCAAGGCAAACGCCTACAGTTAGCATTCAAAGCAAAGCAATTGCATGCAGTTAACATGATGTTGATACTTTGAAGTTACGCCTTGAGCAGTGAATTGCGTTTAAAACACAATAGTGAATTCCTATAACGTATATTTTAGAAATTTGATATAAAAACTAATAAAAACTGCACGGTAATTTTTGTTAAGCACGAAAATAAGATAAGCCGCTTAGAGTCTTCATTTTGTAGCCACGAAAGCCTGTATAGCTCTGTCTATACATGAAAAAGCTGTACATGCCTTGGTTAACAATACACCATTTTACAATAACTACAATTGAATACCTTCAATATATATTAAAAACTAGACTCATGCAAGTCATAAACCCATTGCTGATTTGAAGATTATTCTTTTCTCTCCAACTTGAAATAGGGACTAAAACCATCTTCGCTTCTGGAAAGGGTATGTTGACATTTTTTCACAGATATTTGATGTCAATTTTTCAGACATTTTCCTCAATTCACTGTATTTTACCTATCTTGGAATATTCCCTGTTGTGTAGAGAGATTTGTTTTATTTGTTTTGCCAATTCATCTTTATGGATCAATCGATTTGAAATATTCAAGAAATGTTCTCTTAAAGTTTGTTTACACGCTGTTGGAGCAAGATAAGAATTTTCTGTTGGCCACCACTTTGACCCACCCTCTCAATTAACATAGCAGTGTATCTGCATTTGCAAAACTGCTCAATGGTTGTTGGTAGAATTGAGTCGTGAAATGCAAAAATATTCCACAATCTATACTAATTTTGTCATATATGTTCAGTTTTGGTGATTTTTAGGGATCCTAAAACCATTATGTAGTCGTTAGAATTTCTTGTCATCATTAAATGCTCGAATTTTACAGCATCGTATTGATAATGCGCGAAAGCTTTGTCAAGAAAGCTCAGCAGGTTTTTTGATTGATTGCAATAACCCTTTCTTACTAGATTTCTTCCAACGTTCTCCTTTCTCTTTATATCCATTTTTGCTTGGCTCCCGTAACTATTTTCGTGGGAATAGCCTTTTTGAAAATATAGTTTCATTATAAACGGGTATTGGAATAGGTTCAATATTTTCAAGATTATATTGATCACCCAAGTTGCGGTATGTCATGATGTGAGTTTTCCATTACAGGAGAAAGGCCTGCCAAGTTATCTTATGGCTATAGAATTTAAAGTTTTCGAGAGGCTGTATGAGCTGGCATTGCTCGAAGAGAGTGGGTAGGTACTCTTCGGATCTCAGATGTTTCAGTGTCGCTTTTTATATGGGTTGTATGAAAATGATATGAAGAGATCAATGGTGGCATATTTAGATCATCCGTGGCCCTACTACCCATGTATCGCGTATTGCAGCGGCAATACACAATACAATGGTAGCCAACGGTCATCCGAAATTGTCATCCATGTATCGGCTAGTCCCTCTTGTTGAAGGTGATATCTTTTATGGTAGTTTCCTCTTTGTCAGTTATGTCAAATTCCATATGTTTGTATGTGCTCATCCAGTATTTGTTCTTTGTCAACCTATATCGATACCAATATTGATGACGGAGATACCAGGGGCGGACACTTGGTCAAATATTGAAGGGGGGCAAGCCTATTGTTTTAATAAGATTACGTCACATTTCCCATTGTTTTAGAACAAAAGACCATCATCCTCCGAAGTATTGGGGTGACTGCCCCCCCCCCCTTCGACCCCTCCCCCCAGGTGCCCGCCACTGGGAGACGCCTTCATAGAAGCCCGAGGAAACACCCTATTTAGCATTCTGTTGAGAACACTAGGATACCACATTAAGGCTCAGTTCCGAGTGAGTTGGAAAAAAATGTCGTTGTGAAAAGTTTTTTTAAAAGGGAAGTCTAGAGTGTGTTAATATTCTGTCGAGCCATAAAAATCTATATCGCTTCAATACCAGTTTGCCTCAAAATTTGAGAATCGATAATTTCAAGAAATTGAACGTCAAACCAGGGTAGCGACTTTAGTTATTATGTTTCGTGCATTTGAATGCCTAATTCCCAACAGTTTGAACTACCATTGACACATGCGTTATAACCAGACATTGAAATAACGAAAACTTGTGGGCATTGTTAGATAAAGGCAGTGGCGGACACTTGGGGGGCGAGGGGGCCACCGCCCCCCAATACTTTAGAGGACGATAGTCTTGTGTTCTAAAACGATGGGAAATGGACGTTATCTTATAAAAACAATAGGCTTGCCCCCTAAAATTTGACCAAGTGTCCACCCCTGGATAAAGGCTACTTTTTCTTTAATCTTAACTCTGATTTGGTAAATGAAAAGTCAGTGGCTATCAATATAATTCTGAGCTGATATAATGTACGTTGTCATATTCCTACCACACTTTGATGCTACAGTTAATAGCTACAAAATATTCTTCTTTTATGCAGCGTCACAGATGCACTTCGAAGTTTGCTGCAGCTTCTGCCAACAGACACATCAGTTCTCAATGCATTCGATGTATTTTCCTACCAGGTTTGTCAAAATATGTTCAGCTATTCAAAGTCCGTCCTATATTGATAGGAGACATAACAAGTACTTGTTGGATGATTCTTTGTGTGAAGAATCTCTAATAAAAAATGAACGTTTTGTGCTCCTAAGAACTGTCCTGGAAAGTGTGGATCTTTTCTCTGGAAAATGCCCTGAAGCTTTTAAAACCTTCCTCAGAAAACAAAGAAAGAAGGCGTGATTTGGGCTTGACACTTGAATTTCTTTTGTTTACATCGGCCTTCCTTGATGGTTAAACCGCCATGTTTTTCCTCGTTCTGGTTTGCAGCATTAACAAAATTCCCGTAAGAAAGTCCTGTAGTTTTGTTTCCTGAAAACCATGCAACACTAGAACATCCTGAGATGAGCTTGTATTGATTTCAAAATTGTAAAAAAGGCCATATTCCTACTCCTTCATCGATCATGCCATCACCTTGATATCTACTTACGTCATTCACGAGATCACCTACTATAGGACATTCCCTTCACCATTGTTTACACGTGCACACATCTATGTCATGCTGACTTCTTCCCAAGTCTAGATCTTTCCGTTTTTATTACATCATCATTACATCTTCCTAACTCATCCTTAGTCAGCAATTCTATTTCTGTTTATGTGTATGTTAATTTGTAAGTTAGCCAGTTCAGATCTGATCAGAGTTGTGAAGTCAACATACTGTCTCGCTGACTGGCTCCGTGCTCTCTGCACGTTTAATAAGATTCGAAGTAGCATGAACGGTGGAAAGTTACAGCAAACAGGATAGGAACCAAGGCAATTTTGCAACGTAATATCGTTCTTATTAGCTAACATTCTAAGAAATGGTTTCTGTATAGTTACTTCAATATTAAATTTTAAATGTTTGCAGCATTTTCAAATAATCATGAACAGAAAACTCTAAAAAGACAAAAAAATTTTTTTGCTAGAGGTTTGCTTACTGACAACGCTTTATTCTACACAGATACACGTCCATTGCTCAAAGGATTTAAAAAGCCAGCAATTGATTTATTTAAATTTATGCGAAATGTGGCCTGATGATCGCATTAAGCGTGAAACTCGGAGTAGCAACGTAGAACCTTCCTGTTCTATACACCAAATAGTGTGTACAGCTCTGCCTATACGGCATCGGGCACTTTACTACAGACCGGTAAACGGTAATTTAATATGCTGTATAAATCTGTTCAAACCCAAAAGCAGTAGGGCTGTACAAGTAGCCTACTTCGTGGGAGTTAACTCGGTCTAGACCAATCGATCTCGCCAATCATATCACAGCTTTATCTAAGCCAATCATAGCTTTATCTAAGCCAATCATAGCTTTATCTGAGCCAATCATAGCTTTATCTGAGCCAATCATATCACAGCACAGCCCGTTTCATGTCAGCATTTCGTCAGCAATTTCAGCGACCGTGCATCCATCTACAGTGATTAGAGACACACTGCCTTTCAAAATACTACTGCATTTTTGTGCAAGGTTTCTAATGAAATTTCAGTGAACTTAGATGATAAGGCAGCAATGCTCTGCCCGTAATGGAGGATCCCTTTTTTACTGAGCATTTGATTTCTTAAGGTCTGTAATGGTTGATTTTCATTTTCAGGACTCTATACCAGAGTCACCAAAACCGCTCAAGGATGGCTCTAATCTTTCCAGTGTTTTTGACGAATACTTCAAGCTATCTGGGCCTAAGATGTCACCTTTCCGATTGTTATACAATTTGCAGGTAAGAGCTCATGAAGTGAACATTCAAGAAAACCTCATCGTCTGTTCTTTTGAAAGTATTGTTAGCATTGCTTGTTCCGTATTTCTGTCATTTCATTTTTCTTCTCTGTCTGTTTTCGTATTTAAATAAATGATCTGCAGCCAAAATTTACATGTCGATTTTAATCAAGGTGATGATTAAGTGTATCCATTGCCTTCAGGATGAAAAGCTGGAAGGCTCAGGGAGGGGGCTGAGTCCTTATTTGTAATACGGCAAAATATCCTTTTTGTTTGGTATTGGTATCGAAGTGACCTTTGGGTCAATGGATTAATTCTTGATTAGAGAACTTATTCCATCTTTTCGCTAGGTGTTGAGCAGCAAACTCATTCCCACAGAAGAGAAGGAAACTCCTTCTGCTTTTAGGGAGAATTTTCTCAATGCCGGTGGCCTAAGGTGAGTCGCTACATCCTTAATTTGCTATAGTCTTACTTTTTTCAATGTTAGATTTTATTGTATCAAACTTTGAAAATGTCTTGCATGCGAATCAGACGAAATTGTTATCATGATTTTAGGAGCTATGAAAATAATTTCTACAGTAGCATACTGCGATTCATTACTGCTACTCTGATGTTAACGTTGTTAAGAAAACCTTTATTGCTATGAAGCCCATCTTTGCCGTCAGAATTGCTTTTGGGGGCATTTGCAGTGATCTTACATGAAAAAGATCAATAATAAAATTGATGATCTTCCCAAGGAGTTTTCTTTGTGGGTTTTCAGCAAATTCAGCATCTGCGCCATCTCTGCATATGAATGCAAATCAGAATTTACCAATTCAAAATTTTTGATTTCTGTTTCCTTTAAGCACTCATTGATATATGCTGACACAAATTTTACCCTTTCCAGACCTATTTAGCTACTACAACTTAATACAGTGACTTTGTTGTACACCAGTTGAATTCTTCCCAAAGCTTCATTGGAAAGTCTTTTTTGCCGCCAGTAGTCGCATAATATTTGCATTTATATACCACTGCCCTTCAATTAACGTGGGTTTCTAACTGCAAATTATTTGCCACATGCTTTCTTCCATTCTAGCTTAGTACTAAACATCCTGCAGCCAGACGCGATGCCAACGTCCGTTGCATATGAACTGAGGCAGTCCTGCTACTTTGTTTGCTTGCAACTGGCAAGGTTTGTGTTCCCATCAGTACTGTTTTCTACTTCTCTGTCCAACATCTTAGATATGAACACGATGAGTTTGTATTATCTTCACAAAGATTTTTCTTAGCAAATTTATTTTCGATGCAGACAAAGAATTCTATCAAACAGTTTTAAACCAAGAATCAGTTTTTGTGTGAAGTTTTGAATTCTTGCTAGCTTTATTTTCAATGTTTTATACACAACCTCAGTTCGCCCATGTTTTCAGCCCTTGAGTTCTGCTATTAACATCCTTATATCGAGCTCTTTCCCTTACTGAAAGACGATATTGTAATTGTTGAAATCCTTCCTATTCATAAAGCACGACAGGAGCTCGGTTTTGTGCAAGGAAAACTCCATATAATAAAGGGTAATTTCAAACTGTTGCTATCATGTTATTTTTAGTCTTTGATATGGTTATGTATTCTAGTCTGTGCCCGCAATTGTCACTCGTTTTGTTTCCTAATTCTTGTTGCCCTGTTAAACCCAGGTCTTTGCTACATGGTGAGACGTCACAGCCTGTCATCCTCTCCTTCGCATCACCTGTAAAAACTGTCGGAGCATCGTCGACCGGGATGGCCACAACAGCTACCCCTGATGCACCCATGGGTTCAACCATGGCAACAAGCACGCCAATCAAGCTTTTAGAGAGTCCGCACAAGAATCAAAGTGCCAGCGTAGCCTCATCTTGGCCCGGTGCTGGTTCAGCGTCACCGTTATCTTTGAGCATGATGTCATCATCCCCAGGGAGTTCTGCCGGTGTCACACCCGACAATGCTTCAGAGCCTAAGCGTCCACGGGCTGGCAGTTTGATTGACAGCGTAGCTCCATCCGCCAGATTGGTTGTGGAGGTATGAACTTTGAAGTACCGTAAATCCTCGAATTAGCCCCCTCGGGGCTTATTTGTTCTTGATATTTTTGGATGGGGCTTATTCGAGGGAGCTTGTACGAGGGGGGGGGGCAATTCGAGGATTTACGGTCATCTTGAAGCATCGTCGAGGCTTTTGATGCACAGAAGAAGGACTGTTGTTACGGCATTTCGTCAAATTCTCGACCTCATCATTTGAATATTACCATCTTGATATTTCTAAACGATTTCGATTATCAATGGTCCTTCTAAATGAGTTGTAAAAATGACTGAAACTTGATGTTATTCCTTTAAGGCTTTATCATATTCATTTCAGTCTTTTGTCCCATGTTCACGAGTCCTTCTGAATCTTTATTCTTAAGAATCTTTAAAGTCATTTAAGCCTTAAGAATCAAGTGACAGTACTTTTCGTTTCTTCGATCATTGATTGAATTATCAATCAAAGCTTGTCATTTTGTCTTACAATTCAAATTTTCCACTTCCAGATGATGAATCGTGATGATTATGCGGAGACGATCGCATGCTTAGTGAGAGTGGCCTGGGCGGCCGCTGCAGGCCAACTTCAATTGTTCACTTTCCGCCAAAACAGAAACGACGAATCGGAGAAGTCACCCGCTTCATTAAGAAGTGGAATCTGTCTCACAAAAAACGAAATCTCTCCCATGGTGAGCCCTAATACCAGAAAACCAACTAACCAAAAATTCTGCAAATTTAGTATATATCTCTTTTATTTAACTCATTTTTCGCAGCCATGTCTAAATATCGTTTGGAATCTAGCAGTCCCACGATTTTTTATGAAATTTCACCATTATTCTCAGGGAAAAATTGGATGTATCATAATTTTTCTAGAAACGGCGGAAACGATGGGCATTGGGTCTTGACTAGATAAACAATTTGTCATTCTTTCTCTAGATAGAATAATATACTTGAAAATTTGCCAAACGAAAATATACCTTACTCGCTCTCGATTTGTTTCCATCGAAGGACGCCTTACTGTCCCAGAATGCAATAGAGCTGTTGGTCATGTGCTTGCAGCTTCGCCCTAATTTGATGAATGTGTTCTACTACCTACCAAACGTCAACGAGTTCATTATAGATCTTCTCGTTGGATCATCCAGCATGCAGGTTAGCTTTTTATGCATTTTCTTAAATACTTTTTAAGACTTGTTTGCAGTTAGACGTAATTTTATCGTTATTAAATGCTCAGTTTAAAGTGTGAAGTGCAAAAAACTACAAAATTTTGTGGAACATTTCAAAAACTTTAATGTGTCTGATAACACCCCTTGTGCTCGTGTTTTGTCTACTTAAACAGTCAAAGTTGGTTTTGGGTGCCATGTTTGAAAGGGTGTTAGTAAACTTAAAAGGTTTATTTTTAAGGGCTAGAGCTTTATCCCACTGAATTTAGTAAACTTCGTTGAGAGTAGCCAAACCATTCATTTGGAATTCCAAACATTCGCTTTAATGCTGTTATAAGGTTTATAGTACGTTTTAAGAAGACCTTGTAAGCAATTTAACCGTTGAAACTACAATCCAATTTGTGTAGTTATTAGCAAATAAACTAGAAGTATAAGTTCGAAAATTTTGATATTTTGCCATCTGTCCGGCTCAGAATGCTATTAATAAACTTTGCAAAATGTTCAAGATGGCAAGCATTTTGATATCGTTCATTTCCATTAATACACGATAAATTGTACGATGTTTTTCCTTATCTCGATAACTACAGAGATAAAAAGATCCTTTTTTGCTAAAATTTTGTGAAAGATCATAAAGCAATTATCTTGTTTTTTTCGTTATAAAGAACCCACAATCAATGTGAACGTTGGTTAACTTAAGCAGAAATCTTGCTGCACTTCTGTTCGAAATAAATATGAAAATTTAGAAGCAAGTTTCTAATAATGTATTATAATGATACAATCTTGTAAAATTGTATACCTAAAGACATAGAAGAATTTTTTTTAAACTTTGTTTATTTAATCTGTTTTAAGCTCAAATATAGCGGAGCAGAGCGAAAAAATTTATTTTCATAATTAATTTTTATTTGCATCCGTCTAAACTTTTCTCTCAGGTTAGGAAGGCTGCCATGACACAGCTCACAATTCTAAGCGAGACCGAAATAAACGGTGAGTTTTTTATCTTTGAAACTATCTTTGCGATAAAAGCATTGTAATTCCCATAATGAATAAAATGGCTAAGTCGTCAAGCAGAAGCAAAGCTCTGACGCAAGTTGATAAGAAACCTAAAATCCTGAATCTGTTAACATTAAAACAAAGGTTGAAAAAAGGTCTTTCCTCCATTGGGGTATTCAACTATAGGAAGGATTTGTGGTTCAACTGATTGGTCAAAAGCAAAGAGCCAATGAAATCCACGTTGTCCTTACTTCCCCTTAATTTTGCTCTAGAAAGATCGTAGATACAATCCCAAAGGAAGAATCTGGGTATTTCCCCGAGCCAAAAAGTTTTGGCAAAAACACAATGTGGGTATTTCCCCGAGCCAACAACACAATTCATCAGATATGCAAATCATTCTTTGCATCAAGAACGTGTAATATGATGAAATGGTAAGCGTTGATTGACGAAAAAGTTTGTTCCCAGAATTGAGCCTGGGATTTGGACTTGGAAAGGAGCACTAGGTAGCTGTTGCGAGATATTGATGTAAGCATTGATAAGTAAACATAATCATCATTTATTACAGTTACATTGCACTGCCTTAAAAACAGACATGTTAATAAGTTAATTGAAGTTGTTTTCATACACTTAGTTACAACACTTTGTCCGCAATAAGGTTTGGTGTCAACGTTATGTTTCTCCAAAATCTGAAAAAGTAGGCCAGTTTTAATAAAACGTTCTATAACGACAAAATTCCCTGACATGACGAAATTTTCACTTAGATTAAAGAGAGTAGCCAGCTCGCTGTAATTCCATGCTTCACGAAACCAGATGCTGTTTTAGAAGTACTTCTAAAGGCTTCTAAAATTTCAAACATAATTTTTATGTGCTGAACTGCGTATCAGCTCAAAGCAAAAGTGCAGTGTTTCTTTTAAACCTATTTTAAGCAACTGGCCATTCCAACAAGAATTACAATTGGAATTGGTTCATTTTATTTCTATTTTGAGCTTTGCAAAAGGGTTTTGTTGGTGGTGATTACAATATGTAGGCTATAGCTTTGCAACCTTCCAGGTGTATGCAGAAATTCCGCATCTTAAAAATATCGACTTTTGGATAATATGTCTAGCTTGAACCAATTATTTTTTATAAAATTTCTTCAATGCTTGGTAGCCACTATCCAGTGCTTCATTCTCTGTTAAGGGTTCACTTGCAATAGTTTTTGAGAATGCAAGCAAGATTTCCAACTTTTAATTCGATCTCAAGTATTAAGAATTAATACTATTTACCAAAACAAAATTTATTAGTTTCCTCGGGTTTCACTGTTTTAAGCTTTTTCCTCTCACTGTTCATATATGTATGTGTCTCGTTTTTTATTTAATTGCTTTATTAATTGCTTAATTTTCTTTTCTTCTCAGAGCCAAAAGTTCAACAAGCGAGAGATTTTCTTGTTCGAACTCTGTTCAAAGCACCAGTACCTCTGTGGAATTCATCGACGTACATCAGGGCGAACTACAGGTATATACCTAGCCCTTTCTTTTGATTCTCATAAGGAATTATGTTTAACATATATCTCACTATGCATAAAATACGCGTTCTGCCTTCATCTAAAAATCCAGCAAGTAATAAAAATTGAAACTGAAATACGGTGCCTTTGCATTCTAATGTTCATTACGGCAGAGTATTTGTTTGTTTTCGAACCAAGTTTCACATTCATTCCGCTTTGAACGGTTAAATGAAATGATAAAAATTTTAACGCGTGGTTGCAAATTAGAGACAGCCAGTTGCAATTTGTAGCAGCTCGTTGCAAATGGCTACATATTGGATTTTCAAGTGGTAGGAACACAAACTAGACAAAAATTTTTGCCTGTCTTTGTTATCTGACCATACAGAGTAGTTTTAATTAGGGTTGCAGATTAAGACCTTTTTAAGATGCAAACCATCTTGATGTTACAGTTCTTGTTAAAAGTTTCTATTTTAAAAGTTAAGTGTATGACGTGGACACGAGTATAGCGCGGGCTGTTGTACAAAGCTGCATGCCACGTGAAGAGAAAAAAATTGTAGCAAAATTGGGTGATTTCTGTCTCGTAGTTTCGTAGCGTTGTAACGGCAGAAGGCTGTAAGGGAAGCTTTGCATTTGTAACGATTATCCTGGTCAGTGCCGTCGAAACGAAATTCATATTTGAGGGGGGGGGGGGGGGGGGGGGGGCTAACAGAACATATGTCTAAGGAGGCATAATTTCTCACGATTTGTTATTATTTACTTATCGATATTTGTCTTATTGCTGTTTGCTTTGATTGCTTATGTGAAACATTTTTTGCTTAATTTATCTCACCTGCCATGTTCAAACAATTCCCATTGAATAATTAATATGGAAAACTTTCTGCCGCCAAAAACTAATTTCTGTTTGTGTCGTTTTGTGAGTGTTAAGGGACCACAGGTGTTAAGGTCATGAACGATTGAAAACTGCAAAGTGGTAATGAGTGCTGGGCAATTCAAATGACCCTCCCCTTTTGTCCTTTAATGGATTTCACTCAGAACTTAAGTCAACATAATTTTAACATGTTTGGTTTTTAAAGGCGCCTCTTACTTCTCATATTGGTAATAATTTGTTGACCTATGCCATGTTTTATATCTTTCTGTAGAAGCAAATTGTTTTAAATGAGCCACATTGTTTGAAGTGCGCCACATATGAGGGTGACTTCGTATTGGGAGTAGTTTCACTATGATGTGACCCTTGAACTCCCGGTCCAAAGACAACACTTCTTGCTTTGTTAATTTGTATACACTTTTGTCTTGTCTCATTATTTCTTGTTTCAACATGGATATAAATGAAAAAGTACGTGGTGAAGATTCCGCTCCATAGAATAATCTCTGCCTGTATCGAGATGATCAGAATTTGATATAGAAAACCCTATACTGAAGCTATACTGATTTCTGAATAATGAACTAAAGCTTTGGTTGCTCACTGTAATACAACTTCAAAAGCAAGCCCAGCATGACCTCGACGCACTGTTGGATCGATCTCAGTATGGATGATCTCTGTTTGCTATGCCTGGGTACGCCTGCCCCCTGTAAGCCGTAAAATTGAAAGAAATTTCCTGAGTAGTCTTCTCCTTAGGCCTTTCCGTGTGGCTAATATGACAACAGGATTTAGTATCACGTCTAAATTTGTGATAGCCGCAGGTATGGAGACCATCTCTTCTGACAATGCGACGTTGGCTAAACGGATTATACGAGAGATGATAAAGGGAAGCCACGTCAGAAGAAAGAAGAGCACCAGTAGGATTGTTGACAGTACAAGACTTGGTTGCATCTTCCTGAGCTGTAGGGTTTTGAGCTGCTGAATGTGCGACGATGGGTCTGAAAGTATTTTGAGCCTCTTGTTCTTTTGTAGGCGTGTGAAATCGTCCGCTTCGAATGAAGACACGCTGTTTGCTTTTCCGCGTTCAGCTGAGCTTTTCTTTGCTCGTTTTGGCTCAGGTGAGCTGTGTTGTAGTCCATTCTTAGTGAGAAATCTCTGGACCTGTGACTTTGGACTGTCTGTTACAGATCTATTAATTAATTCATCGCTTTTTTCAAGTTTCTTTTTCATATTAAAGTTGAGTGATCTGTCAAAGTCAAGCTTATCACCTCCAGTAGCTAAATCGTCTACGTCAATCTGGACATCTTCAATTCTTTCCCCATCTTCAACACTGCTGTTTCTACCGGTATTGCAGTAGACATTACTGCCATTGCTTGTGATCTCCTCATGAATTGCACCATTCGCTCTGACGTCATTGGTATCCAGTCCCCCGTTCTCCATTCCAATCGAATTTTCATTGACTTTCCTGAGATTTTCTTCCTTCGGCGTATCTTCAGGCTCACTTTTGCAATATACACATCGGTCACCGTTATGCACGCCCAATTCTTTTCTCGTCATTATTTCCTTGTTAACTACCCCTTGCGGTCTGGTTTTATCAGCATTAGCTTTTTCCTTAGCATACCCATTGGGCGGACTTTGTGGTTCGCTTCCATTTTTTGATATGTCTCCATCTTCCCAAATTGTTATTTTATCCTTCGTCTTTCGTGAAGCGACTGTCAATATTTCAGTTTCATTATTTGAGCCTCCATCAGTTTTACTTTGATCTGCACCGCTCATGTCCATCAAGGTTATGGCTTTTGCAAGAGTCTTAACTAGCAACATTTTACCGCGCGATTTTTCGTCTTCTTGCGATAACCGTATACTTTGCCTGATTGAAAGCTTTTGCTTCCTTGCTACAACGAATACGCTAACATTTGCAACAACAAGGATGATCGCAGGCATAACAAAATCTAATAAAAGAACAGGCACCAGAAACCCGCGATCGCTTATTTCCCACTCGTATCCGCAAGCCGCTCCGTGTACGGCAATATACGAAACCCATCCGGGCATAATTGGAAGCGGCAAGGCAGTCACAAGCGCCTGAATCCAGATAAATACGATGAGAACAAACGCCCGCATTTTGGTCACTCTGTTCACATAAAAATACGGCCATATTATAGCAACGAAGCGATCGAGAGACAGCAATGTCAAGGACAACACTTTGGATGCAGCTAAGCTGTAGTTGAAAAAAATTGCAGCTCTGCAGGCGGGTAAATGTTCTTTTGACGACTCGTTATTAACAGGCGGCAATTCTGCAAGTAACGAAACAAGGTAATACGGGCAGCCTGACATGCATGACAGAATTGTAGCGGTGAGAAGTGACGTCAAGAAACAGTTTGTTATTGGGGTTCGAGAACCCTGTCTGCTCAGCATCAAATGAAGTATAGCTATATTGAGCGGTGCCCCAATGAGGAATATGCCGGTGTAGAAAATTGTCAACGAGATCTGCAAACCAGTCGTTATTGTCATGACGCTTTCAGTATTGGCTTCTTGCTCATATAAACACGAGTGCAAATTTTTAATAAAGTCTTGCCATTTCTACGTCAATTCATCCTGTATTGTCGCCAAGCAGCCGTTCTTATCTTGGCAGCTAGAGCCTTTTTATCCCTTATATCTCGTATCTCACGTTTATCTGTCCAACTGATACTGAGACCTGCTGCGATTAATCATATTATTTTAGAAGATATTGATTCGTCTTCGTTTCGACATGCTTCAAAATAATTCGTTGTGTTTAAATTAAATCTGGGCTGAAGGCTTCTACTTGCTTGCTTGCATTTTACGAGTAATGTTGCCACCAGCTCCTAGTAACATCTGTTTTACTGATTTCGCCTGTAATCGATATTAGAGAGATTATGTAAAATTCAGTTCACGGCAGATCTCTCGCAATAGAAAACCCATTCTCATTCAAATCTTGGTTTATATACCCATTTGTCTACTGCCTGCATTGTACATTTAGCATCAAGGTCTGCTGCAATCAAAATGCATTTATGTCAGGAAGAAGAAAACAGCTCTTAGCTTGGCCATGTAATCACGAACTTGAAGACTTCTCTACCTTTTTTATTTTGTGTTCATCGACGATTAGAGAAATTAAATCTTTATTCTTCAAGGAAGACATAAACGGGCAACGCAGATAAAGCTTAAATGAACTGTCATATCGTTCTTAAATCCGAACATTTTTTATTATGACTCGAAATTCCCTGTGGCTTTTGACATTTTGCAAGATAACGGCATGAAAACTGCACTTAGATTTGTTTTCTGTAAAAGGTTTTAGCAGTATATACAAGCCCTTTTGATTTTCATCCCGCTTGACGTCATATTGCAAGATCTATGCGTTAAAGAAGTGAATATTGCAACTACAGCTAATCCTTCTTTCCGTTAACATTAAAAGATCTTTTCCTTAAACACACATATTCGTAAGTGAAAGTACTTTCTCTTGCAATCTTTTTGTCAATCAAAAATTGGTTGTGCCTGTAAAGTTGGTATCGCTTACCTCTTCTATTTGTTTGCTGATATGAAGATAAAATATATTGGCCTAAATGCTTACACGTCGCACAGTGTCTTATTTGACTTGATAAAAATGCGTCATCTCTTGCGACCTTTCTTCAGGTCAACAAATATGTTGCCAACAAAGAGATGGTTGCCGATATTCTCCGCTGTCTTTGTTCAAATACCGTTCTTCTGTTCGAAATAAATCATAATGATAACTTGACATTTCCCCTTTCTATCTGCAGAGCTCAATGGATACTCGCATTCATATGAAAGAATAATCAAATTACTCCTTTGCTATGAATCATTGCAATAACCCTTCTGAATAATATTTATTCAAGCTTGGTCACTGCTACTAGCAAACATATAGAATTACTTGAATTAATGACAATAATAGCAGGTGCCTCGGAAGTTTTTGATCTTTGTCAGTGTGCATCAAATGCCATCGTTCATTTCCTGTTTGTAATTACGCTAAATAGAAAATATGAGCACCAGCTTTGTTTTTCTTGCTATGTATTTGGACAAGCAAATGACGTCATCAGGTCCTTTAGTATTTATAATTTTGACCAGTAAGGCACTATGCAAAACGTTTTAATGAAATATTTGACACACCCTCCTTGCATTCTGTTGTGACTTGGGCGGGACATAGGTGTGTACCACAGAGAGCCACATGCTTTCTAACAAGAAGATATATATATATATATATATGATTATAAGTGATTATTTATACTCAAGTGAGCGAACCTCTCTTCATGCCTCGTGCATCTAATTCTCATCAATACTGGCGACGGGAGGGCGTAATGCGAAGAGATGCCGGAAATGCCAAATATGGTAAGACCTTCTCACCATGTGTCCCGGAGCCCTGGACCAAAATGGAGGTTTTCTGTCTCCTTCGCAATACATTCAACAATTTTAAGATATTTCACTGCGCGCCTTTTCCACGATTCTCATGAGAGTGCATAGAAATTTTATTGAAATACATGACCTTCACCGTGGCACCATTTCATAAAGGCCACGCAATAGAGTTGTCAAGTGATGACGTCACAAAAGTCAATTTTAAGAATTTTTAAAATTTGTTCCCATATCCTAAAAGAGCATCGTGAAATACCTCTAAATCTGCAAAATCAGTTCGAGGTATTACGAATTGGCTGAGATATGACCAGATGAGCACAAGTTCTGGCCCCATCAAACCTCTGTAATTTGGTCTCAGTTCATAACTTTATGAACTGAGCCAAAATAACAGCAATTCGTTGGCAAATTTCAAATCTTCTACTGGCCATAGCTCACCCAATTTTTGACAAATTAAACTGATTTTGCATATATGGGAGTATTTCATGGTGTTCTTTTATGTGATGTGGTCAAAATTCTAAAAAAAATTCTAAAAATAGTTTGTTTGTGACGTCACATTTGAGAATTCTTTTCACTCTCACAATTCTCCAGATTTCAGGTAACAAAGATATTCAAAATTCTTCTTTTTTACGTTTTCTGTGCTTGATCAGTAACCAGAACTTATTAAAAGTTCCCTTTAGGCCGAAGCCTAGAGCCAGCAAACTTGGGAATTGAATAGTATTGTTTTAAGATCTTTTCTTTTTGCATGAAACTCCGGACATAGCATATCAAAGTGACATCTTTGTTGGGGCGACGAGTCTGAATTCCTATTGTTTATGGTCATTGTTCTATCCATTTGTCTGAACCAATGAGAAAGTGCATCATATGGACATGCGCATTAGGAAGTCAAAACTAGGATATACTATGGTTGCATATGGTATTGCAGGTGACTGGTTTGCCTCCTACTTGAGTAATAGAAAACAGTATTGCTCTTTAGGTGATCAAGAATCCAATGAAAGCTTGCTTACATGTGGCATCCCCAAGGATCTTGTCTGGGCCCACTCTTATTCATCATCTGTCTCAATGATTTTGAAAACTGTCTTGAGCTTTCTAAAGTGGGAATGTACGCAGATGAAACTCATGTGACATTAACGTCTGGTAGCAAGGAAGAACTCCTTGAAAATTCTCGGGAGGAAATGACGAATATTTCGGAGTGGATGAGAATTAGAGAGTAATGGGTGCAACGCCCTTCTCTCGGCCTCCCTCTCCCTTTCCTCTCCCATGCCTCCAGCGGTGCCACTTATCGTTTTGCTTTTTTCCTATACCTGAAAAATCAGCACAATCGTGATGGTGATGAGGATGATATCATGATATTAGCTATTTATACACGTTCCAATCCATCAACTCTAATTTTTGTAAACAGTTGATAGTAAATACATCAGATGAATAGGAAATAGTGCAAATTTTTATCTTGTCATTACATTTTACCGGGACCTGCTCTAGTATGATCTATGGCGCTGGATTCCTCTGTAGCCTTCCGGGTCACTAGATTTCAGCATCTCGTCATTTCTGCATCTCCAACAGACAGTGACGTGCTGGCAGAGGACGCCAAAATGAATATCAGGGACGCCAAAATGAATATTCACATTAAAGGGGCACTGAAGGCGCCCTAGCCAAATAGCTGGCAAACGAGGACAATTTTCATAAAAGAACCAAGCAATGCTAAAGACGGACACTGTATACAATCCACAATAAATCGTTTTGAAGAGAACAAGAATCACCTCTTCTTTCTTACAAACTTTGATTCGCTTAACAACGATCGTCAATTACCATCTCAAGATCCCACCCTAAATATAAATGATTTTTGCACAAAATAGAAACCAGGGACGTACCGAGGAAGGGGTGCAGGGTGTTTTTGAGGAACCCGCCGATAATTTTGGGCTTGGTGAGGAAATGTTTGGATTAGGCACCATTTCATAAAACTATTGGGAGAGTGCAAGGAGTTTTGATTTACTGAAATGCTAGGAAGGAAAAGCCGAGAGATTATGTCCTTATCTGGAGATAAGCTGAAATTTGATTAATTACCGTCAAATGATTAAAACCATTGGTTGATTAAAACCACCAAATAGCTTTCAGTCTGTCGATATTAATTTCAAAGAAAGCTTGTGTTATTGAAAATTGTATCAAAAAGTCAATTTTCCAGCAAACTAGAAGCATCAAAATAGAGTACCGAAGTGATGACGTCATAAAAATATATTTTTAGAATTTCTAAATTTTGATCCCGGAACCTGAATGAGCATCATAAAATACCTCTAAATATGCAAAGTCAGTTAAAAGCATTACGAATTGGCTGAGATATGGCCACTTGAGCACAGGCTCTTGCCCCATTAAATCTCTGTAATTTGGTCTTGGTTCATAACTTTATGAACCAGGCCAGAATAACAGTAATCCGTTAGCAAACTCAAAATCTTTCATTTGCCATATCTCACCCAATTTGGAACATATCTAACTAATTTTTTATATTGAGAGGTATTTTATGCCATTCTTTAAGATTATGTGGCAAAATTTAAGAAATTCTCAAAATAGATTTTTGATGACGTCACACTTCCGTACTCTATTTGAAAGTTTTTTCCTTCGGCGACAACCATGGTGCCGCCTCGGACAGTATAGTTATAACCTTGGCTTCTTCCGACATATACATTTAAAGGGTTGAAAGTTCTGATATTATGATGTAATAGATTTTGTAAATCGAAACAAAGTATTGCGGCGGGATGGTGTCAGCAGCTAAAGAAATTTCAGTTAATTTTTTTCAATCAGGCAAATTTGTAGTAAACTCAAACAAGGCCTGCCTGGCATCGGTCTTTGGGCCATCTTTTGAAGAAAGCTTATGGGTATTGTCCAGGATCTTCCATGAGGCTAGATCGATGTTGTAAATATTTGGATGCATTTTCCGACCATCTCTAGAAGGTCTTCTTTGCAATTTTTTGCCGCCAACCATGGTCACGGCCTTCACTAAACTCCTGAACGATCTTACCGCCCCCTCCCTACCCCCGACCTCCCTCAATAGGTATACAGTCGCTACAACGATACTACAGATACTACTACTACAGATAGTAAAATACATATCTGCGTGCTTCTGAGCTCTTGTACTTTTCTGCAAATTCCTAAAACTTTGAAGGAAAATCTGTAAATAGCTAAATGAGGGGCACCATTTTGACTTTTGCCCCCTTGCGATCTCATGTCACAGTAAATGTATGTCACAATAATTAGGGTAAATAATTCATTATATAAAAAACAGGATAGTGTCATTTCGCAAGAAAATTTATCAGCTGAAAGTATTTGGGGCTAAAAAACTTTTAAGCTTCTTTATTTAGCTACAAAGAAGACTTAGCTTATTGCAATAGAAATATGAAGTTGTATCATAATTAAAAAAAAATGGAAATACCATATATACATGAACAGATTGCTTGAGACACCTCCAAATTCCCTTTGATAATTCTTCGAAGTTTGACGACTTTCAGAATTATGCCAATGAAAAGTTTAAAAGATCTCTCGTGGCGCTTTGTGGGTCATTTAGTCCAATGGAGAAATCGAAAGCAAAAACAAAACCTATGAACCTACGGTCATGATTGAATTATAACGAGGGGTATTATCAACTTCAAAGTAATTTTCGGAAGAGCTTTGTTTAAATTAACAGTCAGTCTTGTGTGTATGTGAAATGTTGCGTGTAGTAGCGTCAGAATTAACCTCGAAAACAATGCACGTTGCTTCTTTCGATCGTTAGTTACTGAACTGGAAAACAGGAAACTGTCTGGTTTTGGCTGTTTGAGATTCCAGGAACAAGAAAACGAGTCATTTTCGAATTTTACACCAACGAAAGGAGTCCTTGGCTTTGGATTGTAATCCTGTTTGTGTTGTTTCAACGGATTGTTAATTTCCTCGCATCAAAACGTGTCCTGTGGCAAGCGAAGTGCCAATGGATTAGAATCTGGTATTTGATGCCTTTGGATTAACCAAGTTTGATAAAGATATACGAAAGATGCAATATTTTCATCGCAATAATGGGATTTAATAGCTCGTTACTTGGATTTTTTATATTCTTGTACGCTGTGATATTTGCTTTGGGGATTGTTCTAAACATTTCGATCTTAACTGTTGTGTTGTCGTCAAGGCTGAATCGAAGTAAGATTTCGAACCTCTACTTAATCCAGTTTCTAATCATTGATGTGATCTCGTGTATCATCAATTCATCGTACCATCTGACCACTTTACTTGTACATTTGCCCCCACCGGATTCCCGCACAAGAGCTGCATACGCGAATGCGTGTAGGGTTACTATATTCCTCGTTTACGCGCTCAGTGTTGCCAAGATCCTGTCACTCACGTTGTTGTCGTTTGAGCGATTTATCGCAGTCCACTATCCTCTTCATTATTCCAAATATGCAAACAGAAAACTGTTGCTCTTTTTGACAGTTTACATTGTGTTGCAGGCAGTTTGCACACTGTTACCATCAACTTTAAAGCCAGGTTGGATCGTTTATTTTGGGGAGGTGGGCGGCGCTTGTGGAATAAACTGGGGGGCAACCGTGGCCTATTATGCCATACCAGTCATACTATTAGATTTTGTTATACCGGCGGTAGTTCTGGTTGTTACCAACGTAAGTGTATTTGTTATTGCCAGAAGACAACGAATAAGGGACTCAGAATTACGTGGTCGATCGCAGCCAGATACACCCCGCAAGACGGAGTTGGCAAAAACTTTGATAAAGACTGTTTGCTTAATGGAAACCGGTAACGGCCAGCAATTCCAAAGCAAAACTGGAAGTGAAAGACCTCGATCCGTGCTCAGTAATGAAAGGGTCTTTACAATCATTGATGACGTCACTCCCAACCATAACAAGCTGTTTGATATTCAAGAAGTTTCTAATGATTTTGCCCATGCTGCGGACAACTATGGAAGTGAGACCGCTAATAATTCGAACTTTTCGAGTCGCTCCTCCATTTTATGTAACCACGTCAATGCAAATGCATCAGAGCATTGCCAACAGGAAAGTTGTATGTCCCAATCACGAAACAACAACCAGAAAGGGTTTTGTCGGCACCGAGAAAAACAAGAGGTTCCTCAGAATGATAATAAAATGGTAGAAAATCCTATTTCTTTGCAGGATTTAGCTGCATTGCCTGACAAATTGCAGGGGTATCAAGTTGGGAAGATTGATAAAGAGGAGCAGTTTAATGAATTAAATCAAAGCCCTAATTTGTATCAAATGTCTTCCAATGAGATAAGATTGGAGACCAATTCAGAGCCTGATGAAGAGTATTCCGATACATTACAGAACGGCAATGTTGATGACGTTATAGGCAATAGTAAATTGGAAGCACTGGCAGAAGGGAAAAGTATAAATGATCTTCATGATCGTGGTTTAGGCGTAGATAGTGAATTATGTGCAGTGTGTGGAAACCAAGAAATTGATGAGGAATCAGAGAATGTTAAAGGGTGTCAGCCGAGATCGTTTCGTAATGCATCATGTTTAGGGGCATTTTCTCACGATCAAGCACCCAATGGGGTGGTAGCTAGTACTTTGAAGAATACTGGGACGTCTCCTTCTGGAGAAATAGGTTCTGCAGATATCATAGGTGTTGATAGTGCCAGATACACGTGTCGGTGCTCGACTCTCGGCTTCAGTGATGGTTTTGGTTTTGCCGACAACGACGAATTCAGTCATCTTACTCGCCAGAAAAGGTTAAGATTACTGTCACTGCCTAATTTGGCCGCCAGTGCTTTAGAAACAGAAGAAGCAAAATGGAATATCGTACATTCGACCTTGCTGGTTGTCCTTTGCCATTTCATTACGTATTTGCCTTTTATTGTTTCCCGTCTTGTAGAAACATTCACTGTTCAACGAATTTTGTCAAGCGAGGCATCTGCTGCAACAGCAGCAGTAAACAACATAGATGTTGTCATTATACCGTTGATAGTTCTATGGACGCGTGCAAATTTCCGTAAAGAGCTCAAAACAAAACTCAACACGTGCATCTCGTTCTTGAAACCCAATCGAGGCTAATATAAAATGGGGATGTTATAAAACTCTTTTTTTCATCAAAAGTAACTTTTGTGGAATATCGATTGATCTCAGAAGTAACGAATTGATTATGATAATTTATGCAGATAAACGTATAATTACGCAAATAACAGGTAGACATGTTAACTATACAAAGAATTTGCCAGACGGTCAAATGTAGAATGAAACGGACTTTGTGATGCTGTAAATTGTTCGTCGGTAATCCAATATCAAGAAAATGATGCCCTTGAATGATGCTACAATTGCTTCTTGAATTTCTCTAAAAATCTTGTTTTTAAATAGCCAATACATCAATTTCTCTGAGCTGGTGCAGAAGTTATACCATTTGGTGTACGGGTATTTTCATGTACCTTATCATAACACTTGCAACTGCTGTTTGCCCCATGCGTACTGTGTTATGCATTCACTCTCATTTTCGCCATTATAAATCAACATAATCCTGGAATGATCATGAGACCGGAGATTTTCGAACCCCTTTGATAAGTCTAAAACAGTATGCAGCAACAGTCATATCTATTACAAAAGTCAGTAATGTAGTGGTAATCATAATACCCAAATTGCAATAGCAACATATATAGAGTAATTTCTGGAAGCCCACCCAAAGGTGTTTTATAGTCTGCAAGCCTATGGTGATTTTATTCAAAAGATTTTGATAACATTTGATAGCTGTCATGAAACATTAATGTTCAAGTTCGAAGTTTGATGTACAGTTTATCGCCAATAGATCAGGATTGACTATAGAAGCAGGTTTTTGAAATATTGACAAAGTTGATAAACCTCTGTAATAAGGTTGCGAAACCTCTGTAAGATGGCCTAATTTGTTGGATGCATTCAGCTGCGAGAAAATTGCAGAATGTGATTGTTTGTAAATAGCAGAAATATTAGGTTAATGATTTTCCGATATTTTTATGCCTTACAACACTGCCGATTTTTATGCCAAAACTGTCTCCACAAAAGCGTCGGTTAATTTTACAATATAAAGTATATCAAGTTACCTGTCCAGGTTCTTTTGGCCGGATCAAATAGCCACACATACTCTAAATAGGAATATCTTCTTGATATATTTTTACGATTTTACAATTTCTGTAGTCTTAAATTATGTTAGAACATAATGGAAGAATCCCTCAGGGCAATTGATTGTTGGTGAAATCAGAAGGGCGCTCTAGCAGTCGTTGACAATAAAAGGCACAGTGTCCCGTCACATTTTGATAGCCATTCAAATTTCCAATTGATTGAACTTTTCATATTCCCCCAATTTTCCAAAGGTGTCTGCAACCTCGAAATCATGATTCCAAAGAATATATCTATCGTTGGCCGGAGGCTGTGTGATATTATGATACAGCTGATCACACAAACTGGAATATAATATAAATTTCGCTTTATCCGAAGTTTATAATATGAAGAGGGTCTGACGAACAATGTTCTGATATGTTCAAGAAAGCTCTTTGTGAGATCTCCACTTTTTTTCACTGTTCCTCTTATCCACTTGCAACTTCTGCTACTCTGAGATTGACCACGCAAGTAAATGCATTATATTTTGTCCTCAATATAAGTTATCAAACAATCTCCCGCTGAGGTTTTTTAAGGATATCGTCCATTTTGGTAACTTTCTAGATGTGCCATTAATATGATTTGATAAAGATTTAGCAAATATGTTTTCATTTTCTATTTGTGAATTTTAGGATCCACAGTCAGTGTACACCGTATTTCGACCTGCTGTGCAATCTTCTTCGAAATTTACCAAGTGAGCTCTTATGTTTCAAAAACTTTGCATCTTCGAAATTTTACACATCTGAAGAAAAAGGAATAGAGTCAAATGACCATTGGGTAGTTTTTACATGAAGTAGCTATAGAGCAAGAGTACTGAGTTGAATGGCTATCGAATGACTCTTTTTATCTTTCTTTCCCAGAATTGAAGCTTCATCAATTTTTCGATGTGATTATTGCTTCGCTTTTCAGTCGTTTTATTGAGCAAAACGTTTTATTGATAGATATAAGGTCCTTGTTCAATATCAAGATATGATTTCATTAGCATTTTGATTTAAGCCAAATTTTTATCGACGTAGCTTGAAGAATACTTAAGCTGTGTTGCTTGTGTTGCTTTCGAATCTAAAAACTGTGCAAATATTCGTGAGGAAATTATTGCATAAAAGATGCGATTTCCTTTATGTCTTCCCGGTTCCTGAACTTACAAACAATCTTTTGATGGTACAAAACTTGAAAATGGCTTTCGATCTTTGTTTTGACGTTTTAAACTCTGAAGAGTGTTAGAGGAAAAGCTTGAGTTTGTTCAAATGTTTGCTTCTTTCAAAGCCAGTTCCTAAACTTCTTGAACTTTGTGCTGATGTCTGTCTGTTCCAAGATGCAATGTTTACACTAACATAAAATCCAACGACTTATTCTACGTTACAGCAAGTAATTGCATAAATTCTTTATACTAGAGAGCGATCAAGAAAATTTAAAAGTCAAGCCTTCGAAGTTATTAGAAGATGAGATTGGATGGTTGTCGTCATCTGGCGCCGGTAGTTTTTTATTTCGTTATTATGAATTAGTATCAGAATCATTATTATTTCATGTTTTTAGCATAAAGTTCCACTGACAAAAAGAAGGTTCTTGACAATTATTATGTTTGCGATTCCCTGTGTCTGACACTCTTAAACGGAGTAACAGGGTTGGAGTGCTACGCCAGTGGTTGAGGGCTTTTTTCATTTTATGAAACGATAAACGCTTGATCATCATATCCAGATTTGCCCAGTATCTTCTATGTGTTTTCAGCATGCTTGAGTAACATCTCGAGACATTCAATAAACCTTATTAGAAAGAAAGTTAATTCAAACATTCATTGTATTGGCTGTAGTGTTTCCATGAAGATCTCGCCTCTATAAAAATTCAGCCAATCTGAAGCTTTGAAGTTCCGATTGTATTATAATTATGCACATTTTAATCTTTATTCAGATGATGTACTTTTATCATCAACTCTCCAGAAAAATAGGACTTTGACTTAAAATGAGATGGTGTTAAATCACAGTAGCATAGGAAGGATCGTATTCATTGTTTGACAACAAAAGAGACAAAAGGGACTGTTGATTAGAAACAAAGTATTTTTGGAATTTTTGGGGTGGCACGAGCCCCCCTCCCCATATCCCCCCCCCCTCCAAAGTAGTTACGGTCTTGTTAACCATTGGATATAAGTCGTTTGAAGACGGAAAGGGGATATTGTTAAGACAAAGATGTTAGAACCTTCAAATAATCTATTTAACATAGAACGATAGGCTCTATTATTTAAGTAGCAGAGATGTCATTTTTGTTCAAGAAATTGTTATACCATTCCAGCCCTTCATATCTCTTTAAATTCTATTTTGATTTCTTTTAAATAATCTGTAGATCCGGCCTTACTCCTTGGCCATTTGAAGCTGATAAAAACGTTGTTTACCTGCGAAGGTGTTGACAAGCGTGCACTTGGTATGTTTAGGTTTTTTATTTTGTTCATCGATCACCTTTAATTTCAATGCTTCGTTAACTTTGTTTAATTTGCTTAATATTTTCCAAAAAGAATTCTTGTGTAATTGATAAAATTATAAATAAACTTTATGAATTTTGATTTGCATAAGAAATCTTTATATTTTCAGAACACAATGCAAGAAGAAGGGGATTATTATTTCCTCACATTAAAAGCAGATCGCACTGTCTTTTTTATACCAGCGCCAATTCTTTCTGTTGTCTTTATCCTTCTGTCAAAATTTATGAAGCCCTTTTAGAAAGCTCGTTCGCATTTTCCGAAGCGATTTCAAAATATATTTTAGAAGACCTTTACCAATATCTTGCTTGAGATATGCTCAAGATCATCTGAATTTGTCTTTAACGATTTATAATTAACTTCATGTATATTTTCATACAAAAGTTTATGTGCTTGATAGATTTAAGTTTATTGTGAGTTTATATAACACTTGATTGCCAAAATAATTGGTTTTTCTATAGGATGGTGAAAAGGACGAACAGTTGCAGCTTTAATACCTCAAATATGCCTTTCTTGCATTCCTAAGGTTTAGGTTTTGGGAATTTTTGTTTGCCTTTCGTTGCCATAATCGAACAAAGATACTCCTTGTGACATGGCTTGGTGATATTGTCATTACAGTTTGCACAGAATCTTCATTCATTAAGTATTTTCATTGCAGGGAAAGAGTACATAAAAACTTTACTAGACGACTTTCTGTTCGCTGCGTCAAAGTTTGTCCAGAGAAATCAAACGATTGCCAATGAAGTTTTACTAGAATCAAGTGCAAGGTGAGTTGCAATGCTTTGAACCCTATTCGCCGTGTTTCAACCCATTTTAGGAACCATAACACCATGTCTCCAGAGGATCCCGTTTTTTAAGAAAAAAGAGCCTCGGATGAACAGGAAGCTGTTGTCATCGCAGGATATACTTTCAAAAATTTGCTTCTTCTGTTATTGATAAAAGTTTCTATTTTACCAGTAGCAACGCGTCCGTAAATGTCTTAAAAATTGAAAGTACGGGAATCATGTTCTATAGATTGCGAGATTTACAACACAGATGAATGTCCTATCTTTTCTGAAACTTTCTTTCATCTAATTTTGTTTTATGATTAACATTTTGTGGTGTTTTAATTCTGTTCTACGAAAGTCTACACCAGGGCTGCAAAAATTTTATGTTGGCTGAAAGCATTTTATGCACTAGCTCTACAAAAAGTACACACAAATTTCCCGCAAGGGCTTATAATTTTTTGAGTCTAGAAAAGGCTTCAGATAAAATTTCGTATTTTGGTTGTTAATTGCATATTTTTGTCTTTGGCAAAAGTTGACTGTGCACAAAAAGTAAAAGTGATTTGGGAACCAAATGACAATATGTTTATTGACTGGCGGAAAACTTTAACATAGATGGTGCTCTCCACAATTAACTAGGGTTTGGGAAAGGTAATAGATGCCAGCTTTTGGGAAGATGAATCTGGTTTATTCTTATCAGCCAGCTATTTTTAACTTTTTATTTCATATGATCGGTAAACATGTCAACATGAAATTTTACAGTTATAAATGGAAACATCTTAATATCCATGTGAAAGAACATGAGGATGTATTTCAATATTTTTAAAGTCTGTCAAGACCTCAATAAGACTCAATTCAAGCACTGTATTGCTAGCAGGAAGAAAACTTTGAATGCATGTAATTTTCTTAGCTTTGATCTTTAAAGATCGAAGAGCAAAACCTGATATCAGGCAACTAAAAGAGTAGTTTTCAAAACACGTTAAATGTCTGCTTCAGGTCTGCAGCTTTATCTGTTAAAAAGGTCCTGGACAAGAAAACTGAAGGTTGCTCCCAAGTTAAAAAAATTTTATGATAATTGACAAATCAGTACAAGTTTTTGTAGCGGTTTCAAAAATCTAAACTTCCTTTTTTGATGCATTCTACAACCCGAGGACATTAAGCTTACATTTGTATGACTTTCGGTCTGTTGTGAAAAATTCAAGAAAAATTTGTTGTTGTTGCAAAAAAGTTGTTTTTTGTCAAGTTTTGGTGAAACTTTTCTGCCAAACCAAACAATTTTCTGGGAATCTAGATCCCGGGTTCCGATACTTTTTGCAGCCCTTGTCTATGCTAATTGTTTCCTTCTGGTGTCAAATCTTGATCCAGAAGTTGTCAACATTTCGTATCAACTACTTAGGGTTTTGCCTGAGAAAAAGCCAGATGCCCTGTTGGCAACATAATTCAAATCAAAGCGACTATTACATAACAGACTAATATCACAAAGTACCCGCGTATTATTCTTGTTTTAGTTGCACTTCAAAGGAGTGTCGCATAGCTGCCTTTGAAATATTTGTGACGTTGGCCGAAGGCTGTGCTGAAAATCTCTGTGACATTGTGACGCAGCTGATCTCGAAACATCACAGTCAGCTGAGTACTTCAAAGGAATGGGAGGTGAGATGTCAAGTTATCTGTCACCAATTTCCCTTTTCATTATATCGATCAGCCTCTGATTTGGCAGGGCCGTCAGGGGTAGCCACCTAGCCCAAACGGTGCACTCAAACTATCCTTCTTATAGAATTACGTTAACCTTACTTCTAGATAAGAAGAAGTATAAACTGATTTGATTAGAATCTGGAGCATGATCGTTAAAAATAACCTTTAAATATAAGTGGAAAAATGTATTCAACGAGTGGATTAAGAAGAAAGCAGCTGATAATGTATTAATAATTTTGCACAGTATTTGTTATATTTAGGGCCGACGGTTTTGTTACTAATTATGATAATATATGTATGATTTAAGGAAAAGTGTGGGTGCCTCCTGCAACCCTTTTTCTGTTTCTATTTTTTGCTTTTTCAAGATGAATTGATTTCTTTTGTACTCCAGTTTCAGCCACCAGTTGCTGCGAGGCCCTCTCGAGGATTTGTAGGCCTACAGAATGGTGGAGCCACGTGTTACATGAACAGTGTTATACAGCAATTGTACATGCAACCTGGCATTCAAGAAGTATGCATATACGATTTGTCTGTTTACCCTCAACTGTTTAACAATGGATGCCTAGGGAAACTTCATAAGCAATTAGTCAATATGGGAAATAGAAAGTTTCTTAATTGCCCTGTAAAATAGAAAGCATTGTGTATAATGCTTAATCAATTTTTGTCGGACGCCAATCGGACTATCAAACTTAGATTGATAACAATATCTTTTGGTAACTATCATACGTTTAGAACCCCTAGAAGTGTCGGACATGTTTCAAAGCTCTGCAGATCTGAAAGCCAAGGCAAGCAGTGGGTCGTTAGTCGTTACCCAGACTGTCATTGACACTGTCAACCATAACCATAACTTCCCCCCCAACCCCCCCCCTCCCAGGGTATCACAGTCAAGGAGAAATATCTGACGAGAAAATGCCTTTCAAAACTTCAGGTTTTTTATGTTTTTCCGAGCCATCTTCGATTATCGTTTTAATATTAGGTTACTGAAAAAGGTATGATATTTTATGTTTATGTTTATGTTTATATTTAAGTCTTTTTTTCTAACAAGTCTCGAAACGGAATTGTTTCTTAAGGTTTTATTAGAGCACTTGATGTACAGGAAAACTCTTAATGTAGATCCTAATATTTACCAGTGCGTCTGGTCGATACATTGAGCTTATGTAGCTATAAGTTGATTTTCGCTTTACTCAAAGCCAAGTTGATGTTCCTACTCACCCAACTTATGCCAGGTTTTATGTCATAAAATTGTTTATAATTGTTTCTAGGCATTGTTAAAAGTTGATGAGTCGACCAGCAACGATACAAATGGGTAAGGCTGTATGTTGCATTGGCCTTTTGAACAACTTGGCTTTATTAAGCATTGGGAGCTAACTAAATAGAAAGTTCTGCCTGTCGGAATAAGCTTTAAGGTTGCAATGTCATCAGGCAGTATTCAGCGCCTGGGAGAAGCCTTTTTGAATTTTGCAACAATGGATTGAACGATTGAAGATAGGTATAGCGCTTGCTGGTTTAATATCAAAGAGAACCAAATGTTTTTAAATGTATATGATAGTATGTTAACAAGTGCGTGGTATAGTAAATGCATAGGGTTTTGAACATAGAGACGTATCTGGATTATTAAGAGTTAACGAACCAACAATCCTGGAATAAATTGTTGAGACTTTCCTAGAAAAGTTTATGACTCTTCCCTTTGAAAATTGCTTCTTCATGACAGGAGCCATTTCCTAAAGAAATCTTGATTTTATGCCTTTTGCTAGGGTGTTCTACCAAATGCAGACAATCTTTGGACATCTCCTCGAAGGCAAGATGCAATATTACCGACCAGAGACCTTTTGGAAATGCTTTAAACTCTGGGGGCAGCATGTTAATGTTCGTGAACAGCAGGTATGGCCGTATGCCTCATGCAATGACATCTTGCTTCTTTTCTTATTTTGAAACCCTTGTGTTTGCATCCAAAATTTCGTACAGTTAAATTCTGATTTTGAAGGTTATTCGTGGTTATTCGATTTATCATAAGCGGCCCAAACTTAAATTATTATGAGGAAAAATCAGAAATAAGAAAGGGGAAACTCGGACCGTCAGATACTCAAATTATGAAGTTCAGCCGTATATATAAATTACCTTGGCTATTATATATTCAAACTCCTGATGCTTTTTAAACAAATTAAGATCTACCTTTTGTTCATTTGCCGGAAACAGATCTAGCATTCAACAGTCTTTCCTGATATTCAATACAATGTTTGAATCATTGATATGATAACTGTCGCTCTTTTATTTCATTTTATCGTCAAAGATTTTTGTGTGAAAACAACAGCTGTAGGAACCTTTGTCTAAATTTGAGTTTTTCTACTAAACATTGCATTCTATAATAAAATCTTTTCCTTTCTTCTGTTTTGCTATGAAACATTTGTTTTACTGATTGAGTTTAAATTAATCAGCTTCTTTGTTGCCAATACAGATCTGAGTTAACAGATCATCCCGAAGTGAATGCAATATTGCATACATGAGAACGCACAAACATTATTTCTTACTATTTGAAGTTGCTGCATTGAAATTACTACTGACAAACACGACACCCACAGTGCACCAAATCCTTTGAAATTGCTAACCCGTGTATATTGTATGTAATGAACTGATTGGCTTGGCTGTTATCACCGTTCTCATTGCAAGATAGCCAAGCCGGTTGCTGAGCGCTGTCAAGCGAGAAAATCCTAGGCGATCAAAAACAAAGATGGTACCAAACTTTTTTCGAAATTTTTTCGAGTCAATAACTTTAGTATCGTAATGTTTTTGAGTTTCTTTCTAGGATGCGTTTGAATTTTTCACCTGCATCACTGACCAACTCGATGAGCAGCTAAAGGTGTGTTGTTAGACCATATGTCTTGTAAGGCCGGTTTTCTGTTACTCCTGTAGCAGTTCAGGACATACAGATAAACACAAATCTTGAGCAACGCATGTAAAAGCTTTACGTTGGTTCCATTGAAATTTTAATTGAAGTGAACCTTAATGAGGTGAGAGACGGAGTTTACAGCAAGAATGAATCCAATAGCCAAAAATGGAAGTCTAATTGTTTCATTTGGCGAGTCAGTTGACTGGAAGTGGGGGGGGGTTTGTTCATGATAACGCCGAAGTATGTAACATGATAATGTTTCGGGATTTGTGCAAGGGGTTTTCACCAAATTGAAAGAATATATTTAGAAAGTCCGAGAGCCAGTCAATACCGAGCCGCTTTACTAAGGTGATGTCATCGCAAAAGGTTTTTTATCCTTCTTTTATTTAATAGCCCGTTTAGACGAGGTCTAGGAAAGCAAAGGCTAGATCTCTTCTTAGCGAAATCATATAAACACGTGCTTGTGGTTTGGTCCGTTTCAGCTTTGTATGTTAACAATGTTGATCTGACAAGTAACATGTTTTGAACAAACATAGTAAGTCCGACTACCCGGGCCAGTCTGCCTCATATGAAATGGCCCTTAGAATGTGTTACTGCAAAGACATATGTTTAAAGACTTCTCCACAGTGTTTCTTGCAGCTAGAGCTATTCCGATTCGCCTACTTCAAATATGGTTTATACGAAAATGAAGTCTCCTTTAGGCTTGAATAAAGTATGACCGTCAAGTTTGGTCCTTCCTTCGGTTCTGCCCAATTCTTTGTCCAATTGCAATCTGAATTATTATCAACTGATTTCTTTCGTAGAAATTCGGTCATGAAGAAATTTTCAAGAAGACTTTCTGTGGGATGTTTTCCGATCAAAAAATTTGCAAAGAATGCCCTCATCGGTTGGTGCCTCAGCTATTTGATTTTAACTTCTCATATATATACAAATCCGCTCCGCTCTTTCAGTCTCTCCACTAACTGCTGAAAAATTTGCCATTTATCAGAATATGGAAGAGCGCTGTTTCAAAAGTGTCACATTTTGTATTGTTTGGAGTTAATTTGCTCTTCTCGGCTTTTCTAGCAACCTTTATACCTTCAAATTGTGACATTTTGTCTCTACTGGTTAGAGGTGTTTTTTAAGAATCAGCTTTTTGTGGTGACGGACCTCCTTTTGTCAATTTTTATTTGATCATAGTAACCAAAACCTTTATAGATCTAGATGATAGTCTTGTTTGATAGGCACTGCAATTTTTTTAGCAAACCACCTGTCTCAAATCTCTTGTATACAACCCATTCTTCCATTTATACAAAATACTTTTAAATTCTCCTTTATCCAATACCATTACCAATTGATGTTGGTTGACTAATAATAGTATGTTATATTCCTTGCTGATTTCTTTATTATTAATCCAACATTGATTTAAGTCTAATTGTATGCTATTGGTTAGATTGGTATGATTTTACCAAGTTTGTCAAGAACTTCATAGTTCTTCTCAAGTTTGTCAAGTTTCTGCAGTTAGCTTCGCAAAATATTATTCTTGGTCACGACCCGCGCATTATTCCACAGGTACGAACGTGAGCAGGAGTTCCACTCTATTCCCGTTACTGTCAAGTGTCGTACTCTCGAGTCGTCCCTGGAACAGTACATGACTGACGAGATAATGGAGGGTGACAATGCCTATTACTGTGAAAAATGTCGAGAAAACGTAAGTATTTTTAGCCAATATGGTTGTTCCTTTTGATAAGTAAGTTGTAGCATTTTTGGATTCAGGTCGAATTTCCGTCCTTGTGAGCTCGTGATTTGTATAATCGAAAATACCCCCATCTAGGGTTTTCAAATGGCGAAAATACCCCATCTAGGATTGCCTTTCCTTTAAACGTCTGTAGGCAGACTAAATAACTATAATCAACTGACTGACTTATGCAGTCAATGAGAGAAATGATTTAAACGCAGGTCAGTGCTTTTGCTACCCCAGCAATTGTTGTTCCTAATATCACCCATGTGCATTCTTCATTGATGTGCTTGCTACGAATGTATGATGTTTTTTACATGGCTGTGTTCCTTTTCTCTATTTCAATAGCTAGTTTTCAGGGTGGAATGCATTTGAAATGCGAGGAATGAGCTATTCGAATGAATTCACAAGTTAATGAAAACACATAATTCTACATACACTATGCAACTTAACTACGCCCTTGCTGTATCTCGCTAAGCTTGTGAAACCTTCTGTTTATATTTACAAGGGTGAATCTTTCTGAATTGTCTTGATCATGGCAATAAATACAACGTGTCCTGAAAGAGAACACCCCCCAGTGCTGCTCTTTCTCGCAATGTTTGTCTCACTGTGCCATTTTCCGAGAATGCATTTGACATTCGATCTATAATTCTATTGTAGAGAACAACGATAAAGAGGTTGTGCATAAAATCTTTACCACAAGTCCTTGCAATCCAACTAAAGAGGTTTTGGTATGATTGGGAGGCTGGCAGACCTATCAAATTTGATGATTCGTTTCAGGTAATTCCCGGCAAGAAATGAATGTATATCTGTTTCAATGGGTGAAAAAATCAAGGCCATTTTATGTTTTAGAATAAGTCTTGGAATTAATTATATTATAATAAGGCAAGAGTATTGATAGGAAAGAGTTGAAAGACGATAAACCAAGTCGAAAGGAAATTTCTTCTTAAGATAATAAAGTTTAAATTTATAAAGTTTGTTTGCTTGATATGAAATTTTTGTCAAGTTGGCGATCTGAATGGAGAAAGTCTAATACAAGGCCCACCATAGGCTGCACCTATCTGCTGCAGTACCAATGACAAAATCAACTTTTCGTTCAGATATTAATTACTTTTTATTAATCGTGAAATTTTGTTATTATTTGTACTTACAAGTGTAAATGCTTACCAGGCTACGGAATTCAAGTAATCTGAAGTTTGATGTACAAAGTAAAGTTAAAAAATTTGCAGACTTTATTTTTTATTCATTAAACTTAATGAGTCCTTGCTTTACTCTGCGTTTTTTCTTTTAATGCAGTTCCCATGGATTCTGGATGTGCAGCCATTCACCAGTCAGGGAATGTCTAAGAATGAAACTAAGTCAACCAATGGCTCTGATAACAATTTGTCAGACAGAGACTCGTCGTCAGACCAATGTTTTTACGAATTAGTCGGAATACTCGTTCATATTGGACAGGCCAATGCCGGACACTACTATTCGTTTATTAAGAACAGGTAATGATTCAATTCAAGGCACTAGATTCAATTAAAGATTCAATTAAAAACATGTTTTCTTAAGAAAGAGGAATGTAACAGCCAAACAAAGGAGAAGATGGTCGCGTAAGTAGTATGAAATTCCTGTAATGTTTTCAAAGAAGTGGTAAGTAAGTTGTCTTTAAGTACGTAAGTAACAGAATATGTAGGTATCTACTTCATTTTTCCAGTCTTTGAAGGATGTACCGACTGCCTAAAATATTGATCATTCATAAAGGGTTGCCTCATTAATCCTTCTTAAGATGAATAAGGATCACTTTCTGCTCGCCGCTTGCTGTGATTGTTATTTCTTATTGTTCATGTTGTTCGTCTGCAGCAAATGAGACTTTAAGCAAGTGCTCTAATGTCTCGTCATAGCTTGCTGTCTTCGACAAATCCTTTAATATGGCCTAATTTTATTGGCACTAGTATACATTCATAAATTGATACTTGCTTTTAAGAATTTTCTCTTCAAATAAATCTTATGAGTGTGACTGCCAGCAATGGCTGCGAACAATGAATTTGGCTCGAATGAGATTAAACGTTATTCTCCTTTAATACTAGTTTTCAGCCCAAACCCGATTACTTTTCAATTTGTTAAGCTATAAGCTTGAGTTCCAGACCCCAGACGAAAGGTATCTGGAGTGGATAAGGCTCACACCATTAGGCTATTAGATAACTTGCTTGTGAAAGTCCTTTGTAGGGCTTTTACATTTTGAAGTCAAACCATAAAAGGTGGATAATGTGCCTTATTTTATTGCTAATTACAGTATATCCTGAATGCGTTTAGGATCTTGTTTGGACTTTCAGTGAATAGAGTGCGTGCGAAGGTAACTTCAAAGTAGGAGCACAGGGCTCTGATATGCGAAAAAAACAATGGCAAAATTGACAACAGCAATAAATTTTTAAAAATCAAAACATTTCCTGGGTCCTTCTACAGTGGTGTTTATCCAATGATAAAATCCTCTTCAGAGGTAGTTACACTGCTCTTTGAATTTTTTTTTTTTTCAGGACGAACACTGGGCATGCTAAGCGATGGTACAAATTCAATGACACAACAGTCGAAGAATTTGAAATGACCGATGCCAACTTAGAGAACGAATGTTTTGGAGGCTCGTACAAAGTATCGAGGCAGGATAAAAGTAAGATGTTTTCAATAAAGATAGTTTATGTCGTCTCATCAGCATTTTTACACTTGGATTAGTCCCTTTGTAACAGAGCTTTCTCTGAATGAATAGCACTGGGTTTTGTTCGAAGCGATTTGATAATTAATTTATTGATATATTTATTTATTTATTCCTTTTTTTATTCATTTATTTATATATTTATTTATTTGTTTATTTATTTATATATTTATTTATTTACTTACTTACTTACTTGTTTATTTATATATATATATATATTTGTTTATCTATTTATTTGTTTATTTATTTGAAAGATTTAACAATTTTTAATACATGTGTTAAGCCTCTATTTAAATGCAATCGCATCGATTTCGCAATCGCATATATATATAAAATCTACAATTTATCTAGCAATTTTGATAAAATTTCTCTTTAACCATAATACTTCTTCTAGCTGAAATTTGTAAAAATTGCTGTCTAAAATTATGGTATGTCTGTGATGATTTTTCAGACGTTTTAGGGTGAAACGTAAGCTTCCTTACTTTTGTTTTACTAGATAGTCAATATCCAGAAAATCGAATTCGCAATTGGAATGCGTACATGTTGTTCTATGAAGCAATCGATAAAACCTTTGTAAGCAATTTGCCAAGGACTGGTTCTAGAGAGCTGCTGCGCGAAGAACTCCAAGAGCTACGGAGGTATTTCTTAGAGATACGTCATACGCCTTTGAACTTCATAGAAGGAACGTAGTTCAGCACAGCCGATGCTAACATTCTAAACAATCAATCCAGAACTTATTTTGATTTTCTCAGAGAAGTTGCATTCAATGTCAACTTGTTGTTGTAACCATTTCAATGTATTAGGCTTTGAACTGATTTCCTGCAGATCTTGGTAATGCTTCTTAAAAAACGGGTGAAGAAGGCAATGCAGGTCGAAATAGGCAATACTTTGCAATCTCCTCAGCTACCCATTCCAGGCCACAGAAAAGAAACAACACATGGCAATGAACAATTTTGTCACGGTTTTTAATGTAATTTTCTTGTACCCTTGGTGGGTCTTTTTGTCACAAATCCTTTACAAACCTTTCCAGATGAGAAACTAATCTCCCAAAAGTCGGACAAACCTCAAGAACACACAGCAAAGATCAAGGCGCGATGATTTAATTCTTTTAAGATTTTCACTACGTCCTTCCACATTGCGTCATCTAGCGATAAATCATAACAGAATGATTTTGCTAAATCTAAATGAGATCACATTTGTTACCATCAATTTTGTGGTTATTTTTACAGGGATAATTCCGTTTCAGGTCTGTACCATCTTCTCCTACATCTTCCACCAGCTCTGGACCCCCGTCTCCAGGCAGGACAGACAGCTTAAGTCAGCTCTCAGCACTTATCAGGCGTGGTGAAAAACGGGGGATATTCAATGATAAGATTCCTCCCAGTATAAGAAGACTTGTAAGTAACGTGCATTCTGAAACGCTCGCTCGACAGCTTCGTCTTAAAAGTTTATTTTCCCGCGCGTTTGATTCTTGTGTTTAATATCAGGCAGCGGTAAATCCATCTTCAGGAGTAGCCTGCGTCGCGCACCCTACCTTCAAGTAGGGTCTGCGCACAATTGACCGAATGCTTGTTATCTTGACCGTAGAATGCATTCTCTAAGCAACGCAGGCTGATTTGGGTGGGGGGGGGGAGGAGGTTACCTGTTGGACAAGGGAATTTTCCTGGCCCTATATCATGATAAACTAGTGTGACAGAAGGAGAGCGTCAGAACAGTTTTTCGAGTCTGGATTCGAACCTACAACCTTCAGCATGGCACCTTATACCATTATTGAGACAAGTCCAAAAACTGTGTGTATGAAAATAATCTCATATAAAGGTCAATGCTAGCGGTCTCCGCGGGAAGTAACATATTTCTAGTTTTGATTAAGAGCCCTCTTGTTCCTGTCATAGGACTACATCCCTGTTTCATGCTATTGTAAAATAATAGGAGTTAAGGAGCAAGGAGCCAACTCTATACCTTTCAGAACAGTTTAGTAGCTTTTTGCATTTCAGCATCGTAACATAATCTCTTTTTATGCCAGGTCTTAGAAGATAATCTGCAATTCATGCAGAATCGAGACGTATACAACGAAGATTACTTCCAATTTGTCTATGATTTGTGTTCGTGTAATTTGGTAAGTTTTATTTCCAATTATTCCATTTAATTCCTTCACTATAAAAGTGCTGTTGAACTGACACAATGAGAAAAGCATTTTTAAAGAACTAAACGGATTCAGATTCTCAAAAATGTGAGGTGTAGGTATACGATGTTGCGAAATTAATTTTCCAAGATTATGATGTTTGTACATTCGTGCATTTGGACGGTTTTTCACGTTGCTAATCTTTTGTCTTTAAATTGCTAGTGTTTAAAACTCTCATTTACCAATGGTGTTTGAATGAAAATGCGATGTTAAACAATAAGAAATAATGACATTGAAAAAAGCAAACATTTTACAACATACTTAAAGCTTTTTCGTCTGACACTCCTCAGAGTATAAGACACCAGAATAAGGTTCCGAGAGAACAAGATGGAAAATAGATACCCAGTTGTGGATTAAAATAAGCCAATCAGAAAAACGCGAGCACATAACCGGTGTAGTTGTCCAATCAGTGCCGCATGCCTAAAGAAAAATTACTTCTGTCTACACAATAGCGGTTTTCTCGTTTTTATGTAGATCGATTCCAAACCTGCAAAGTAAGTCATAAAGATTAACTCTTATTGCTGTTCTTAAGATTTTAGATTTGGTACTTTAAATCTACATTCATTGGTTTTTCAATAGGTGACCTGAAAATTTCAGAAAATTATAATCCTATAAAATATTTTCGATATAGCAATATTTTTAACTATATCTTAAATCTTAAGAAAAGCAACAACAGTTACTTGTATCCTTATTTCTTATCATTTAACATCACATGTTCTTCCTTAATATAACTGGTAAATGAGAGACTTGTGAGCTCTAAAAAGATTAGCAAAGTACAAAAAGTAGGCCTGCACCCATGTGCCACCATTGTAAATTGAACTTTCTATCTTTTATAAGTCTGCTGAGCTTACTTGAGGCAAATCAAGGCTTTTTTTAATTTACCCTGATTTAATTCATTTGCAAGCCTGGTTTTACTTATCCAAACCCTGTTTAATTAGATTACTAATCTGGCTCCCATATAGATGATTATAATTTGATGTCTTAATGATAATCCTACTAAACATATCCTTTGAGCTATTACGTCAAATTTCTTCTTTGATAGTGAATTGTCAAACTGTGTCATCTATTTCATTTGAAATTTTTTTGGAGATATTGTTAATGCTGTCTTATTAAGAAAGGGAGCTTTGATGCCTTTATTTTTAGTTTTGCAAGGCCAGTATTTTTTGTTAGGACAGTTTCTAGTTTGCAAACTAGACTTTGTTGTTTGTTCAAAGACGTATTTTCAAAAAAGATCATGCTGCTCCAGGTTTTGATAATTAGGGTTTGTCGCTTCAATAAATCATGTTTGAGTGCTATTTTCAGTAGTCGGTTCAATTCGATGGAACTTTGTGCAAATTGAATGATCCAGAAATAAGATAAAGGATTTTTAGGCACCAATTGGGTAGTCTCTAAAACAAAAATGTAACCAACGGGCTTGCTATCGTATTTCTGGTCAGACAGTGGTCATATAGGGTATGTCTGCGGGGGAGCATTTCAAAAAGTAAATGAGAACATTAAACCACGGGTAAAAATGACAGGATCCTTCTTTGCTAATCTGTTTTATGTTTGGTGCCAAATGCTTTCTGGCTGGTGTACATAACAAAAAGTGATTCTTACTGAATGCCCTTACTTGTAAAACATGTATTCTAATATGCTATGATGACGTGAATTTTGATTTCCTTTAGAATGTGGTTGGTAGATAGCTTACATAATTTGAATTTGCTATCGTTTCAGGTCTGATATAATCACCATGTCCTCCTTAAGTTTCATATCTACCTTCAATACCAGGTCCACGTTGAGCATAAGATCTGTGTTAGACATTAGGCCTATATTTGAAAAGATTGACTTACGATGTTTGATTAACTTAGGAATGAAATTTTTCCTATATTGTCTCATCTTTTGTTTATTGATTTTTTTAATTAATATTTTGTTTATCGAAATAAACTTTTAGGACGAAATCGGAGATCCAAGCGACCAGGCCAAAAAGAATATCGCCCTTTGCAGTTTCCAGCTGGCGGCACAGTTTCTTTTTAATACATACTTTAGGACGACTAAAACCCTTAGGTAAGAAAAGCCTTATGACCATTGTCTTTGTTATATTCTTGCTAGTGCAATGCAAATGCTAGTGATATACATCTCAACTTGGTATGTGTATTGACATTTTCCTAGATTCACCTACCATCGGGGAAAAACTTCCAGGAACTGCAGCAGTGTTTTTGTAGGTGCGGAGGAGTTTCAATTCTGCAGCTGCCTTAACTATAACGTATATAGATGTGATTTCCTCGACATTGTTATTGAGGTATGTTGCCTCATGGTCTGATGAATCTTTCAAATGAAGAGCTGTTCAATTTCGTCCTCTATGGCCATGAAGAATTTCCAATCGAATAAAATTCGAAAATTCTCCCTGTAACGCTAAAATATATCAAGGCCTGTAAATGTTTTGATTAAATTGGTGATACAAACAACATATTCCGTCTCTCCTCTTTCTAGAAATAGTTTGTTTTTATTTTTTCGTTTATTTTTTATCTTCTAATGGTAGTTAATTTAGTTTGTAAATTGCCACAGGGTTCCCATGCTCCCTGTTGTATCGCCTGGTAAACCTGTGTATGTTTTGAAAAAAATTTATGTGAATATTAAAAGCTGCTTTTAGGGCTGAGGGATTTTACGAAGCACTAATGTGTGGGGATGGCTCAGTGGATAGTGTCACGGGCAACCGACCCAAGGGTTTAAATCCTTGCAATGGCCAAACTTTCACTTAGAGTTTGGTACTGATAGCAAGGGGAGCCGCCAGCTCTTTCTGATTCCAGATGTTGGGATCATGAGGTTTGGTCACATCGAGAGGAAAACCCAGGACACTGCTCAATGAGGATAGCTTCTCAGTGTCCTTGAAACTGCCTTTGGATGCCTTGTAGAAGCAAGTACAAATACAAATTAAAATACAAAAACCAGGAAATCTTTATCCTTTCTTAAATATTGCTGAATATATATTGTTCGATGCTGCAAATTTCACCGGTTTTATGATAATTTTGTCCTCCTAGGATGGATTTTCAAGTTTGGTATCAAGCACTTGACAAATTGCTCAGAATGAGCCCAGAGTCATGTCTCTGGTTGCTAAATTTACTAGCAGGCGATCGTGCCAAAGAATATCTTGGGTAGGGTAATTTAGTTTTATATTTTTGCGATATATTGCCAAAATATTGTACCTGTGAACGAAATATTGTTATATTTATGTATTATTTCTTAAATTGTTATTGATTGTTACATTTAAAAATTTACTACGTATTTAGTATAAAAGAAAGCCTTCTTTTCCATGGACTCGTCATATCCACGTTGAGACCATTGATGGTATCTCAGTATTTTGTAGACCTTGACTGTAAGAAAACATTAGCAAACCAGACACGAAATTTCAGATTATTTTAAAAATATTTTTTTATGACGTAACCACTTTGTCACTCTGTAAGTAATGTAAACATTCAGTATTAGCAGTATCATAACATGTTATAATACCATATCTTTTTCTGTGTGGTATTAACAAGTAACTAAATTTCTCCCTATTTCGTTTCTAGGCCGTACCTAGTAGAATGCCCTGATAAAGAAATTCGAACAGGATTTTGTGATTTGCTCATCAGTGTGTTCGATTGCTCATTGGCCTCAACAGATCCTGTAAGTACCAATTTTCAGAAGCCACCCTTGTCGAAGATGAGGATAGATACCTCGTAATTGAATTTTGTTTTCTGAATGCAGAAAGAATTCATTTTCCTGCAAGAATCTTTCAGCCGGCCTTGGTTAAAACAGCAATGCTTGCCAAACCTCTTTTTACGCTACGCTAAAACTTTTCAAATTTTCAGTAGTATCTTCCTGTCCCTTCTTCAAATAGTTTTGAATAGCAACAGTTTCAGACTTAAAAATTTATTCAATGTCTTTCAATCTACATTGTTTTTTGGGAGGAAATGAGATATTTCTGTACCATATGACAAGTTTTCCAAAATCTTTCACTGACTTGTTCCAAAGAATTTTGACAAGGATTGGCAATGAATCAGACTTGCCTTCCAACGAACATTGACTTCCTTCCAACATTGCCTACTCCCAACGCACTTTTAGTTTCCTAATTTTTATGTAAACATCCAATATTTCATACTCTGGCCTGTGTTAGAATTATGAAGGAAATTCCAGCTTGCGCACATGAATTATTTTTCCTTTCCCCTTGTATCCTGAATTTCTCGGCCCCTCCTCTTCCAATTAAAGTATGAGTTCGCTGTGATTTCCGGATAAGAGGCATGCGATCTTTAGCCAGCAGAAACCTTGTCCTGAGCAAGATAAATCTTCTATAAACCTAAACAAATCTAATAGCAATCCTTATCTCGTTTGCTATGTTAATGGTCTTATCTCGATTTCTTATGGTTTGCGTTTTTAGTGTTGCGAAAACTAACGCCCCTTTGAAATCGGTCAATCTATTTATAGTCGGACATTATCTGTTCCTTATCTTGAGCTGTAATCGTAAACATGCCGAAAAGAGTTGAAATGTTTCCAAGAGACATGGTCGTTCTATAATGATTATGTACCAGAGAAGCGCTAAAAATGTAGTATGATGATTACCATTGTTCGTGCAACGTGTAGTAAAGTGATTTGAAATTATCAGATGATTTTTTACGTCTTTTGCTGATTACATATCTCATGCTAGACTGATAAGTTTTTTGTTCCTATCTTTGAACTTTCTAAGCTATTTTCTCTCTAGTAAACCGTTGTTAAATAAAAACAGTAATGAGGATTCTTTTAAATAAAGTTTTGTTGGCTAGTAACACGACGGTAATGTTTGGAACTGACAACAAGATGTTGCTTCGTCAGGAGACAAAACAAAAGTATAAAGGAAGTGCAGATTTACCCCAGTCAGTCAAATTTAGCAAAAACTGAATTGACTTATGTAAGAATTCGCCCATCGACATGAATACCTTTCCTCCAAAAAATATTTGCGTCTTGTACATCTTCTCTTTAGTGCTCGGAATATTTTTTTATGTTTCATTTTGAAATTTTATTTGCACTAAATAAATAATTTTTGTTGTTCTAAAATTTTACAGAAATTTGAAACTAGTGGTACTGATATCTACCAAACAGGAGTTAATAGATAGGATAAAGATGAAGAAACATTGGAGAAAATTGTTAAGTGTTTTAAGTTACTAAGGGTGGTTATGAATATAAATTATGCCTATTTGTAACAAATATCTGTTGTTATCCTTTTTATTTCTCTTTTAGTGCTTTGACCCGTTGATCCAAAAGGTCATTGGACAGTTAATCGACTTGGTCGATACTAATGTCATAAGCAATTGTCGACAGAGCAACCAATACTTCGAGTTCTTCCGTAAATATTCTTGTCTGGTAAGTAAGCTTGATGTGTAATAATAACAACAGCAATTATATATCTGCATATCCATTTCAGAGCAGTTACACTGCTAAAATTCAGTAACGATCTAACATGAATCGTTAATTAATAAACAAAAGTAAGTCTACTTGTTTTAGCGTACTTTTTAATTTTCTTTAGCTGTATCATAAGATTTTAAGCTCATCGTTGCATGTACAGTAACCAACTTCTGTACGATTTTATTCTGCATCTGAATATAATCAATATAGACTTTCATCCTTTCCCCAAGTAAAATTCCTTTCACGTTTGTCATAAATTAAACCTTGATTCTTTATTTTTCAATTCACTGTTTTTAGGGGTTAACAGCGCTGAAATCCTTGTATTCTAAAAAGATCTTTAAGAAGTTCATCTACTTCCTTCTTGGTCCATCTACGCATAGGAGGGTGTGTATAATTCCTTTTGGACTTCTCTATTTATCACTCTACTATATTATAGTGTACAGTAAAATTGTCCATTGAACTGCAGTGTTTTAAGTACGATGCATCACAGTTAAATTGATTTTGTTTCATGTATTCGTCTACACAGAATGTAACTTTTGTGTCGATATCCTGGTGTATTGTGCTTTTTTAGTGAAATGAGTAGAACGAACTGTCCTTGCATAAAATGAATTTCAATTTCATCATGATTTTGTCGACCACCATTTTAAGCAGTGTATCGGTTTGCTTGCGTCACAGAAAGGATGTATTTTTTGGGGGAGACCTTGCAGTTGTGTTTACTTTTAGTAACCATGGTTGCGTTTGCACAATTCCTTATTACGCGAATTTACGGGGCGACCTGATTGAAAAATAAAAAATTAGGTAACATTAATTAGAGAATTTTTTAAAAGAAACTGTTTTACTGTTTCATCGATAAAGGAATTTTTCGCGCACAAATGCATTTTCAATTGCATTTATAAAGGAATTTTTTCTTTAATTTTGAATTTTAAGGACTGTTCATACAGAGACTTTTTTAAGAAAGCGTCATATTTTTAATAGCATTTGCCTCAAATTTAGCCCATCACGAGTGCTGCGTAAGTCAACAGTAAGAAAAACTCAAAACACAAATGCAGAACAAATCTATATCTTAATTGTAAGATTGCTAAAATTGACATGAGTAATGAAGGGGATGCAAAATTTTCTATTTGTTACGTAGTATTCCTCAATTAAGTCACACCTGCAATTTAGCGTAATAAGGTAGTGTCGAATAATTTTTTTCCAACCTTGTGCATCTTTTCCAGGACCAACGCTATGTTCGGAGATGGAGCTCTGCGCAAGCGCAAGAGTTTGGCCATCTTCACTTAACATTGATCAATCTTATTGTCCATACGGCGACTAAGCAACAGTTAGACAATGGTAGGTAAACAACACAGCTATGCTACGTTCTACGACATTTTTTAGATCTGGTCGAGAACATGGTTTCTAGATTCAATCGTGAAATGAGTAGTGCTCCTTCATCAAGTTTGTGTGATGAAGTTGATGAATTTTTACAACAAAAATGGCTTTAGATTAATTTTGTTATGGTTCTGTTTTGGGGAACTTTTGTTGAATTATTAAAATCATAGCAACGATAGTTGTCGGAACTTGTCAGAAGAAAATGACTCTAACTGACGCTAAGGTACAGCTGACTATTGTCAAGCCCCTCTAAAACGTCTATACTATTCAGAGTATCTGACCCCGGTTATAGTCTCACCAAATGTTGATTGAAAAGCTGTAACAGTAAGCGGAGTAGGACTGTAAACGAAAGTGTGACTATAAGCTGAGTCGACTGCACCATGTTATCACAAACATGGCCGTTTGGTTCTTGAAGCCGAGTTGCAATATCGTTAATTTATGTAGACTGTTGATCGCTTATGAACTCGTAGTTATACATTTAATATCGAGGCTGAAGCTTGTATGCCCAAGCTAGAGTAGATAGAACTTCAAGGTCACATGGAGACAGTAAATTCAGACATATGGATTGATACTTCTAAACCCTTGTTACCCCCATTCCTCATTCAAATGGAGAATGGCTTGATTGAGCGGGCGATGAAATATAAAGGAATTTTTTTTATGTTATCTTTAATCTTATCAAAGCCTAGCGTTTTGACAACTCGATTCAGTGTTTTAGTACTTCGCCTAACAAGGTTTGAAAAATCGAATATTGACCTGATCACTTTGGCTCAAAATGATAGTCTTACTAAGGATCGCCTCAAGATTTACACCGTTAAAATCACTTTCTGTTTTAGATGTTTCTGGTTCCAATATGCAGACTTGTGATTATCCTTCAAAGAAAGAAGAATTAGTGACAATGCCGCTGGAAATCGAAGAGACCATCTATGGAGACGATGGCGAGCGTTACATTTCTGAGGTAAGGAAATTCCGGGTCACATTATTACGTGCGTGTGTATCCAGTGTGATTGGCCAATGCCAGTTAACTGTGCATTGGAGGTTTAGTGGCAGAATCATCCCACAACTTTGTTGTTAGTCAATATTTCCGGCCAGAGTGTTTTCATTAATTGGCTGTTTTTAAGCTTTAACCAAAGCGAAACAGCCGCGTTTACTTCAGCAGAGCTTCTCTTAACATAAACAGAAAAGAGTTGCGTTTCTTTTTCTGAGGCCCTCCTGTAACCATTTTATACATCAAGAAATAGAAAATGGACCGTTTTTTAACGTTTTTGAAATTGCGGAAAGTTATTCAGCTCAGTATTGCAGCATCATAGAGTCTTCTTGAATGATCACCCTGAAATATTAAATCGTACTTTGTGACTGTGGTACGAGATCATATGCTCTGGATATTATTGTTATTATTTATTTTAGAGCCTATATGTTTAAGTTATATTTTATTGGTAAACCTCTAAAGTGTCCACCTTAAAACTTTCCAAGAGTGTCCACGTGCTTTGCCAAGAGGCCAAAACGAAAGAAAACCCTTGTAATTATCATTGCTTGATTAAGAAGTCGAAATAAATTAAAAAACAGTGGTAATAAACATTTGATTGTAAGATCATTTCAAACTTTGAATAAATGGGGCTGTTTAAATAAATGGACTTTTTTCTCTCGCTATGTTGACATATTTTGAGGTATTGAATTTGATTTAAAGAATATCTGGCATTTGCTCCTAAGATGATCTTTATTATGTAAATTATAGTCAACATCATTATGACTCCAATAGCACATTAGGTGATCGGTAATTGATGCCAAGGTGCATAATTATGATTTTCTGACATCTTTAGATAACAGTGCATAGAAGTTTGTATCCCACGTAACATTTCCCATGTAGCCCTGTTTGTAAGCAGTGTTTGTGCATTGTTTAGGAATATGAGGAAGCCAAACTAGGCAGAACTGTAAAACCATTTTGTCAAAAAGTAGAAAATGCAAGTTAACTGATTTTGACTGATTCGACTACAAGAGTTATTCGAAGTGATGAGATGGAGAGCTTTTTATTTTGATATATTTTCACCAGGATAAACAGTTGCCAGGAAGCATTTTTTAAATTGGCTTTGCCCAAGTAAATAATTGAGGCTGATAAGAATCTCGTAAATAAGCTTGTGCTGTGAACTTTCTAAAGAAAATGCCCTCCTCGATATCACCCTTTCCTTGATCAAGGTGACTATGACCAAGTAAATCAACGTATTTTTTCTAGTGCCTTTATGCTTGCATAGAGATCCCTAACCTTACGAAGCCCATGGCTGAGATGATCTTACACTGCTGTTTCTGCAATGAGCAAATTTCAAAGAGGTTTATTCGGCAGAGCCAGGTAAGTAGCAGTTGTTTTTCAGGCGGTAGCCATTGTGGTTTGGTCAGCATTCGAAATATGACAAATCATATCCCGATGGTTGCGGACTATTAGCTGTGTAATTCAAGTAACTATTATCTGAGATCTAAAGGCTTCACTGCCATTTAACACATGACAAACGATTTAAAACGGTTATTGTGATGCTGCAGCCGCACATGCTTTAGGTATCAATCCGCCAGTTCATTAACGACCTTTTCTATTGATACCTCTAGCCCATAGGCTAATATGCTGGCCTGAACAGGATTAACAATGCTCCATTCATTATAATGAGCTACGAAACGAGAAGTTTTGTCTTTTTTGCTTTGATCTCTAATGTACTAGATACAGTACCTCCCTCTCCGATATGCTACAATATTATGTTACGTTACTCGGGGTATGTGCTTTTAATTCCTACTACAATTAAAAGTACCGTATTCGCTCTATTTTTTGCCTTCGCTTCAATAAACGCCACTCTCCAATAGTCGTTGCTACTAAAAGTTGCAAATTTTTATAAACGCTTGGGCGTTTTATAGATCAATTACCTTACTACTTAAAGGGTATTTACTTCTATATTTTGAATGTGAGGCATTCGCTCGTCGCCAAACTAAGTTGTACTGAAGCAGTTCCATTTTCTAGTTTCCCATGATCACAGCCACTGCCCTCGTCACATGACCAACATCATGTTTTCTAGCATTTTAACTTCAACTTCAAAATTTTATTATCAGTATCCTTTAAATAATTGAAAGTGATAAGATAGTACTAACATAAACGATTAAAAGATTAAAAGGTATATTTTACATGAAATTGTCAGTAAGAAAAACTAAAGTACTGAAGGACACGTAGAAATAGCTCAGAAGCGCTTTTGAGCTACGCGCCCTTTTGTAATTCTGAAAGTTACATTGTACATATCTAAAGAAACAGATTTGAGGAAAAACGCATATGAAGTTGTATCAATAACGATAACATAAATATTTTTGTGAGAGCTTCTTTTCATATCTATCTGCATTCTCCAGTAATCAGAAATCTTATTTGTCCTTCCTTAGACACCGCGAATCGCCTTCTTCTCAGGACCTCCCCACAGTTGTCTCTTACACTCTTTAATCACCATAAACGTTTTATAATTGTTATGAAAATGCCTCCCAGACCCAGACTGGCACCAGCAGCAGTGATAAATACCTCTGATATCATCACCACATCTTGCAGAAGATTTAGATTTCATACCCTACCACAAACAGCGATTGAAGCAGAAGTAGGCGTGTCGAGTCTACCACAGAATTCGAAACATGAAGTAGTAATTACTTGTTGTTTTTAATCCCAGATACTTCTTGAAAGCGTGCAACCAAACGACCTCAAAAGCGTTCTGCAAGTCATTTCTGATGTACTGGTATGTATAAAGGTTTTTTCTCTAGCCAGACCATATGTTTCTGGTATTCGATTGCCAGTAAGGCGGTAATAGTATCATATGCAGCAGCATTGTCAATTAGAAAGCAGCAAAGCTCAATGGCAATGAGAAGTCTCTTTTGACAGCAAAGTATTTTCAGCTATATTTAACAAAGAGGCACTTGCATGGATTACATGATTTGTTTGCGGTGATGAACTTAAAATCCTTTTGCTATGAGCATCATGTCTACTGCTAACATTGGCTCATTTCTTTGGTTAGAAAGCCTTGTCAGAGGTCGACATAATCATTATGTTTCAACTTGCTTCTATCTTCATGCATCGCTCCAAAGTGCTTTGTCAAGCTCAAGGTTTCATATCTTTTAAAATTCTTGTCACGTTGAGGTTATTGCATGCAGGGTTGTAGTGCCAGGGGGGCTCCGGATCAGAGCCCTCCTTGTTCATGGAACCATGATGGAACAAATTAGCAAATTTCTACTTTTGCTAGTGTTTTTAGCAAAATTTAGTGCAAGGTCCCCCTTAGTTATTTGATAGCACTACACCACTGATTGTATGGACCAATTACCAAAGCACATTTTCACATTCCCCTTTATGGTAATAACTTTGTAGATGTGTTTCCAGGCACGACATAGAAGGCAAATAGTATAAATAATTGGCCTTATTGATCTTACAGTTCTTTTATATTCCCATCCTTGCAAAAAGTGAATCATGTGACAAAAACGGATTCTTGTTGTTAGCCTTTATAAATTGGGGCTCATGGTTAACATTTTGTGTGTTTCTTGCATCTTGATATTCATTTTGAAAGAATAAAAAGTAATGTTGGTTTGGAAATTTTACAGTATCGTACAGTGGAGCTCTCATTTCAAATAAAATTGTCTGCTTGTTGTTAAAGTAGGAAAGAAGTAATTTGATTCATGACCTTGAGACCAAGGATTCAAGATCCAATGATATTTATATTTTGAGTAAAAGATGAACTTAAATAATCTAAAATTAAAGGAGCCATTATTTTTAGCCATGGGATCCCATGAAATTCGTTTTTTAAGATGTAACCAATTTTCACTCTTTACGAATTCATGGTCTTCAGTCTAGAAAACAATGCTTTTCATACAGAATGTTTGGTTAACTTTTGTTTAGCTAGGGTTCATTCGAGGATATGTTTAATTGCCAAACATTGGCTTTTTTGCTCCAATGTATATATAAGAGCTTAGTTCCTCATTTCTTAGAATCTTGGTTCTTATTCCTTCATTTTGTAGGGACTTGCAGAGCTTATTTCTAGTATCTTATTGCTTTCTACCATAATCTAAAGGTCGGAAAATCTTTAAACTTAATTCTTTGGATCTAAGTTTCTTGGATTGAAAATCATAGATTTTAAATTCTACCTTCCCCATAGACAACAACAGTCTGTGACACTGCAAGTAAATCTTACAATGGTATAGCATACCTGATGACATGCTAACATCTTGTTATGATTTATTTAGTGTATGGAAGACCCTCTTCAGTCTTTTCGAGTAAATTTGGTTGTCGATGGATGTAAAGAAGAAAAAATCCCTGGAATCTTAAGTAAGTTGGTGTCAAAATTTTATTTCTTTTCCATTTGAAATATCTCTGCCTTTTAGTTATATGCCTCAAAATGACAGTGTCTTTAAACCTCTGTAATTTCTTTGTCTTTCGTTGTCAAGAGGTAAAATGATTCAAAAGGCTATTAGTAACTGCTAGCAATATGTCTTAATTCTACATCAAATTTTAGTTTAAAGTTTGGATTAGTAACTGCTTTCTTTATAGTAATTTCTTCCATAGAATTTATTGCAACATTTTGGAGCTGTATTTATATGTTAGTAATTTGACTTAGGTGATGAGCTTATACTTTTGATAAATAAACTAGGGACTGAATTTCCATTAGAAAAAGCTTAAATTTACTCAAATACTCCAGCATTGATTGAGTTGATATTTGTAACCAGAAATATAGGGTAGAGTCAGCATTTTTCTGACATAAGTGATTCTCACAAAAATGCGTTGACTTTAGATTATCTATATTTATGAAATAGTTTTTATTATCAAAAAAGTGTAAACACTTTTAGCTTCAACAACTGCAGCAGTGCAAATACACCATTAGTTTTTTTGCTGATACAGTTTCAAACTATCATTAAAATTTGCAGGTATTGTCAAAAACAGCTACATTTCTGATCCACGGAGGTCTTACCAGTGTATAAAATTACTTGTAAATCTGGCACAGAAGTAAGTGCATGATACCATTCATAAAGATACCTTGTAGAATTGATTGTTATTACTTGTGCTGACCACTGTTTTGCGTCAAAATGTTGAAAATTTGTTCAGTTTTAGTATAAAAGCAAGAGATCCACAAAACATAATCTTTTTCTTTACCAATACAAGTGCTTCTTTTGCCCTTTGTCTTTTAACTGTTATATTTTGCTATCAATCTTTGAGGTTTGAAAGGAAATCTGCAGGCAGCTACATGTAAAAATGCCAACAGGAAAACAGTGCATTAAAATTAGCCCTCTGTTATTTATTATTTTACCAAAGATAAGTTACAAAGGATGCTGATGCTCTTGATTGGTTGAATAGGACCTGCTGCAGTCAAGGACGCCAAGGGGTTATTAAGGCCGGGGGCAAACTGAAAGACTAATCTCGCTCCGAGCCAAGTGAAAGGAAAATTTCTGCAATTACACCCTTTAGGTTGCTTTACATTTATTTGTTCATTTTAAAATGTTTTGCTATTTTCTGACATAACTTTGATACTTTTAATAAATTCCATTTCAAAACATAATTCATTACTTCACAAGGCCCCCTAACACCTCAAGGCCTGGGGCAATTTGCTCCCCTTCCCCCTTTCAGTGGCCATGGCTGCAGTTGATGTATGGGTTTTGAAAGGAGTCTCAAAGGCTTCCTCTGGAGAAATAAAATATTCTTGAAGTTACATGCCTATATGTGTGCTGTAGGTGGGGAGCTAAGTCAGGCCATTGTTCAATTTCCTTCCCTAGACGCTCCCCAGGGGGCCAGACACCTTAAAGTAAACACTTTAAGGTTTAAAGGTTGGTTAAGAAAAATTAGGTTGTAGCCCTGACTTTCATAGCTAACTAGATAATGTTAATAATTTTCACTTTCTAGATAAAGAGTGTGGTTAAAAAAAATTCACTGAAAGCTTTTTTAATTTCCTATTGTCCCCCTTCCCCACTTGTCCAGCTCTATGCCCATGGTATGTGTCATCATCTAATGATAAATTTATGATTGGCATATATCGACAAATAAAAATTCTCTTATTTCCAAGAAATGTTTCAAGTTTTCAAGATCTCTCCTTGATTTGATTTTGCAGATGCTCTCTCGCAAAAGGTTTCTTGCTGCAAAGCCCATCACGTTGGCAATGGTCTGTTGATTGGCTTAAGAAGAAGGTATTCAATGTTTCCTTCTATTATCATATATTCCTTTATTCTTGTAAATTAAGATTGTTCAGTGTGGCTTTCAAAAATTTAAATTCATTTCCACTTATTTCTTTAAAAGTTTATATTCTGACAGAGCCAAATTAGAATAGCCAGCAACATCAAAGATTCATGTCCACTGGCCTAATTACTGTCTTCATCAGCCCCCCCTCCCCCCCCCCACTTTTTTGCAAAGCAAGTAGTTTTAAAGCAGCAGTAAAAGGGGAAAGAAGCCTTGGCCCCATATTTTTGCTAGCCTTGCCCCCCTTCCACTTTCAAATTTGTGGTGTGGGTCCTTCTCATGAAAAACATGCTTTGCCGACATTATATGTGACATGATTAACCAACATACATTTCATCTTGTGTATAAATGTCTGAGGGAAAGCAGAGAAAGCAAACAGCAAAATAGTTCTGTTGTTTGTGAATTTACATGCCAGTGTGATTCTGGCTACTTAGGATGCATAACCCAACGATTGAGGGATAGGTTAAGACAACATGTTTCTTCCAACAAAGGTAACAAAACTGCCCCTCAAAGAGAACAGCCTCCTTGATCTTGTAGATCCAGAAACACTGTTAAAACAAGTGACTCTGCCATCAAACAACACCTTTTAAACAACCCAGGTTGTACAAAACTCTATAAATGCCAAAATGTTTCAAGTAATTGACAGAGCCGCGTGGTCTTTTCATGTAGCAGTTTTGAAATCGATCTACATACAACTGAAAAGCCGCCACTGTGTAGACAGTATGAAAATTGATAAATATAAGATGCGCGTTGAAGGACTGAAGAAATATAAGAACCAAGACTGAAGAGGGCGAAATGTATTTCTTTTTATTCTTTAGATGGTTAGAAAACGCAAACTTATCATAACTTAGGCAGGCAAACAATCTGCAACCCATATGCAAATTTCTCCATAAAGCCCTTGAATTGATTACTCTTTTCTGATTTTTCTTATAAAGTATGTTTGAATCTCAATTTACAGATGAATGAATATTACTGGACAGCTCAGCCTCATGTCAGCAATGAATCTCATATTAACAAGTCATTTCAAAGAACTGTTAGTGCTCAGGTAACCACATTTTGAATATGACCCCTTACATTATCTAGCATATTTCCTGTTTAGCAACAGTTTATGCAGCAATTTTTCACGAAAATAGGATAGTGATTGCAGTCCAATTCTACCTATGTAATAAGATTGGCATTTATTAGAGCAAGTCTGATAAGATTTTTATACAACCATCTTGTTTCTTTGCTATTTTTGCAAATCATATCAAGTATAAAGCTAGTTCAAGACAAGGGGAATCTTTTTTTCACAAATGGGTTAAAAGATATAACTGTTTTTTGAGTACATTGAAATTATCTCGGTTTTTTAAGAGATAAGGAGAATGATGGTAAATTACAACAATAAGTGACTGTAATTACAATAAATTACAACAAATTCTTCAGTTAAATTTCTTAGAAATTTCTTCTCTTGTCAACAATGCTATTATTGTTTTTTCAATAAAACAGACTTTGCTATTTGTCACAGTTTTTTGCTTTATATAGTTGCAGTATCATTTCAGAGAGATCTGAAAACATTAAAGTATATTTTATTCTCACAAGAGAATCAATCTTTTTTACAATATTTTAAACATATGAAAATATATTGCATTTACAGTACACATTAGCAGAAGCAACAGCCCTATTAATAGAAATTGAAAAACAAGAAGCAAGTAGCAAAAACTCCATCTCAAATCCTGCCAGTGCCTCAACTCAACCAAGTCTATTTGAAGCTCCAGTGGAGGACTGGGACAAGGAATCAGCTAGTAAATGAGCTCAATGCTTAAGCTCCCAAGAATGTTACAACTGAGCTGAACTTCTTTAATGTATTCCAAATAATACATCTATAAAGCCACTTTCCATTGCGCAATCCTGTCAGAGGGGAAAGTGTCAGGAATCCCCACTTTGATAACAGAATATTCATCTTTACCATGTTGATGTTGTTATTGAGGTGGGAATGAAATTTTCTTGTAACAGAAACATTTCAGGAATTTCAAACAGACAAGGCTAATGTAAAGTTGGTTATTGCCAGCTGAAAGTGCATTGAGTAGGTGACTCCTGTTCTTGAAATCCCACTGAACAGGTAGTTATTCAAACATAGGCATTTTCAATGCAATATCAGTTAGTTTGGAGGTTTTTATTGAGACAATTAAAAACATGTTTTTCTCAAGGGACTTGAAAGGTACTACTACCTTGTTTACTAAGCTGTCTTGATGTTTACTTCTTTTATGGCCTGTAATCAAGTCATTATTCATCCACTGTTGAATCATGGCTCCCCTTTAATTCATTATATGGGATATCCCATTAAATTTTTTTTAAACAAACTTACCAGGCCCTAAAGCAAATTGACATTTCAGTTTGACAAGCTAACAGTGCTTCAAGGAATAAACTGTTTTTCTTTTGTGATCAAAACAGTGGTTTTAGATAAAAACTTCTTGTTTTTAACATTTTAATGTCTATTTCTTGTCCATGATTTAGCATATTATGATAGATTTTTGAGGAAATTTAAAGGTTATCGTCCCATCAATGGATTATTGATGTTTTATTCTGATTCAAGTTCTTACTTTAATTTTTACTGTTTTTGTCTCTACAATCTTTGTTGCAAAGACAAGAATATTATGAATCTGCATTGTAATGTTTTGATTCAAACAGCTGCAGCTTTGGGTTTTTTAAAAGGTCTGTTTTGGGTAGAAACCAACAGTTCTTTTGTGTTGGGGAGTCTGTGGTGTTTACTGTGTAGATGAAAGAAAACGTAGACATGCTGAATAGTTCACTTGCAAGGGGGTGCAAGTGCCCCTCACACTGATAAGTACAATTTATTAGCAATCTGCTGTTATGGTTTTTCTACAATTCATAAGGAACAGAACCCAAAACCTGTCTAGATAATTTTCAAATGAGGCAGCTAATACAGCACAGTAATACACTACATTGCTTTAGAATGGTTCCATATAAAGCTGTTCAGATCACAAATGGCATTATTGGCAGAAGCAGTAACTGTGCTATCACTTCTTAAACCATAACCAGTCCCCTTTTCTATGTCTTCATTTGTGGCATTCTAGCATTCCTATCTGGCACTATGCTGTTAAAATTTCCATGTGAAATTTAAGGGTATGGGTTTTAATGTCTATTGGCACCACTGGTGATATCTCCCTTTACACAATTGTTCAGATCTCAATAAAATTTATACACAGTTCTCTATAGAATTGACAATCTGTCAACAGTTGTTTATCACAACATTCCCAAAACATCAAGTTATAAAATATGAATTACTGAAAGGAATTAGATTAAATTTAAAATGACAACCTGTATAATATAATTATAAAGAACTAACACTCTACTCACTCTACACCTTACATTCTACAACTAATCCTATTTAAAGGCAATATCTAAAAAGCAACTTAGCTTATTTTAAGCTCAACTTTCAGGTAAATAAAAGCTCAACATGCACAGCTAAGATAATAAATAAATGAATGAACTTTGTAAAATGTATTATAATTTGTCTAGCTACACAATAAAGATTAAACTGAAGCTAATGGATGAAATGAATTAATAATACAAGGTACTTAATTTGTAAATATTTCTACCAAAAAATCGTTTTAATCTCCTGAATTTAATAAAAGGGTCATTCCAATAACTATTGAAATATACTGCTGATTCCATAAGGATCACTAATAAATGCATTTATTGAGACAGATTGTCTTCTACTTGTCAACTAACTAATGTTTGAAAATGCAAGAAAATAGCCGCACCATAGCATACTGAAGTACTTTTCCTCAACACTCTTCAGAGTGAAAATGTCGGACAAAGGATCAAAAAAATTTGTCTGGATAGAAGGAATTTGTTTTCACCTTTTGGACTCTTTTACTTCAAGGGGCAAGGTTACCAGTTGCTAACTGGTGGAAAAAATAACCAATCTAGGAGGTCTAATTTCTTTATCATGCTGTATGCATTCATGTTAAAAGGGGCCATTCACAGTCTGTATGCAGGACAGGGGGAGGGGGCTTCGTTACAAAGGGTATGTTTGCGTACAAGGGAGAAGGGGGCTGATGTAGTTACATGCAAAATGTTTTTAAGATCACCTTTCCAAAAAGATTTTTATCATCAGTTTAAAGCTATAATCATGGGGTGTGGTGCTGATCATTTGCACAATGTGGGCATTAAACTAGGTACAAATTCTTCGCCACAATTATGGTTGTTTATTATGGACCTTAGTGTCAACATTTATGATCATCTTTTTTATCGCTGTTTTTGCAGTGTTGCAGTGCAAAACTTTACCTCATATAGAGTCATATGTGCAATGTATTTGGCAGACTGGTATCCGTATTTTATTGTGAAATTGCAAAAGGGGGGGGGAGGTCAACACAAAGACTATGTGTGCAATAGGGGTGGTGGTTGCCAAAGAAGTATGACTGGGTACAAGAGGGGGGGGGGTTTAAAAAATGAAAAATTTTACATACCCAATTTGTGAATGACCCCATAAAAATTTTCTGCTTATCTTTGGTGGTTCCACATCTGATGTTTATACTCTTTTGACAGGATATGAGGAAAAGTATTTCAGTCTGTTGTGTTTCCACTATCTTCAAACTTTACAATACAAAAAAGGTATTCAACTGATGTTTTGTATGAATTAAGGATAATATGTAGACTGGTGGGACTTGGTTAAAGTTAAATATTTGATAATTGTTTGTCATCATCAGTTGCATGTATGTCATATTTAGATGTATTTTTAATAGCTAAATTCCTTCTTCAAAAAATGAGATTCCTAAAACACTTCAAAAAACCAAACGTTACAACAATAATAGGAACCTAATCTAATTTATTAAACACCTCACTTCCTTCCAAAGAACAAGCATCGTGAAACTGTTGTTCCCCCATCTCAAAGTCTGACCAGTCATCAATAAACTGATCTGACAACTTTCTGTCAACTAAATCTAGGTTAGCAGTGCTCAAATTGATGGTTTCCCAAGCACAATCCCAGTAGAGATCTTCTGTCTCAGTCTCTGATGCACAGCCTTTCAATATTGCATTGTGAGACAAGTCTTTCTCCCTCTCATCCTCAACAACATTTAAAATGATGTCTGAAAATCGGTCAGGAGCATCCATAAACACATTATGACCTGCATTTTGAACCATGTAAACCTCAACTGATGAACATGGTCGACGATGAAAAACTTCAAAACCTGTTTTGTGATCAACTGGTGAGTTTGCTCCATAGATGAAGGACATGGCAACATTTTCGTCCAGCTGTTGTATTTGTGACATTATTGGCTCCTTTGCCCAAAAGTATAAAAGATTTAACTTCAGAAAGGCATATTCTCCACTGGCTTGTAAATAATTGCAGTAGTAATGGTAATTTGTGATACATGTTTCATGGCTGGTTGTCGAGACAAGAACAGGGGCAGTGAAATCAAGAGCCTTTTTCCAAAACCAGGTTGCAAGCTTTTTGGGAAGGCAACGTAACAAGAAAATTGGGCTGATAAAATTGATGATATAATTAAGTATCTTTATGGAGAATGGAATTCCCTTTTCATAAGAAACAGCTGTACTGTCTTCATTCACTGCTGACGTTTTGCCGGCTATTCCAAATGGGAGCTCTGTGAACCCCCATGGTTCAACTAGAACAAGATGCCTCACACATTCAGGATATTTTGTGGCATACAGTGTAGCAATATAACCTCCAAATCCGTGGCCTGCTAGAATGAATGAGTCGAGACCAACAGCATCTCTCCATTCTTCAAGGTAACTCACAAACTGATATTCGATATCTCTGTTGTCACCAAGAAACTGAGTTCGTGTGCTCTGTCCAAACCCAGGTAAGTCAAGCGCATAAACAATGCAATGCTGCGAGATCAAATCAAAACACGGCGACCAAACGGCAAGGCCAGAAAAAAGCCCATGCAACAAAACAAGTACCGGGGCAGATCTTGAAAACCCAGCATCAAATCTCAAAGTTCTGATCTCAACACGATTCGAAATTGGTATAAACTGGCTCTTGCACGATGTACTTGAAAATTTCTGAAGAATTTGAAGTTCTGCTTCCTTAAGATGGATCGAAGGTCTTTTATAGAAAATATTCACTGCCCGTGAAAAGAAACTCGTTATGTTCATTTTGTTTTGCTTACTTTGTGATGATGACGTCGCTGACATCATAATTGTGGATCGTCGCGCCAAAAATCATTTACTGAAAGCTACTACCCGGAATAATCCGTATAATACCATATTTTCCATGGTATTTGCATATTAATTTTTGATGGTTATCGCCAGAAGTCAACGTGCGTTTCCCAGTGCACCATGATGTTTGCCACGTTCCCACAATGCGCACCATGTTGGTTTGTCAGCACCTGATAACAACAACAACAATATTATTAATAAGCTTGCCATCACTGATCTCAAAAAAGACTTTGGTTGGATCATACCACCCACTCATTTTTATTCATAAGAACCATCCTATAAGAGGGCCTAAGAGCACGAGCCTAGAAATTGGTCAGAATTCGAGAACTAGTTAAGAACTAGATGGGAATTAGGTACTTTGAAATGCGGGAACTTCTTGAGCAATCTAGCAAACAGGGTAACCGGGATTTTTTTCTTTTGATTTTTTTCTTTTCAAATTTGTCAAAGGGTGGCTTATTTATTCGTTTCCTTGGCAAAATTGGGTCTGAACACACCCCTTGAGCACAATAGCTGGCGAGTGCACGGCGAACACACCAATATTCTAAGAACAAAAATTTAGAACAATCCACCCTCCCTCAAACTTTTTGAAAATTAAGAGCAACCAGTCTAGGTTCTTATAGATAATGTAAAGTAGGGTGTTTTCAAACGACGTATCTGTCCTTTGCCCTCATATTCAATTTCACTGTTTTGTTCCTATTCAAAGTTTTCCAGATCGTTTCATGCTCAGGATTTGCCTATAAGCGTTCTAGAATGGAGTATGTATGTAGTAGGCAGAGCAAAGTTTTCTAAAATCGTTTAAATATATTTTTAGCGCATCAGGATGTGCATAAAAGGGTTACATTTCCATGTCATGTCTAAAATTCAATTTATATATTCTTTACATGTACTTCACAAGGTCTTTTCCAAACTATAGAAAATGCTGGAAAGCAGCAATAATTTATTTCTTTAAAAGAAAATTTTCATAAAAAACGATGGGAACAAAACTTAAGCTTGTTACATCGTGTATACCTACTTAGATTCACTTCTCTTCAAACAGCCTGCTTTTTCTTTTTGTATTTGTGAATAGTTTGGATTTTTCAAATCAATGTATTTTTCAATCTTCGACAATCCACATTAACTATGGACATTCAGATAAAGATTCCTGTGACTCGCTAGGCTCAACTACGGCAACTACAGATCCATAAATGCATCCGAGGTCACCAATGAGTACTAATCGCTTTTTCCCATCCTTGCTGATTCATTTACAAAGAACTTTCTTAGAAAATCTTTCTGACTGTAGACATAATTGTTTTGTTCTCTTCGTTATCCATTTAAAGTAGATCATTATCACAGACCGATTTATTTTGACCTGTAGACTTAGGCAGCCTTTCCACTAACCTTTGGCTTGTATATTTGGGTGGTTCGAAGTGGAAGTTATCCATTCTTGCAGGTGGGAAGGGGAACAAAAACGGGTTGGAAGTTATCCGTCCTTGCGTTGCGTTCCCACTAACTTGAAAAACGGATAAGTTCAAAACGGGTCTCCGAATGGATCAATTTAACCCCAGGGGAGAGGGAGTACTCCCATTATGGCCTAACGGGGGGTCCAGTCAGGGTCATAGAGGGCCAAAGCAAAAATGTTTTAACCCACAGTGGGAACGCCAAACGCGGATAACTTTTGATTCACATGTTATACAAAAAGATTAAAGTACTACAGATTTCTCTCACAGCTCTGTATGCTTCGGTTTCTGTTTATAATAATCTAACTTTGATTTACCCAGGGACGCCGGAGAGAGGGGCACGGGGGGTCAACCACCCCTGTTGCTTTCTGATAGGAGGGACACAATGGGGGCAAAAGTGCTCTTTTCATGAAAGTGCCTTGAAACTGGCCTTTTATAAGCAAATTGGCTGCAGCGCCTAATCCACGTCGAATTTCTCAAAGCTTGTAAAATAATTTCTTATGCCAAAAGTAGCCGATATTCAAGATACCAACAGAAGATCGAAAAAATTGGAGTTTTTCGAAACAATTAGTAGCAGCTGAGAATCATCTTTCAAATGCTCTTTTACTCAAGCCTTCCCCCCTTGCCCTTTGGTCGTTCCGGCGTCCCTGGATTTACCTGAAGTGTAGAGGGCTAAGGATACATTTTTAGCCTGGGTTCATTCTAATCCAGCTTAGTGGAAGCGATCAAAAACGGACTAGAACGAGCTTGAAGCAAACTGGCGTTTCAATTGACTCACTTGAAAATCGATACATTATAACCCGTTTTTGTCTTAACCCGGGATAGTGGAAAGGCTGCCTTAGTGCACCTTGTTTGTATTGGGGAGCGAATTAAAAATACCTTTATTTAGAAACAACTTCCTAAAATTTGCTGCAAATTTTCCTTAAAAGGAAAAAATGAGGGTGTGTGGGTTGGGAAAAGTGGAAAGCGCTCTTGTACTAAAGGTTCAACGAGCATTTAGGTTATGTTTCTAGGTCATGTTGTTCAAATATTATTTAATTAAATGTTTATGATGTCACACTTAGGAACTCGACTCAGGGGCGCCGGAAGCATTTTTAGGCGGTGTGGGCAGCATTATCAATGATTAATATTAGAATTATAACAAAAAATGATATAACATAATTCTTTGGTACCGATCAAATGTTTAATCTAAAAGGCCAGTCTAAAACTTCCCATTCTGTTGTTTAGGCTTTTGCTGGGTGGGAAGGGGGGGTAATTAGGCTTAGTTAACCCCCCCCCCACCCCGTGGGCTGTTGGCTGTCGTGTCGTATCACGCTGCATTGTGCTAAAGGTACATTCTGCAGTTGCAGATGAAAGTGCAAATGAATTGTACAATTGCAATGACTTGTGAGCTCTGGCAGGCATTCTTTATGGCATTCAATTGAAGTCATGATTGATCAAAGGGTTTCCATCTTTGTTACCATTCTTTATTGGTATGGCAACTTCTTTCTTATAAATTCTGATGACTTTGCTAAAAGTTCACATTATGTTTAAAAGCTTTTAGATTACTTTAATTGAAGCTTCTACTAGTTAACTAGAATTAGTGTTGCGTATTGCATTAGTGTCTGACATGCTCTGCTAGAGTCCGTTAAAAGGGGCCCCATATCAGTTTTCCCTAGGACCCCAGATGCCTCAGTTACGCTACTCACCTTATTCTACAGTAATTTTCTATATTTTAGAGTGTTGCCGAAAGAAATAGCGTTTTTTTCTCACTATTCCATTCGCATAAACACAGTGCCATTTTCACAAGGAAACAATACTGCCCCCGCTGCCCCCGCTGCCCCCTGCTACCCCCTACCCCCGCTACCCCCGCTACCCCCGTAGAGTCAGGGCAGCTGCCCTCACTGCCCCCGTGCTTCCGGAGCCCCTGACTCGGCTTGTGTCTGTCTGTGTCCTGGAACCGAGTCTGTAAACGAGGTTAAAAAGGAACTCCCTTGGGTGCACCATCGTTGACGCCCTCGAGTTAGGAAGCAGCCTAGTCGAAAGGTTGAGTTTGATCAAAGATCTTAAAAAAGTCTTCCAAGTGAATCAGAGTAACGGGTATTTGATATTGGAGAAGATTCTCACCAACCAACAGAAACTATGAGCGCTGAGACACAAGACGAAGATACCGCTGCTAGGAACAGGAGGGATGGTGGCTGCTCATTTGGTATCATCAAGTTCGACCCAAGTTACGTACGAGATCGATGGGATGGTAGGTTAAAGCTAGCTGAGGTCATAGCCACCTTTTTAGCCGGTGTTATACTACCAACAACCGTTTATAGCTACACTGGTGTTTTTAGCTTCTTTAATTTTGTCACATGGACATCCTTTATAAACGCACTGATCGATTTGATATTACATCTGTTCTCTCTTTGGGACCGTACTGTCAACATTTTCCCGCTAGTTTGCAGTGCTCCTGAGGTATTTGTTGTCCTCTGTGGTATCGCCTGCCTTGCCTTCCTCCTTGCAAGTGCCCTTGTTGCAGGATTTGCCCATTACAGTGTTGCTGCAACACGGGCTGGAGTTGCTGCATTTTTCGGTTTTTTGTGCATGGTGTTGTTCGGTGCCGAGGCATTTTTTGTGCATTACATTGCATTTCGACGAGGAAGAAGAGATAACGTTAGACAAGAAGAGCCAGACGAGTTTGCCGAGCCAATTTAACCTTGGCTTTTTCAGCCCCTGTGATGCACAAATAATCACACTGTTTTCATGAATGACCATCTAGTTGCTTTTTATAGATCAGTTACGTAAATTATGCATAGAATTGTATCAGCTCAAAGTAAAAAAGTGCTTATTCATATAGACCATTAATTAATTCATAGGGATGTCCACTGATTAGTCACTTAATGGCTTAACTGTTGAAGTAGCTCTTAGCCAGACTGTAAAGTCTGGTCTTCATTTGTTTATCTGGTCATGTTCCTAGCAATTATTTCAACACTTAAGCTTTGGACTCAGATAACAAAAAACAACAAAAAATACAAGGCCTCTTTGAAAGCTTTGCTACAAGTTCCACACACAATTTCATAGCAAACGTTGTGTTATCCACAAATTTCAGATTTATATTTTGTTCTTGCAATCATGTGCAGAAAAAATACTTTACAGTCTGGGGCCTTAGTAGGCCATTACTTGCTTAGCCCAGTAGTTCCTACTTTTTCTAGCTCATATTGTAACTACAGAAAGCAAATGAGAAATATTTTTTTTGTATCTTTAGGCTTATAGTTTTTTGCTTAGTTTTATATCAACATTGCTTTCAAGTCAAGCTTAGATGTAATGATGAATTGATCTTGTGCATTCAGTTTTTTTCTATGTAGGCTAGAGAGGTATTAGAAAGCAATTTAAACCCCGGCTGGCAATGACTAATTGGCAAAGTCAATTTCAATTGAAACACTTCAGTATTTTGAGGAGCAGGTGTCTTGTTATTTAGTCCTTGTACTAAAAAACTTCTAAGTTTTTCATAGCACCCAGATGTTTATTTATAAAGGGACGGAATGGGATCAGAAATACATATATATATATATATATATGTCTTTTGTTATAGCTACTTAAATTGGGATTGATGAGAAACCATCTTTCAAAACATGTTGGAAACTACCCCTCAATAACCCTGATACTTTCAATGACTTTTAAGTGGAACAAAGAACTGATAAACTATCATATAGTTAGTAGGAAAGCCGCTTATCTTGTTGCAGGAATATGAATTACTTTGAAAATGT